AAAAAACGCCTAAAATCACATAAAAAGTTCTCAAAATAACACGCAAATCACGACAAAACTATACAAGATCATAAAAACCTTGTTTGGTTGTAGTTTGTGTGTGTTTTTTTCTCTTATTTCGAAGTCTTTTAAGCGTGATTTTAAGCATTTTTGCTGAATGAAAAATAAAATATCCCACAGGATCTCTTCCTAGTTTTGAACCCTTAAAAATGTTTCAATTGGGGGAATTTAGAAAATGAATTGTCTTGTTTGTTATTTCAAGGTCTTGTGTATGCATTTTTAGAACTTGTGCTATGCGTTTTTTATTTGAAAATCAATTTCCCACAATATCTGTCCTAGAAGTGGCATTTTAGCCACTTCTAGATGAAAGATTCGCGCGACGAGTAAAAACGCTTGGCTGCAACTCGGCTTACTCGCAACAAATTTAATGCGACCATTATGCGCATCTCAAAGCACGTCTGACACTGTGTGTAGGGAAGCGTGGGTAGGAACAGTGATATTGGCAAAGGGACTTTGGAATCTCGCGAACTCTGCATTATTAACGTAGAAACGGCGCGACGGTAACTTTAACGGATATCGTATATCGTATTTTGCGCGGCAGAAGAAAGGGCAAACAAATGAACAATCTAGATATCCAGCGGATCGGATTGTCGTATATATCTTTCTCTTTTTTTTGTTGTCTTTTGATGGAGAGTTAAAAAGCATAAAGAAAAATTAATGTGAAAGGGTGTGTTCGTGATTTGCGAAAAATTACATCCTGAACAGAGTGTAAAAAGGAATTAAATTTTATAATGCGAGCAATGTTTGGCGAATTAGAGGAAATAGATTTCATATACCACCACCACCACCACCACCACCACCACCACCATCACGAATGTTCAGTTTTGTTGTCCGATTGCGCGAGTTGCTTATCAAATCAGTCATCAGTCATCAGTCGTTGAATTTATCGATGGTAAATAGAGACATTGTAGCAGGTAGAACATTAATCATTCTATATTCTACCGTAAATTCGACGATTTTGCTCATGAAGCGCACAGATTATGCACTACGAGCACGAGAAATTATTTAAGAGCGACGAGCTTTCGTATTTTTTTTTTTCGACGGAAATCCTGCACTTTATGCCTGCAACGCGCTGGCCTTCAACACACAAGCGACGTCCGAGCGAAAGTCAAAACCACGGTTTTCCGTCACGGACGTGAAATTCGCTGAAACATTATCAGCTTGAAAGTACCGAGCGAGCACGTCAACATTCACAACGCGACAAGTTTCAAAAGGATCGTGCGATTCCTCGTTACAGATGCTCAAACGGAAGCACGGAGAAACGAAGAAGCAAAGACGGCGGGGGGGGGGGGGGACGCGAGATCATAAATACAGAAAAAAATTGCAGCTCGTACGCAAAACCGTGCGAATAAGTAATCTATTTCCGCTCGGCGAGCTACGAGAAATATCAATCGCAAATGTTCGCGCAGATTTAAGGATTGAATTCGGATCTTTTAGCGGAGTAAAACGCATCGCAAGTGCGATAGTATGTCAAATGCGGCGCGTGGATTTAGAAAAAGAGACTGAGAGAGAGAGAGAGAGAGAGAGAGAGAGAGACGCGACAAGTAAGTTGAATGAAATTAAATAAAAAGCTGTAAAGTAAATATACCGGTAGGTGAGATATTTCTCTCACAAATTCAGTCATATCGATGAATCAACTTTCGTCAACAAGGCATCGTCTAAGTTACGCGTTCCGCGAGAAAGAAAAGATATGACTTTTCTCGACCCTCGAGGGCGCGTCAAACACACGAAATGACCATCGCGGCAAAGTTCTCGCTGCAGAGTGCAGCTCGTAAAGACTCCACACGATTTTCTTTGCACTTTCCTGCAAAACTGCGCGCCGAGCGAAAACTCAAGCATCATTCTCAACTAAACTGCTGTGTTTTAATGTGTGTCAAGATTTTCTTTTTTTCTTCGAGTCGGATACAGAGCGATGAGCCATCCTATCCTATTTTGCACTAATGTTACTTGGTGTCCAATCTCTTGTGTGAATAAAATTGGCGGTGGTGAATTAAGAAGCGGCGTACTTTTAACACGGATGATTATAGTGTACAATGTATTACGATGTATTAACGCACGACAGTCAACATTGATGCCCTCGGCATCATGAGACCTCCGCGATAGTGATGGCATTTTCGTCTTTATCTTGCACGCGTCCCGCTCATGAGAATGAAGACACAATGATCCTCTCGCAGCTAGTCGCGTCAGCTAGGATCTTCGTACGCTCGTGTATGTATCGTTCATAGGCAACCATAATAGGTATTATGAACAATGCGGCATTGTCGGTAGATACGCGGCGATCGGTAAATCGCGACCAAGGCCAAGCTGCGGAGCTAACACCACGCGGAATTCCGTAACGACGGGAATTCCGGCATTGTCTCCGTCTAATTTACGTTGCTAATTCTAATTAGCAGTCAGTCGTAAGACTGAGCATTCGTGACAATTCCGTGACCAGAAATTTCTCCATTGGTTTTTAATTATCCGATAATTGATACACACGCACACGCGCACGTACGTATAGCGTACGGCGATTGCCGGCTGAGCGCGTATCGCAACACAGAACCGGCGCGGGCGAATATTGTTTTAATTTAATTAACTGCTAAGATTAACCATTGGACGGGCGAGCGGATATCCTTGATCATTGGTGCATCGCAGGCAGCATCACACTTTTGCCGTGTCAGTGTCATTAAAACTGAAAGTCCGATCACAAGATAAACGTCGGCGATTCCGCCGACGAATTGACGTCAAAATCGACCTTGACGTGTACATCACTCGCGGTTTTCCGACACCGGGAGTTAACTATCAATGCAATAGTAATCCTGATGATTATCAAACGTCACTGTTTCGTTACTCGCGATTAAGGAAAAATCTATAAGGTGTCCCGGGACATAAAGATTTATTTTCTTTTCTTTAACGATCAACTTTTGACATCAAAATTTTGTTTCTTCCACACGAGAGAGAGAGAGACACAATTCCTATAAAACACCTGCATTTTAATGCAGCGTAACGGGAATTTAATTTGCATTAATTAGCGCCGTGTAGCATCGCATCGAAGTTACTTAGAGTCGTTTTTATCAGCAAGTATTTCTATCGCTCGTCTCTCGTTAACGCTGAAGACGTTAACGACTCTTAAGTGAGCTTTTGAGGAGGAGATCCACGATTCATCAGGATCAATTATTCAGGGACATAGTTAACAATTTTGAGAAAGGAATTTCGTTCGTTTGCGTTGGAAGCACAACACAAAATTGCTTTCGTTTTCCCTGTCCATAGGGAAATCCATAGATGAAACGCAACGCGATTCTGCTCGAGCTGACGCACGTTAAACAAATTATCTCGATTGATGTACCGATCAAATCGTGGTTTTTCAATTACGTCTACGTGATTGAGTCACATGCATGAGTAACCGCGCTCAATGACTTTAGATTAAAACTATTATCGGCACGAAATGAATATCGACGAAATAAATTTTCGTTTATTAATTTATTGAGCATGTGCATGCAAATTGCAAGTATAAAACTAAATGTGTTAAACATTTTTGATTGGATACACTTGCATCACCTGCAAAGTGATGCAATGGTAAGTGTTAGGAAAGGTACGTCACTCGTATCATCAATTTGTGGCAAACAGGTGCTTTTAATTAGTGCTTCTCAAGAAAGTCGCTTGATTTACGAAACGATGCGTCTACTTGTGTCGCTAGAACCGTGCAATCTATCGAGAATGTTTTCACAGTAAATGGGTACATTGAGTAAAGTCGGGAATTCTCTCACGTTAACCGAGTATGCGACCGTAATTAAGCGCGCTGATTAAATTACGGAGCTTCATCGTCGGAGAGGTGCGTATCTCCTTTAAAAGAAAATCGGGGTCGTTTATCGCGACATAATCGACAATTATCGGCTGCTGCTTTTATATAGACCAATCTAAAAATAAAAAGAGGAGGAATTACGCGATGCGACGCGATGCGACGCGACGCGACGCGACGCGACGCTCTCATACGACGCTTATACGCGACGCTCGCTTATACTCGCGATATTGTTAGATAACTCTCTAATTACTGATTCGGTGTCGTAAAAAATTATCATGAAACGTGCGTCAATGGCTGGTCAGAATTGCGCCACTTATCACTACCAAGAAAGGTTCTCTTCTGTTACCTCAACGTTTTTATATAAAGACCGATGCCAGTGGGAAATATCTCACAGTCGTCACAGTCTCGGATAGAAGAGAGAGAGAGAGAGAGAGAAAGAGGGAGAGAGAGATAAAGAGCGCGCGGAAAAGCCCTCTAAAGCTGTTTTGTTAATAGCCTCTCGCAATCTCAGTCGTAAGCATGCCACTATTTATCGAGCCGATTGAACCGCGTAATTAATTGTAGCCGAGATCATCGAGATGCGTTTCTGCAATATTCCGTTTTATCTCGATCGACACGTTCGTCTCTCTCGCGAGATGGGATTTCCAAAATTGAAAATTGACTCGTATCGGTTGGATCTCAGGAAAAATGTTAAAACACTCAGTAGTCGTGAAAATAGATTGCAGGTCTCGAGTGATTTGTTTCCGTATTTTTATAATCTCCTCGCAAATATCGATGTACATATCGAAAGTACATATAATCTAGCTTCTCGGGTATAGGCGAGAGCCAGTTTTTAGTACTTTTTATTCGCGAGATAAAAGAAGGGTCGCTCTCTCACTCGAGACAATCGACCCTGATCGCCATTCGATCGCGAACGAATACGCAAAAGATACGCCGCCACTGTCCTGCATCGTTTGCGCGCGAAACCGGACTCACGTGAGTATGGTGACACGTGAGTGACACACTCGCAATTAATTGCAAGACTATCCTAGTGCTATTCCGTCGCAATATTTTATCATCATAAAATTTAATATTATGGATAAAATTTTATAAAAAATCTTTCTCTGTAACAGCACGCTAATACACGTTTAATGTCCATTTTTCTCTTCCAACTTCGCAGATTTCAAAGATGCCGCTGTCGGAGTTCCGCAAGAAAAAATTACTCTTCGTCTTCAACGCTTTCTTCGGTAAGAGTATACACGATTATATTACATATAGACTTACGTCTTGTATCAATTGTAAAATATTCGACGTAAATTCGGGTAGAGATGTATTTATTCATTTGCGTTTACAGTAGCGCGTTCAACGCGTTATTCAGCGATGATGAAGGGGTCTCGGTGCAATTATTTCGCAAATGCTGCCACAATTTCGCTCGAAAAGATTCACAATGAGAAATAAGAAAGCATTGATCCTCCTAGAAGCTGGTTATGAAACGACGGCAAATGATATAGTGGCAACAAAGCAATCTCAACAGCGCCATGAGACAGAGCGATATTTTTAGTTTCTCAAGCACAATTTTATGCGCCATTCATCTCGACGACATCTCTCGATCGTTCCTTCACCGCGATTGTTTATATTTCACGCGTAATGAGCGAGCAACGTAAAAACAAAAGTTCGTTTGAATTCAATCGTTCAATTGTTCAGCTCGTTCCCTCAGCAACATATTAAAAAAAAAAGAGAGGAGCTATTTTCTTCGTACAAGTGAAAATGTAACACGTTTGAAGAGATCGCGCGCTGTGTACAACGAAACAAACAATGGCCATCACACGAAGAAGGCAAAGAAAAGTCCGAGTGGAATTATCGTTGTTGATTAAGCGAGCTTTATCAATCCTACACGTCGCACGGAGAGCACGGAGAGCACGGGAGCGAAGCTCCTCTCTTCAGCGGTGCAATTTTTCTCCGCCGCTACAATTTGGCCCGCGTTACAGCCGCCAAATGCGCTCGACACCGTCGAGCGGGAACGGTTCTCCTCGAGACTCGAGACATTCCGAGATAACATTTACCGCTTCCCCGCAGCGCTCGTTGGACGAAAATCTCCCGTCGCCTCGTACAGCTCGCCGAAACAAATCCTCATCGAGCGGTATAACGTAACGAACGAGGTGGTGTCGCATCCTCGCGCCTGATGGCATCGCCATCCCTTCCAGCAGCGGCGTTGCCGCGCGCTGCTATATTCTCGTCGGGATTCTCTTGATTCTCTCCTAACGACCCTATTTCACTCGCCCTCGCATTCGCGCGCTCTCTCTCTCTCTCTCTCTCTCTCTCTCTCTCTCTCTCTCTCTCTCTGCGAAAAGCTGCGCAAGCCATATCGTTTCGACACGAATGAAATACGAAGTTCGCCCGAGGGTCGCTCTCACGCGGCTCTTTTCGGGGGGGATGAAAACGGGATCGGGGTGGCGCGGCGACGCGGCGGTGCTGCGGGTTGCCCATTCGCCCCGCGAGGAGCGAGGTGGGACGTGTACGCCTATTTACGCTACGAAGGCTCCAGGAGATAAACAATAGGCGCCGTCGAGTCCGATTAAAGGCGCTTGCCATGCTGCGTATGATACACACGATGATACGTGTCCTAATTCCCTGCGTGCGTACGTGCGTGCATGCGTGCGTGCGTGCGTGCGTGCGCGTTAGTTAGTGTCCTTCTCTCAAGAGGGTCGTTTTAAGACTCCCACAGGACCCTTAAGCGCTTTTCCTTCCCTCCCTCGTTCTCGAGCCAACCCGGCCAACTACATGCTTCATCGTATCGGACGTAATGAAGCGGGATTGCGTCTTCCACAACGTTACACACGTAATTTCTATTTGTTTCGCGCGATTATAAAGATCGTTCAAGGAGCAGCAAGAACAGCAGAGGAGCTCTCTCCTCTCTCTCTCTCTCTCTCTCTCTCTCTCTCTCTCTTTCTCTCTCTCTCTTTCTTCATTGGAAATGCCGTCGTTGACGTGAAAACATTGGCTGACACACATTTAAGAAAGTTGTAAGAACTGCTCCGTCACGTTCGCTTAGGGAGCATGATATTTCACGTAGAGAATCGCGTGTTCTCGGTTCTCGGTTTAAATAATTAATTTCAATCTATACCGGCTATATATATATATATATATATATATATATATGATGTCACATTAACGTCTCCCTCGTCAAAGCTCCATTAATTTCGACTTGTTATGCTGAACGAAACTGACGCGGCGCACTATTAGTTTCGATACTCAAACCCGTTGAGAAAACTCGCGAGCTTCGCGCGCAGTCCACTTGCGATGGACTTGACGGATGAAATCGTGTCGTGCACGCGCGCGTTTTCACGATGACGACGCGTCGTCGTCATCATCATGTAAAAGTGCATCGTGTGCACGCGTATAGTGCGCTACATTGCGCGGATCACGCGGAGGTCACAGGCGTGCACACGCCTGGCAGCCCTCATTAACCCCTCACGCGCTTTCTCGTATCCTCTTTGACCGCTGCGATTGGCCGCGCTAAACATATCCTACGAACGCTTCTCCGCGAAACTGATACGTTATTTCACCTACGTGACCTATCCGTGCGACACGACGAGGTACGGGGGCGGGGGGGGGGGGGTTACGCATTCGTGTTTACGTCGTCGATACACGACTGTGTCCAATCATCTCATTTTCCAATTTGAATACACACGTCGTGAGAGAGACTTGTCTCCTCCTTCGTGAGAGGAGGATTTGTTTTCGCGCTCATGGAAATACAAATGTTGTTATCTATTATTCGCATCATCTCGCTGTTGTTTTTGCAACCAGTTGTACGTTACCGTTATTGACAACGTACCGATTGCATCTCCGGACGCATTCATTATTTGCTCAGCCCGCAATCCCGGTTTGTCAGCCACTCAACGGAGATACCGGGGAGAGATCATAAATTCTACCGCGTTCTATCTCGTTGAATCGTAATCGCCGCTTAACGGAATTTCCGTTACGGGAGTCACGAATAGACGAAACAGAACAGTGGTGGTTACTTTCCGCAGCGAGACAGAATTAATAAACGACAAGTCGGGCGGAAGCCACGCGAAAAAAAAAGAAAAAAGAAAAAAGGAAAGAAAAAAAAAACGAATAAACTCGCCAAGTGGAAGTGGGTCATCTTCAGAAAACCAACGATATCCGATCGCGGCCGAGAGGCTCCAAAATCGAGTGGCGCAATCGTTCATCTTGTCCTTTAAGTGAAAAATGTACGATGCTCTTCGCGAATGGTAGCGACAGTCGGGTACCGTATGTCCGTATTTTGCTCGAAATAACAAATAGCCGCGCGCAAAAGATCTCGGCGAATAAAATGCCACAACGCCGGACAATTGCATTTTTGAGCAAAGCGCAAAGCACAGCAATGCGAATAACAATCGTGTAACGTCCTTCCCCGTTCTTTCCCGCAGATGTTAATCAAAGCGGCACCATCGACAAGAAGGATTTCGATCTCGCTGTGCAAGTAAGTATACAAATGCATCGCATTATTCTCTTATCTCCGGTGCATTCTACCGCAAACGAAGGCGAACGAGATTTGTTCATGCCGCGTCCGGCAGCAGTATCTCCTTAGAGACGGAAATATAATGCTCTGGTGTAACGTGTTTCTATCTCGCTTCGTTTTCATTCTCGCTAATCGGTAATCGCGCTAATCGGTCAAAGATATCCGGAATGCCCCACCCCTCCCTCCTCCTCCGCCGCCGCCGCCGCGCCCCGGTTGATTCCCACGTTATTTTCGTATTACAGCGAATCTGCAACTCCAAACATTGGAAGCCGGACGATTCCACGTCGCAGCACATTAAAGACACTTTGATTAAAGTCTGGGATGGACTGAGGCAGCGAGCCGACGCCGATCAGGACGGGCAGGTAGTGATCGTAAATATTTCCGCGCTCGCTTTAGCGACGAAACCATACCACGAATTACATACAGTTCATCACCGACCCGAGACCGAACTCTCCGAAACAACTTTGCGAATCTCTACTTTATACCTCACACTCCGCATTTCGCCTGCGTCGATCGACTTTTAAGCCTTCTAAAATAACTGGTCGGATTTGCGTTTGCTCGAGCTTCACTTCGAGCAAGCTGAAGGAATATTCCGCGATATTCCGAGATCCCTCTCTCTCTCTCTCTCTCTCTCTCTCTCTCTCGTGACTCTCGATTGAAATTTGCGAAAGACAGAGACACACTCAGAGGCGGACATACGTGTACGTGCGATATTATAAAACATGATCTCTCATCTCTCTTTCAGATCAGCCGAGACGAGTGGTACTCGATGTGGGAAGAGTATGCGAAAGATCCGGCGCATGCACTCGAATGGCAACAAATATACATGAACTTCATGTTCGATCTCGAGGATTCTTCCGGTGAGTCTTCCGAGAGAGCTCGCGTTGCGCGGCGAACGAGGAGCGTGCGTATATTACAGCGTAGTTACGCATGCACGGCGCGGAAATTCCTGAAATACTGTTGTAAATGCAAAATTATTCGAGCCGAAAACGCCGAAAGGAGGAAAGCGTGTATCGTGTACGCGTCATCGATTCCATGGTCTTTCCCACTGGGCATCTGGGGGGCACACGTTACGGTAAATTCGATCGTAAAGTCGACGCTATTCTGTTCGCGAATCGCGCACCCTGTTTTTCTCCAAAATCCCGTTACTTATCTCTTCGGGCGAGTGACACACATGTACGCGATGCGTACATGTGTATATTATGTCATTTCTTCTTGTACCACTTGCACCACTCTTTACTCTTAACGTCAATACAACCGCGCTTTTGTAGACAAGAATATAAATATCGACCGAGAGCGATACCCTTATTGAGGACACGATAGCCATCAATTAAGCAAGCAACCCTGTTCGTTCCCCTATTATTCATTCATACCAATTCCTTCTAATAATATCTCGGCCTTGTGCACCGAAATTTCCCGTTTAAATACACGCCGAGATCCCATACACGCAAAATAAAATACGAAGTAAAATACAAGTTTGAAACTCGAGCGCGATCTTTTCTGTGTGTCCGTCAGGTGACGGATCGATCGACGAGACCGAATTCAGTAAAGTGTGCGGCAGTCACGGTGTCGAGGAAGCCGAGGCACGCGAGGCGTTCAAGAAATTGGGGGTGGTGAGTACCGACCGATTTTGAAAAAGAGAAAAAAGAATTGAGAAGAGAGAAAGAAAAATTGAAAGGAAGCCTGTGACGTCGCGCCGCGTGTTTCGAGTCTCACTCGTCTAAAATTGTTTACTTCTCCGCAGGGCACGGAAGTGACTCGCGAGAAATTCGCCGATCTGTGGAAGCAATACTTCTGCTCCGACGACCCGAACGTACCTGGCAACTTTATATTCGGAAAGACTTCCTTCTAACTCTTCCCTGCCGCCCCCATGAAATTGAAATAGCGCGCGTATATTTTCGTCGTTCGTCGACAGACAGATTGTTATTTTACGTAACCGTGTGACGTTTGCGCTAAAAAGGTAGAACGAAAACTCTCTGTTAATGTGCTAATGGACAAACTCTCTACTTTTGGTCTGTCGCCCCCGCTCGTGTGTGTTATACGTCGTATATCGAATTAATGAATATCGTTGTGGACGAAACAATCGAGAACGAACTTTACGCTATAATGCCCCCTTCCCTTATTCTCTGTCGTCGTTTAATCCGCGCAGTCGCGCCGCGTGCTTAAATTTCATTTTCTCGCCGTCTGCTTGCGGAAGATGATTTCGGCCGGATACGCGGAGCTTTGCGCTTTTTAACGTTTGCAGATTTGTCTACCTCGCTTGCTACGGGCAATTTTTTTTTGCATCAGCGATCGACAGATGCGACGAAACGAACACGGGATTGACAGGACAGAATCGGAGGAATTTAGAATTTGTATCGCAGCTTTCTCTTTCGTTGCTGCATTGCTCCATGCTCCGACTCGATTCTCACTTTGACCGTACTTGCAACTGAGCTCCCAAATTGCCAATTTCGACACCTGCTAGCTAGCTTCTCTTTGTATTTTTGACGTTTGACGCAAAAGGCCGATACATCCCATATGATGCGTCAAAGATGCGTCAAATCAAAACCCATAAGCTAAATATTTCAACACATGTTAGAGTTCGGATCGTGCATCTATCTATCTTTACGGCATATATCGACCCATCGCCGTCGAGAAGCTAATTACGCCCATGTACCCCATGTAAATAAACGCCCTTGCGAATATGGTATTGTAAAAGTGATTAAGCTGTTTCGATACGCGGGAGAAGAAGAAGTAGAGGAGAGGAAGAGATCTCACCGAGGCATATGACGATTAAGCCATCTTTTGTCGTGTATATGCTTTACGAGTTTTCGAGGGGGAGGCCAGTCGAGTTTGTAAATCCGTAAAAGGTTCTCTTTTACGTGCCGCCGATCTCACGTTTTCACGTTAGCGCTCCCGTGGTGGCGGATCATCGCGGATGACGCTCGATTGTATTTACAACTCGATGGAACTGATTGGCATTCAGTGAGAGAGAGAGAGAGAGAGAGAGAGAGAGAGAGAGAGAGAGAGAGAGAGAGAGAGAGAGAGAGAGAGAGAGAGAGAGAGATTCTCCTCCTCGGTGTGCGCGGCTGCGAAAGATATTTTGAGAATTGAAAACAAACGGTGTATGTCCGCGCCAAACGCGCGCACCTTTTCGCACTCGCGCTATTCCGTCTCTTCTTTCTTCTCTTTGTTTTTATTTTCTTTCAAAATGCTATGCATTGATTTGCGTGTTCTGACAACCACTTTCTCTGACCGTTTCTGTTCTGTGGACGCAATGGAAAGTTTTTTCTTTTTTTCGTTAATTTCTAATATTCCGCAGATATTGTTTCGTTTATGTTGATTTTAGAAGATATGTAACCGCAATGATGTTGCATTAAGTTACAAATTTTGCAAACGACGATTTCGTTGTGATCGATATTATCGTATTTGTATCGGTGTAAATTATACAACTAGGAACATATTTGTCAATTATATTATAAAACATCAATCGAGGCGTTTCCTCCTTTCTTTTTTTCTAAACGTTAATGATTGCGTAATGAGACGAGCGTACATTATATTGCGTTATATTATACGAGCGATCAAACAATTTGCGAAAAATATGGAGATACAATTAGTATATTTTCACGATAATTTAATTTCAATTAACCAAAAACTGATTGCACACGAAGCTGATACAACGCTAAATTAGGAAAATTGTATTCTTCTTTAGATTTGTTTTAATTATCGATCACTGCCCGTAAAGATACAAACATAACGTACTAGATCGAGACAGCGCTATGTTCAATCCATCGTGTGTGTAAATAATAACAAAATGAATATTTTCCGTACTCGTTAGAAGATGGATGTTACACAACAATGTAAATTGCTAAACTTTCGTCCGTCGTAAGTCATAACGATCGTTAAACGAATATACGACGCGGCTATAAAGAGGAGGCTATAGAGAGAAACATATGAATGTAACGATGCACTCGTTTGATTTGATGATAGGGCAGGCAAGGAGCAAGTGACACATGTTAAATGTTGGTGAAACAAACAACAACGTAAGCAGAAAGCGAAAGAAAAATAGAAAGAGATAATTTCAAACAACGTCGTACGCAACGATAAACTAATTGTGTTTAAATTGGCCGATTATCTCCATTATATAATTCTCACAATCCGCGTGCTTTTCTATGTATTATGCTAAAATAAAAAGATAAGATGAATAATTTATTTTGTATGCCAAACTAATTTTTTTTGAAGGGAACAATGAGAGACTTAAATCGCGAGTGCCATCTCTTATAATTTATATCTTAATGCAAATCGTTTTGTTACGCCTTCAAAGGAAGTATATCAAAATACTTATCTATGTTTGTGATCATATATATGGATTTTGTGTCAACCGAAGCAAAATGTGCTTGTGTATAACTTGTTATAGTAATAGACATGTATGTATTATTCCTGTTCTTTTATGAGAACATATGAGTATATAAGCATATGCACTTATATAAATATAATAACCTAGCATACCCCTTCCTTCTATTGGGTTGGCAACTAAGTGAAATAAAAAAAAATAAGTGAAAGTGAATAAAATTGAAACGAGAAATATGAAATATATATACTGTATAAAATTTAAAATTGTGGCACGTCCTCTTTCATTAAAGATATATATATCATATATATATCCCTAGTCGAAAGAAATATCCCGCAATATTCATAGTAGCAAGTAAGTTATATACGCTGTATTAATGTAATGCGTATTGTAAATTTGTACAATTCGTGCAATGTAAATCCAGAAAAACTGTCAGAGAGAATTATTATTATTATCATCATCAAGATAGAATATATAATAAATCATATAGAGAGAAAATTATCGAGTCAACATTTCTCTTCTATATCAACCCGGCCAATTCCAAAGTAATATAATAAACTTTCCATTTGTACATCAGTTGTACGTACATGTCATTGATATACCTAATATCGATATGTACCTCATATATATACCTGACATGCTGAAATTCCAACCGATCCAAACAGAAATCTCCGTTCAAATAGAGATGCAAATAGCGAGATGACTACGTCTCTGGCGGATTTTTTATAACACATCTCAACAGTGCTTGTATTATTATATAAAAGGCGGAAAGGAGAGATACGAGATAAATCGCGATCGCATATTCATCGAGATGCTACAAAATTATTTTAAATCTTTTCTTTTATTTTTCACTCACTAAAACGACTTGCAGTCAAGGTCGGCCAGGTTAGGTTATGCTCCAAACCTAACTAGAACAAAAAACAGACATTCGCTGGTTAGATTTAAGAATGTAACTTAACGTGAACAGGTAGATAAGAGTGTGTTACGGGTATAAGTGTATAAAAGATAAACTTTTTATAAGCGTAACTCAATTGTCGTGCCGATTATACCCCAGCTTTAAGTCGTCAAAAGTTAAATGGAAAACTAACAGAAACTTATAAATTAACCTTCAAATCGGCTCTGCTCAGCCCGAACCGGATTCTCCGGTACGGCGGCACCCATCTTTCGCACTACGATCGCAAGATCTTTCAGCTCTGCTGTAAAAACATAATTTTTCTAATTTATAATTGCGTCGGGACAATACTGAAATCAAAAGCAAAAGTGACCGAGAGAGATTAAGCACCATCGAGCTTACAGACTGATGTGCAAATTTGATTCATGTCGTAGCGTCGTCGTTTCGGACGTTTGTAGCACTTTCATCGTCGTTTGTGAGATCGCTCTGCATTTTTTCGCGTGTTCATCTGCATAAAAAATCTCATCACAAATGCCGCGGGAGTGCTGAATTGCGTGATATGCGATCGTCGTGACGTGTTGATCGCGATCGATTTGCGTTCTCTTTATAATACCGTTCGGTTTCGCATCGTTCCGTTCCATTGCGTTTTGTCGCGCCGTCCGTTGTCGGTGACACGATCTGTCGATTACAATCATTTTGCATTATTCAACGCTTTGTCTGAGTCGTCGTATAAACTACCTGCGATCGAGCACCATATATATGTCCAGTGAATTAATTAAGTTGCGACCAATTGATTGTCCGTTGAGATGATCAGATTTATGGTCCGTACATTCCGACGTAAAGTTGGCTGCATCATTCGATTACACGAGTCGACTGTAGCGCGCGCGCGCGCGCGCGCGCGCATGCAACGAATGATATAGGATAAACGTATGCTCGTCGGAGGGAAAGAGAAACTACAAGTGAGAGGGAGGGAGGAAGAGAGAGAGAGAGAGAGAGAGAGAGAGAGAGAGAGAGAGAGAGAGAGCCAGAATATTAAGTGTTGACACGATGACATTACGATGGCTCCATCTTATAGCTGTAAACAGAAGAATGCGTTGTAGTATTTGTCGGTGTCATCGGTCGTATCGTCGATATTCGAACACAAGATAATAAGATAAGATATAAGAAAATTCGAAAAGATCAAATTAATAATAGTTCAAAATATGGTGAGTCTTTCGCATGATATGTGATGAAATAAATATTATCACAATACAATTTTCTCATAGTATGTGCTTATATTATCTTTAAATGTCTGTCTAACCGCCTAACCTTAAAACAATCCGACATTATGCCGATTTTCGAGAACGCATAATATATCTTGGATATTTCCGGCTCGTTTTCGCCTCTCATATCTTATCGTATTTCATTCCGATACGCGATAACTTCATCTAGCCGTTGAAGTTAAATCTCAGTATGAGTTATTTCGTGTGACAAGTAGCTATGAGTGCAACAATCGTTTTTTACGAAAAACCATTTTCCTGCTTGAATCCTCGCTCACCCGCGCGATATTATCCGCTGCTAGACTTAAATGGCTGGTTCAGGTTTGCCGATGCATGTGCGGAGTGAGGAGAGTGTGGAATATTTCAATTTTTTTGCTAAATTTGTCTTCATAAGGCATTCTTAAAGTAAGAACAATGTGAGTAGGATGTGCTTTACTTGACTTACAGATTACGTTTGTTTGTACATTTTATTCATTGTACATTTCTACATTATTGTATTTATCTCTTTCTTATTTTATTTATCTCTTTCTCATTATCTCCGTTATTTGATAGAGCAAGCTCTTTTTTTCAGTTACCAAGTTGTTTTATATACTTGAAGATTTTAATCTTGCTCTAGTAACCTCATATTTGCATGTTGAGAAGTGTTTACGTAATACAATGACATGTACTTTTAGCAGATTTATAAGAGGTTAATGTATTTATAATATTGTGTGTATTGTTTCAATTTTATAATGTTGTTTAAAAAGAAATCGGTACTATAATATGAGAAATTGCTATTATAATATACATAATAATGTTATTTCATATGTATTTATGCGACTTGTATAATAGCTTATTGTTGTTCTTATGGACTGATTTAATTTATTAAGGATATACACCTTCTGTCATGTACTACTATCCATTGAGTTACATTTGTTGTTACATTTATAGGCCCAGCATTTTTACTAATGAAGCGAAATACAAAATATCAACAAATGAAGAACAAAAGTCTGTCATGACTTCTTTGGGGAAATTAGTATTTGGGGATATTCATCAAAGATACATCAAAGATTCATCAAGAAGATCATTGACGCAGGATGATTTGTCTGCAGAATATACAGATTCCTTGTCTCTTGCATATGAAAATCTTTTATATATGCCTATGGATATAATAGAGACATATGGTGTTACCATTGATACTTTGGACATTAGTTATAACAAGTTTAGTAGGTAAGTATATATAGATAGATGTTTGTAATATATGTAACGGAAGAATTGTGGAAAGATATAATATTACCCATGACCCAATACACACAGCAAGATTGAGATCAATTTTGATATTTCAGGAATCTGCAGTTTTTGTTGGAATTTGACCATCTGACTTCTCTCAACTTAGACCACAACATCATAGATGAACATACAGTGTTTCCATACATGCCGCAACTCGAGCTTCTTTGGTTAAATCACAATGGTATAAACACTTTGTATCCCTTTATTAAGAATCTCTGCAAGAGTCTACCAAACCTCAGATACTTGTGCCTTATGGGAAATAATGCAGCACCTAGTTACCTTAACGATGGAACTTCTTATGATCATCTCCAGTACAGGTATGATAAATAAATAATCTGTCTCAAATCTCTTTTTAATTTATAACTTGCTTGTAAGTTTCCAAGTTGTGTCAAACTTTTCAAACAGGTTGTTTGTGATATCATGGTTTCCAATGTTAGTACATTTGGATGATAGTAAAGTGACTGCGGATCAACGGAGAGAAGCTAGAAAATTATTCAAACGACCGCTGTTTGAAGATCTTCTTCAACATACAATAGTGCCAGAATGTGTGAAACATTTGCACAACAGGATAACGAATACATTATGGGGTTTCGATAAACGAAGAAAGAACTTGATTGTTTAATCATTATCAAGGCACAGAGGCGTACTGTAGGGATGTAGGAGATTTAAAAATAAAAAGATAGCGTATCTTTTTCAAAATAAATGAGATTGTAATTTCTTACATTTTAATAAAAATAATAAAAGAATATGTGTGCGTTTGTGTATATGATTGTATTCTTCCGCGTCAATATTTGTAATTGTAATGTTTCTATCGATAATCATTTGAAGAATACTGTACAAACTAACTTGAATGTTAAACTTGAACATTAAAATAGTATCTACTACGTGTACTGTACGTGTAAATAGTATACTACTACTAATATTCGTACTCTACGCATGTATATATACGAAGTTATATGTAACACTAAGTTTTTGAAACTTTTTGGACGTAGATGTGTGTGTGTGTATATATATATATATATATATATATATATATGTATATATCTTAATATCAGAGAGGAACGTGAGAGCGGCCAACACGATGTTTTTGACGACACCGACTTTCCGTACTGGGAAAGGACGTCATCTGCATCCATTTTGAGAGAGGAACTACGATGCTACATCCACTTTCAGGTTTCGGCGGTAAAACCTGTATGTGGTGGCAGTCCGTGCTACATCCGTTTTTAGGCGGTTTATGTCCGTGCTACAACCACAATAGCATACTTGACAAGCACGGTCTCGCACATTGTTACGCGTTTATAACATGAATTAACATGTTAACATGTGCAAAAAAAAAGAATTGACATTGTGTGTGATTAATATCATGAAGATCATACGAAGTGTCCGATAATTAGCTGCCAACCCGAAGTGTGAGGGTAGATTGGGTTAAGACAAACGTAAAAGTCCCATATCATTTTGCGAGATTCGCAATAATTATCGAGTTATTAATGAAGAAATCTGAGGAGTAAAAGCGCGCTGACATAGATGATTCGAAAAGCGAATATCGATTAATACCATAAATCAGTGTCAAAAAATTGCACACGTGCAATGACAATTTGTTCTTATTTTTCAAGTACTTACCCTCTAATCCCCTCTAATCTCATACAACAAATTAACTCGGATAAACGAACGATTCGTATCAATTTTTTGTCTTATAAAAAAATGAGAAAATAAATCAATACCGAAAACCGAAGACTGATCAATACCGTAAATCAATGTCAAGAAAATTTTCCAAGTGCAATGACAAGTTGTCTTCATCTTGCAGGTACTTACCTCTCTAATTTACTCAACAAATTATCTCGGATAAACAAACGGTCCGTATCAATTTTTCTTTTCTTATATAGAAATGAGAGAATAAATCAGTACCGAAAACCGAAGATTGATTAATACCACAAATCAATGTCAAGGAAATTATCCAAGTGCAATGACAAGTTGTTTTCATCTTGCAGGTACTTACCCCACTAATTTACTCAACAAATTAAGTCGGATAAAAAAACGATTCGTATCAATTTTTATTCCCTTATAAAGAAATTTGAGAATCAGTCAGTACCGAAAATTGAAGACCGATCAATATTTAACTTATTCATCAAATTAACGCGAATAAATAAACGATTCGTTAGAATTTTTTTTTCTTATAGAGAAATGAAAGAGTAAATCAGTACCGAAAACCGAATATCGATCAATACCAAAAATCAGTGTCAAAAAGTTGTCCAGGTGCAATGACAATTTGTTCTCATTTTTCAGGTACTTACTCTAATCTTATTCAACAAATTAACCCGGATAAACGAACGATTCGTATCAATTTTTTTTGTCTTATAAAAAAATGAAAAAATAAATTAGTACCGAAAACCGAAGATTGATCAATACCATAAATCAATGTCAAGAAAATTGTCCAAGTGCAATGACAAGTTGTTTTCATCTTGCAGGTACTTGCCCCACTAATTTACTCAACAAATTAAGTCGAATAAACGAATGATTCGTATCAAATTTTATTCTCTTATAAAGAAATTAGAGAATAAATCAGTCAGTACCGAAAATTGAAGACCGATCAATATTTAATTTATCCATCAAATTAACGCGGATAAATGAACACTTCGTATGAATTTTTTTTTTCTTATAGAGAAATGAAAGCGTAAATCAGTACCGAAAATCGAATATCGATCAGTATCAAAAATCAGTGTCAGAAGATTGTCCAAGTGCAATGATAATTCGTTCTCATTTTTCAGGTACTTACCCCTCTAATTTATTCAATAAATTAACTCGGATATATAAACGAACGATTCGTATTAACTTTTTCTTCTCTTATAGAGAAATGAGAAAGTAAATCAGTACCGGAATTCGAATATCGATTAATATCGTAAATCAAAATTTATATTGCTGTATTTAATTCCATCGTCGCAAAAGATTTGAAGTTTTCTCTATCCTAGTCCTAACTTGTAGAAAATTTGATACTCATCTCTATTTGGCAAAAGTGCGTCGGACTTTCTGTACTAACTAATATAAAAAATTTTTTTTCATTCTTATTTTTTCTACGTCTAATACTTTAATACCGAATCTGTCGAAATGAACCGGTCTGCAGAAATTCTTGCAAGACGTTTCTCTCTCTTTCTCGCTCTCCTCTCTCTTCGTCTCTGAATCGCCGCTAACGATCGAAAAACACAAGCGGAAAGTAACGAAAATTTATTCATCCAACTAAAACGTTCTTCGTGTTATTTCTTAAGCGTTGGATAAATACCGATCCGGCGTTTTGTCTAATATCAAACAAAAGTAAAATAAAAGTCTCCGTTTTTTCTTGCCGACATTCAAATCGATAGTTTTCTACAAGTTAGGATTTGATAAAAAAAAAATCTCTCCCGAGTCGAAATATGAATTCTACATTGATCCTGCAAATTGCATCCAATTTGAAAAATTAATGCAGATTATCTAGATGCGCAATAGTGAACAAGCTTTGTCCTACCTGAACGTTACATCTGGCTACTCTCGCAGTCTCGCCCATGATGACTCTTCAACCGCTGTTGACGTATTCCGCAGTTATTTAATACTCGTTTATCTCGATAATGTATATGTACTTAATCCTTATATTCTTAATTTAAATAAGCAATTTTTGTTGATGTTGATTATATATTCGCTTAACAGAGCAAGAAAGAGAACAAAGATAAAAAGGTAAATAGAACTACCTTTGTTAGAACTGCGCGTGAAATAAATATATAAGGATTAAATAATCATATAAGAATCAGAGGAAATGGGGAGATGAAAAACACTTTTTATTCTCATCATTCTTAAAGTTCTTTTTTCCTCTTTTCTTCTCTTTTTTTTCTTTTCTTTTTTCTAACGAGAATGATGAGAATTGTAGCTCTCAAAAGAGCTGAAGCTGCAAAGGCAAAGACAACGGTTATGTCTAATAATGCTGTTTCGCTAATAGAGATTTTAATTCAGATTCGGCACAATAAGAAAGATAAACAAGAATGAGAAACGGACATTCTCGCAGATTCTAAACGAAAACAGCAATCTGAGCATTATTAGACGAATAAAAATCAACACTTGTAAAATTTATATCAGATTCTAAGATCATTATTCACAGTTTTTTAAATTATGTGCAACTTTTTATTGAGAACATAATTAAAAATTTGTATTCATAAACCTTAGCTTGCCTCAGCAACCTTGCTTGAATAGACATTCATATTTTATGAGAAAAGAAAAGTAGAACTCACGTGAAATTAGGTTACGTGAAATTAGGTCAACGAATAATCAAATCTCAAGCTATCTTATCATTTTTCAGATGATAAACTATGAATGCTGATCTAATTTCGACTCGGGTATGTCCTTACTTCGAGTAAGGTCCGTTAAAATCAGAAAAATCCTGCATAATAATAATTACTCCAGGTACCTCGAATACCGTACATGATGTATCGCTGTCCACGTCTCTCGGCGCGCTCCAAGTCCTCTCTCCATCCTGACTTCTCGATCCGACGTCCTCCTTCTGGTTACTCCGTCGCAGCACCCCCGGATACTCCATCGTAGCACTGGCGACGACACTGACTCTAGCTCTAACACTCGCGCAAGTAAGATTCGTACAAAGAAACGCGTATTAACCGACACTCGTGCTACTCTGCGTCGCGGTATGCGCGTCGTTCGTCGGTCCGAGGCGCAATGTCCGCAATCACGGAGTCATGTATAAGCGTACTAAAACAAACAATCGGGAAGGCATGGTTACCCCCCCACCTTGCCGATCAGTGTTGATGCCTGCGTCGTCCGTTGGCTGAAAATAAAAACAATTCGTGTTTTCAAAGCATGCCTGTGAGAGACTCGCTTCAAACTTCACAATACTTATTTACGTCTGTTCCAAGAATCATATTACGCCGAATTCAAACTGTCTCTATTTTGACATGACATACACGAGATCTGCGATCGCATCATTGATCCTTCTTTGGACAAGAAAATCCTGAGAGGAACGCTGTTCGAGAATATCGCATTTTATGTTTCAGGTGCCTTGCAGATTATCGAATCCGATGTAACAGATCAGGGAAAGTATGAATGCGTCGCTACACATACAGGTTTTACCGCCGAAACCTGAAAGTGGATGTATAGCATCGTAGTTCCCCTCTCAAAATGAATGCAGATGGCGCCCTTTCCCAGTACGGAAAGTCGGTGTCGTCGGAAACACCTTGTCGACCGCTCTCACGTTCCTCTCTGGTAAAAGCAATCGATGATGGATCGATTTAATTCGGAGCCACACGTAGTGTAATAAGACAGTGGTTACTGATTTAACGCATACAATAACCGGACCGCTTCGTCGCATCCTATTATATCCGACTGTACTGTAAAGAAAATTACGTGCATATGATTAAGCATAAATATTAACGTGCAATAATTATATTTTAATTATTATTGATATTAAATAATTTTTTTATTAAATAATTAACGTTAATAATTTAAGTGATATCAGTAACTTGAGTTATCTTCGCAAAAGAATTGACATATCCATTTGATTTCGAAAATATTTTTTTGAGATTTTTACGAATCAGCGTGCAAAATTATACAATGGATTGTAGAGTGTTTGCAGGAGGAAAGTGAACAGTTTAATACATTCTGGAATCTTTTAGAAAATTCCAAAATATTTTAGAAGATTCTAGAATGCTTTAGAAAATTACAGAATGTTCTTGAATATTCTAGGAGATTGTAAAATGTTTTAAAAGAAACCCGCCAGAAATTACGAATACTACTTCTTCGGTTATCATGTGTTGCGGATACAAAAGTCCGAAAACAGAGAGAATGAGAAACTTTTAGATTCCCGCCAGAAGTCCGGAATACCTCTTCGGTTATCATGTGTTCCGGATACAAAAACTTCTAGTCTCTTGTCTGTTTTTCTATTAAGGAATTAAGGAATGACCACCATGTCGGTTATCGTAAATTTATCATTTTCTTATAGACATTAGTTTATTGGCAAATTGGTAATGAGACGCAGACAATCGATTACAAAGCATACTTTATAAAATAATCATTATTATCCGTGTCATAAAAAAAAATTTGCGTAATATATAAAAGTTACCTATTAACAGTACATTTATCTACTACATGCGTCGTAAATTACAGTTTGAGTCACGTGACGCATCGTTACCTTTATTATAATAATATTTCCATTAACGATATGAAGTAACCGCTCAAATTTGATAAACTCTTCTGGAACACCGTTCAATCCACTGCCAATGATGTCCTGATGTCAGAATGCATACTTAATATTTGTACACATATAGCAGAAGAACGAACGTACTTTGTGCATTCGGTTCTGACAAATAGGAAAGTAGCCTTATTGTTTGAAATACAGAGACATTATTAAAGTCCAAAGGCATCGTAAAGACGTGGAAAATTTTGAAAAAAACAGCGCGCCTATATAACAATAAATAAGATAAATAATTTGTTATATATTTTGACAAGAATATGAAGTAACACATCATGATGTACAAAGGTTTGTTCAACTGCGAATTCTATTTCGCGAATTTCGCAAAAGTAGGCGTAATTCTTTTTGGTATCTTAGTAATCTTAGTAAAGTCCTAACCTAGAGACGGACTGCTGAAAGCTCGCTGCGGATTGTTACTTTTTATATTGCGGACTCGTGAGATGCTGATAGTCAGAATCATGAGTATTCGAACCGTAATCCTTCCAATAGGAAAGATCCATTTGCGGTAGTTGGTCGCAATTCAAGAGCGGATTCCTGAAATTAATTCGTATTAGCGATTATTTCTCGAATTTTAGTCTCATATTATGAGAACGATGGAAATAAATAGTGAGCGGTTGGTCGAACTCACATTACGGAGACCTGGTGGAACCCTGCTCTCTGCATGCGTCGAATGTGATCCCCGTTGTCGCAAAGTAGTCGTGATATGCTCGACTTTCGTATCTCATTTAGTTGTTCTGTAAACGAAGTGATGTTAACATGACAATTGATGTGTGTGTGTGTGTGTGTGTGTGTGTATATAATTATGAAGTTTATTTCGATCGATCATCATTGTTTATTATATATCGGGAAAAATCATAATTGTTATTAAAATGTTACATGCCGTTAGCGTACCTATCGTGAATGCTACTTCCGGATCTTGAGTCTCAAACCAATAACGATCACCGATTCGCGTTTGTTGAAATTGTCTCGTCATGATGCATAAGAACGTCGGACCGGCTAATGTGTCGGTGATATGCCTTTCCAAAGATCCTCCGACAGTCAATTCGACATCGTCCGGGCTATCGTACAACGTCGAGAGCTTGTGTATGTCCTAAGGATTAAATTTGTTTCTCAGTGTAGTAGACGTACGCGTCTTGCTTGTCTAGTAGCTCGTTCTAGTACCTACTGAAAACGAGATGTAATCGGCAAAATCCATGAAACTCTTTGCCCGTGATAATCCGCAATATTCGCGGAAATCGTTGTAAGAAGCGAGCCCGTGATCGCGATCTCTTTGTATGTCCGTCGCTCTCAAGTCAGACCCGAGGGCTCTTCCTCTTCTGAAGAGGTACTGCGTTATCTATAAATATTTGTTATCAACGTAAATCGCAATTTATCGTCGATGTTACAGGCAATTAAATGTGATGTGACCAATTAACGGTTAACGGAGGGCGTTTTGTCGCAGGTACCTCTTTATCGAAATATACATCGGCGTCCCTCTGCGGCTGACTAACTAAACCCCTTGTCAGATCGTCCAAGTTGTTACCCTTCTCGATAATACCAGGTCTGTTGAAGTGGTCGCTCAATCTCAGATTATAAAAGGGCGAGACGTGACGATCCTCTGCCACCAAGCTGTTGCGAACAAAATTCACCATCTTAGGTCATATTAATTTACGACGATATTCGTATTGCCAAATTTTTAATTATTCGAGCTCGTCTGATTGAATTGCGATTTAAGTTAATACAACGCGGAAATACCACAGATAGCTTCATCGTTTACGGTTAGCTCGTAAAGAGAGATTAATTTTAGTCAAAATATTGTATTGTATAAACGAAAGATAAAATCGAAAAGCAACATTTTCAAGTGGAAACGTCCAGCTTGCAAATTAAACTTGCGAAATTAAATGTACCGTGTTATATTAATTTGCATACAGCCGAAACAATTAAAATGTTTAATACACACAGTCGAATATTACGAATATTGGAAAAATAAGCTCGAGAAAAGATAAGAGACGAGGCGCGTTTGTGGAAACAGTGGGATCTCTTTAATCTCTTACTTGAGATTACCGGCGATGAGAGTATGAAAGTATCTACTAGCTGCGGTGGAGTGCTCGTTCAGCGTGTTACCATTAACCGTTTCGTCGTAATCATTTACGTAGCCGTCAGTGTTGTATGTGATTTTGTCTCGATAAATCTGTTCGCGACCTGCAATATCAAAAGTCTTTGAAGTCTTTGAAGACAATTTGAGTCGTGCGATGAGAAAGAAAGAGACTACCGCACGTAGAGAAACTGTGTCGTAAAAGGAAAAAAAAAAAAGAAATTTGGCGTCTAAATTACAGATTTATATCGTAACAGATTGTTCTCGTAACAAAAGGTAAAAAGCTCGGAAGCATTTTGTCCAATCTGAGCACCTAAGAAAATCGGCATCCACTCGTAATATGCGATGTGCTGATATTCGGCGATGACAATTCGTCGCGTTTCTTGAAATATTGTTTCATCAGTCCAATGTGGATTTAAGTTTGCCAAATAATTTGCGATGTGATTGTGTTCTCTGAGAAGTACGATGTGTAGAATCGTCAGTTGCGGGTTTTGATTGGCTCGCAAATCACCTGAAATAAATAGAGTCCTGAAATAAATAGGCTTCGTGCACCTTTCGATCGGAAAGACATCGTCGTGTCTCTCTTGTCTGCGCTCGATGCGTACAAAAATTAGGACACTGCGACTATTTTTTTTTTCTTTTTTTTTTTTTTTTTTTCATATAAACGTGTATGTTTATTCTCACCGGTAGCATAGCAAGGCTCGTGTTCGTACATCGTTTCGCATATGGCGGACTTATTAGCTGCCGTTGGTGGAAATTCCCTGTTATTTCTCAACTCTGCGTTCAAACGTCCACCAAAACCTGCTCGCAGGCTAGCTGCAACTTGGTCGCTCGAGCCGTAAACGAGCGAAAGGTCTAAATAGTGGGTGACGGTGTTTAGCTGAAAAACAGTCCTCGTTATTGTCGATGTGTCTCGATCGAATGGGCGAAATTTCTTAAGAAAGAAAAGGAAAACTTTTACATCTCCATCTGAATGTATAAGGAAATATTGACACTGTTGAGGCAATGTGCTCACTATGTATAAAGATTCCAAGTAACTTTATAACTTATATATAATTGCAGCGTCGTCAAACAGTACGTCTGCCAATCCATGCCGATTTTACTTTGTTTGTACTGGAATTATCGATAGATCGGTAGGGGCAAACGCGAGAAATTGAAGAAGGAGCGATTTAAAGTCATAAAATACTACTCAGGACATAGGTAAAAATAGATAAGCGGCCGGGAATAGCCACGTTGATCTTGTAAATGTCAAGTCACACGCATCGCGCCGCGTGTACAATCGTTCATGACACGCGAGAACGCAAAAAATAATTCCTCAATGTCTCGCGCACTAGTTTACCACAGTTACCACATTCTCGTGTGACGTAACGTATGCGCGAATGATCGCGTAGTGTAAATGTGAAAACCTGTTGTGCCGGCATGCGCGGAGACGAGCAGCCGCGATCAAGGTCGGTCGTACTACGAACAAAGTTCAGGCACCGTACGGAGGAGCTGCTGTACACCGGATCTCCCTCAGCTATAAGTATCGGATAGCATCGGGGCAACGTCGCCTGGTGCGGTACTACTTGCCCGTCAAAGGTGCAACATCGTATGCTGTGCGACGCTGCGATTAACATACAAATGCGAAAAATATAAATATTTGCTGAATATTACGATTACGAGGAGATTCCACATCACATTGGAATGCGCGTTTGTAAGCGTTCGCGAGCGTAACCGGATCGTCGTCGCGACGCAACGCGAATGTACGTACGTCGACGAAACGCGCGAAAACGCGCGAAACGTACTTGATTGAGTGACGCCGTCGATCAGACCCATGTCATGCGTCATTATCTGTCCAAACTGCATCGCCACCAGAGTCCATATTCTGTCGTCGATGTTGAGGTTCGGGAACATTGTGTGACTGACGGTTCGAGCCAATGGCAAGTTTGCGCCGGTGACCGATCTCGGCGGTGTTTGAATCCCTGCGTGAAATCGATGATCAGCAATCGTGTCTGGCGATCGATTACTATCTGTTCTATCTTCATGCGTTTTTACATTTAAAAGCTGCTCTCGAGCTCTAGCTTGCATTCTGCTTGCACAAACACCGCGTAAACACGCGAGTGTAGGTAAATTGGAAAATTATGTATAAACCAGTTTCAGTTACGTACCAGTCGCCATGCCATGGTTCGATGCGTGAAATTTATTCGCCGTGTTTTTACTCGCGTGTAAAATTTATCATGGCGAATTTATCGGTGGAGAGAAGCCAAGATTGTCAAGATTGTTTGTTAAGAAAGAACATAATTTGTTGCGAACGCGGAAATGTAAAGTTTCCCCCGCTCCCTTTGTTACGTAAGAAGAAATAACATTTCTTCTCTTTGATAATCAAACAAGTTGGGAAGATGCTTCGTCCACGTCGAGAAATATAATTTAGAGATATTTAATTTTGTATTATATAATTATATAATAAACTTTCGAGCCGCGTTATTAATCTTCACGACTCGAAGATCACTTCCCACTCACACGATGTTTACGCAATAAATGTATGTTTATATTCCTGATTTTTATAACACGAAATATCATCGTGCAAATTGATTTCGCGTTGTATAATCGGATTAACTTTCGAGCCAAGACGCGTTTAGAGTCTTCAACATTTATAGATCATTGCAAATTGCAATTTAAAAAGCAAGCATAATATATCGATCTCGCCACCTTTACAGATAGATTGACGAAAGATTCATTTTTCGATAATTTTACTAAATAATCTGTCGAAAAATCTGTCGAAAATTTGGAAAGCCGCGCGTTTGCGATCACATCGATCATGATTGTTGGATTTAAAACCGATGTCGCTGTGTGATATTGCTTGTGTGTGTTGCATCTAGGCTCTCTCTGATTACGATGGCGTGCGGTACTACGCGGTTAGACGCGAAATAGCAAGAATCGTGAATGAGCAAGCGTCGGAATATTTTTCCACAGTCAGAGACCACTTGCGTCCACCGTTTAACCGTCGACCGTAACAGCATTTAAAAGGGGTACTTGTCAGCTCTCGACGGGAAGGAGTCGATATAATCGCTGAAGCTGTGACGAAGCTAGCTCGAGCCGTCGAGCCTGAAAGTTCTACAAACTGCTTAGGGTTGTAGTACGGTTCTTTTTCCTGCAGTCATTTACTACCATTATTTCCTTCCTCGGAGTAGATGTAGAGCGACTCTCTTTTATACGCGGTTATAATTATTTCCGACAAAGCCGTTAACCAGCCGTAAGACGTCGCTAAAAACTTTCATGCTTCTTTCTAAGACAACCTCGCGCTTGTTTCTCCCATGCGCGTTGATTTCTACACTGAGTTCTACATTGCTTACCGTCGCTGTAACGTGGGCGTATAAGTCTTCCGTATCTCGTATTGGCCATGCCCCATGTAGGATTTTGCAGATTATTGCAGGAACCATCGTAGCTTCGATAGCGCGAGTGCTGACAGGCCCGGGGAAAGGTATCGCCGCACTTGATTCGCTGATGAATACCGTCGCTCGTATTTTGACCGAAGAAGAAGAAGCTTGAACTTATCGCCCAATCGCCAAAGCGGCGGACGAGATGACATTTTTCGCCGACCAGTCGCGCGTAAAGTTTCAAATTAAGGGGGAATCTATGAAATGTGAATTTAATTTAAAACTTACGTGGAATCCGGCAGGTTTGACAGAGGTGTGAAATACGCAAAAATCGGATGGCTCGATTGATGATAAACAGAATGGTAGTCGCTACCGAACAGATGTTGACGCGTGTACGGTTCGAAGTACGGAGTTCCCTCCGACGCTTTTAAATTCAAAGGCTCCTCTCCTGGCACCCCTACAACATATTACAGGCTTTCACTTACGCGGCATTGCATGTGGCAACGGTAGCGATACCGTTGATATCAAGTCTCAAAGTCACTCCTGCGACGAAGGTCGCACGTTTGTACTTTCAATAACCTTATCCCTCCCACAGCTATCTCTCTTTTTGCTATCGGCATCCGCTTCGCCAGAAGCACGATTGTGATCACTCTATTGTGATTTTTCACCGCAACGCTTTCCCACGCATTCGAAATCGCAATCGAATATTTCATTCACGACGACGGGCGTCCTACCTATTTCACGCAGCACCTTTGTGTCGTGAACGATAAACCGCGTTCGATTCTCGGTGTTGAGCGAGAAGTCTCCTTTAGCCCCCTCCTCGTCGTATTTTGCCATCCGCGTTCGTTCGACGAGACGATCGTCCACTACTATTCGAGATTTGCCCGTTGCTACACAAATCTCGAATAGTAGTAGACTCGCGATCTAAAATGATTCATGCGCGAGGGAGAACCTTTCACTGCACTTACAGTCGAGCGAGTTATAAAATGTTATACCGACAACAGATACGATCGGCTTTGCCTCGATACGCCTCGATAAATTCGTAGATCTAACGGCAATTAATTGACGAGAGAACGTCTTTATTAAGCGTCCGCACGGGAGATTATTGAATCGAACTGAACACTTTGACGCGTCGAGTGTCGATCGATCTATCAGTCCGCCGCAGTCCGACAATCACTGGGATGGATCGTAATGGTAGCGTAACGAATCGTGATTTATACGCGCGATTGCGCGCGAGATATGCGCGAGTAAGGGCAAGTTTTCGCAACTTTTCGCGACTTCGACGCGTTTAAATGTTACGACGGTGACAAGCTCGCATCGGCTTGCACGACTTGCTGGAATTGTTGGGGACACCTGAATGTCAGTACGATATATAAATGCTTCTCGGTAGGTGCTGTGCTGTTGGCTCTTTCTCAGTCAGGCAGGAACCTTTAGGGCAAGAGCACAGGCTTTTGCATAACACATAATACACAACGCATAAGAGAATAAACCAATTAGTTTTCTTCATTTCCCTCCTCAGGACAGAAATGAAGAACTCTGATTGGTTGATTCTCTTGTGCGTTGTGTATCATGCGTTATGCAGAAGTCTGTGCTCTGGTGGCCCCCTTACTCCCCTCGATGGACGTATTATCGATAAAACTGGTGAGGAAAATGGATGCCGAAACTTTCAATTCGAATTGAATTTACCTGTTTATTACTATAGTAACTCTATAATAACAAAAACATACCGACGTATAGCATCGGGGGGCGGGGACAAAATTGTACTGTTCGTGTTCGTCGTCGTGTTTTTCTGTCGCGTTGTGTCTTTCTCACGTACGTTTTTCATGTACGTAACACGAAGCTCTCAGAGAAGGAGAATGCTTCACAAGCACGCTCACGCGAATATTATCTTTGGCGGCAAATTCGCAAGTGCGAGCCAGCAGTGTATGTATTACACGGTTAAATTGTTCCGCCAATTCCGACAAAGGAGAACTCTCGAGCGCTCGCGCGCGCGCTTCGTTTCGATCGCGCAGCAGATCGCGAGTCTCCTTGCGAAAATGTAACGTGCATTCCAGCAGCGCGCACACGCGCGCATGTATTTACTGTCTCACGAACTATATCTTGCCATTAACTCCCACTTGTTGCACAAGGAAGGAGGAACGTGCGGCGAGTCTATAAAGTTTCTCCTTCTCCGCGCCGTCGTGTCTCTTGGCCCGTTTATTAATCCTGTTACTGCCATTAGAGAAAGTAGGGATATTTCAGAACGTCAGAACAGATTTCTGTTACGTTTCCTAAACTTACGTAAAGAAAAACAACCGCGGCAATATATATATATATCGGCAAGTCACTAAATAACTCCGACGCGAGTTATCAGAATATCGCGAAAAAACTTTGTGTATGTCATGCGCGATTAATTTACGACGAAACTCAATTCATGTTGCTTAGAGTCTCGTTCCAACGGATCATTGATCCGCAATCTGATTGGAGAATGAGAAGAGAATTGAAAGGATCACTACCGACAAAATAGTCATTTCTCAGGTCCTTTGTGACGCAAAGAACTGACGTTGATCCGCGCATGATCGCCTTCTTTCTCTTATTAAATATTTATATTAATGAAGAATGTGGCACGAGAGAATGGACCGAAAATTACCGAATAAAGAAAAACATGTTAAAAATGTTGCTGCAAGGGAGAGGTAGATCACGTGTACTTGCGTCAGAAAGTGTATTTTATGTTGCTTCTTGCCGCCGTCGCGACCGGTGGTCGGAATTCTGTGGGGAATTTTTAAAGTCAATGCGAGCTGGTTGCACCGTGTCCATGACTTTTTCAAAGTTTTAACAAGAAAGATAGAGCGCGTAGTTACTTGTAAATGCCTTTCAAACTGGTCGCAGTAGCTGGGCTTAATATTTAATTAGCTTGTGCAAAATTAAGCTCTAACGCTCGCGATGAAGAGATCGTGTCGATTTTTGTCACAGCATGATTGTCACGTCATGTCTATTCGTCTATTTGAGGAGAGAGAGAGAGAGAGAGAGAGAGGAAAGGGGATTACCTACCCAGAAGTAACGTAGAAGTTTGGCCGTTTGTCGTGACATCCTCGACACTTACAGTGACTGCCACCGTCTGCAAGAACGCCGCAGCCAAGAGGCCTGCTGTCCAGAAAACATTCTGACTCTGCATATCCTTGAAAGGGAAATACAAAGTCGCGCTTAGTTCTCAGGATTTGAATGCGGAAATCTATGAACGCGATCTGCAAAAATCAGAAATCCAGATCTCGAGGAAAACTACCTCCAGGCGTGTGTGTCAGCTACTCTTATACGTTGTCCCGCTTGCCAGATCGGTCCTCCAACGTGTATTTTATTATTGCTAATTGACGATACGTTTCGAAGGGGGGAAATCGAATTTACGACACAATGGAGCAGATGGCACGAGCACGAGCGTCGTGTACTACCTTGGTACTATTTTAATCTCTTTTCGATCGTTGGAGATAATCATTTTCGGATTCATATCGATAGACGGACGCGTCGGGGTTTTTCCCCGAGTAAAATCAAATCTATTGTTTCGCGTTCGCGAGACATCGTGAATACAAATGTTCCTTTCTTCGTCTTCGTCTGTGTTGGAAATTGTAATGTCTATGATAAATTCGAAGAATAAGGAAGCGCCTGGTCTTATCTCTCGTCTAATGATGAAACTTTCTGGCTTTGCGATGTTTATGCGCTTTTCGGACTGAAACGTTTATCCTGTTAGCGCAATGATTAGCGTAATTCAATTTCCTGCTAATATATGGAAAGCCGACCGCAATCGCCCACTTTCCAGGCGCAAACTCCGCGATTTCGTGCAACCGTGCAAAATGCACTTTACACACTACACAGAGTTTGCGAATTTCTTTTCTCCGAGCGCATCTCTTTCTCATATATCGCTTAATTAGTCTCTTAGTGGTTTATCGACAATTATTAATGTTCAAATGCGATCGATTAGCCAACATGTTGAAATAAACTTCTCGACTGGAAATCTGGATGGTTGTGTACTTTGAATTGATTCTTCTCCGTCAAAGAGTCAATGAAGTTGGATAACATTATTTAATATAAGTTTATTATTATATTTTCTTACTAAGCAATATTTCGGTTATTAATAGATAATCTTTTCCCAATCGATTGATCACAGTACGTAAGTAAGTTAAATAAGTGAAAATCTAAACCCACCGCAAAATGAGCCACTATTTGATTTATGCCATGTAAGTCAGAAACTCGTGATTGCGCCTATTTTATATGTTCATTAGCGATTACATCGCGTGAATTTCGACCGCGCAGCGTCGTCTCTATTACAATATGCATAATAACATGCTCGTGCGTGCGTGCACGAAATGTACGTTTCGACATTTCGACTAATTAAAACCTGCTTCCGTAAGAGGAAAAAAGACGAAAAGACCGCAGCGTAACCACAAAGCGCGCGCGCTTTCAGTTTGGCAATAATAAAATTGGAAATATCAAGGTAAAAAGAAGCGCGTGGAATTGATTAACGCGTCTCGCGCGACACGTGCTTCGACAATTGTTGGTAATTCGAATTGCACTCGTGCACTGTGCTGCGTGTCGTAACAGATTATGCGGCTTTTTGTGTAAGCCGTTTGTAAAAAGAAAGGCAAAAAATTTCATTGATACTCGATTAGTACTCAACAGCGGCGACACAAGTCAGTGATGGCAACGTAACAATGGCAACGACGACGAGAGAAAGAGAGAGAGAGAGAGAGAGAGAGAGCGACAGCGGGCATGCCGCCCGTTGTTCGGTTATTTCATGGTTAAATACGAAGTTAAACCAATTTTCGGTTACGGGATGAAGGACACTGCACTGTCGTCACTTACGCGACACGTGCTTCGCTCGGCAAGGATTGGCCAGGATAAATCGGGCCTGATTAGACTCGGGCTTTGTTAGATTAGTAATTTCCTTTCTTTCGAAAGGGGTTTCTTCTCGTGTCTCGATCTTGAGAAATGTCACCCCGACGTATGTGTGGATCAGTTTATCAGTTACAAATACGAGGGCAAGTTCGTCTCGTCGCGTCGTCACGACTCCTCATTTTCGATATGATTCGACACGCTTGCGATTAAACTTTGGATGAAATTTCTGCCGAGACAACGCCATAATCTCGGCCCGGGAGCCCATATATATGGGGCATGTTACGCGGAAGATTGGTCTTGAGATCAGCGAGATACTCGATATCGGGTCTCATGCATAATCCAACATCCAACATCCCTTGGTAGCATGGTAGCACGCTCTGTCGCGTCTGACATCAACTTTGCATATATCAGGCAGGATGGACGTTGCGTCTTCGATCTGTTCAATACATCCGTTTAATGTCACATGGACACTCGGGCGTGAACGTTCGCGCGCCTTCCGGTTGCAACGACGCGGTAACCTTCGCGTCGACAAAAGCCGAGCAAAAAGGTCCCGCCAAGATCTCGGTTTGCCGCCCGGCTTTCCCCTTTATTGGCAATGAGTTTACACAATCCGCGACACAGTTCGTACCCTACAATCGAAGGTCGTCTGATTTTTACTACCGACTGCGAATTAACAAAGCGCTGTGGATTCGACCGCAACGCAACGTCCACTCGCAACATCGTTTCTTTTCTCTCACGTCTTTCGCTCTTTCAGTTTTGGCTCCCTTTAACTGCGCGAGCGAAATACGCGCGTGTAAAGTTCAGCATTAACAAATTAGGATATTTTCCATAATATTGAAAAATGGATGGTCTCGCTGTTAATTGTATATGTTAATTGTGTATGTTAATTTCAGTCCGATGTGCTAATTCATTTTCTTTACCCGCTGTAGAAATTCGTTGGACCTGTTCTCTTAGCCTCTTCTTAGGTCTGCTTAATTAAGAGAAACTATTTTGTCGTATAATGTAATCGTACGTGTACGTACGATATTACAGCGTTGTACTTGGTATTTACTTGGTGGATTGATAATACAAGAGTTTCTATCTCATATCATATGGGAACAAACGTGACGACGACAGAAATAATACAAGTGTAGAAAAGGAGCAAGTATCGTGCGAATAAAGCAGCCGCTTCGAAACGTACTTCCGCAATTTTATCGGCAGGAAGTCGATGATTAAATTGACTAACAAAGAGTCACTTTGTGTGTATATCATATATGGAAATTTGCGTGATTCGCTTGATAATTGATTCCGTGTTCCGGCAGTATATGCCATTCGCAGCGAAAGGCAAGAGCAATTAGCAAGGTTAGATCGCGCATTTAATTACTTTGAGTATTACACATTTTCGATCGACGGAATTTGACCTCCGGATCATAAAACAAGCGCGATCAAGGGCGGTTTCTGCTGATCGATACTTTGATACGTAACTCGACGAATAACACAATTTTTTCTTTCTCTTTCTCTCTCTTTTTTCCTTTTCTCAAGATGAGATAAGAATTTTTTAATTTAGTGAATACGGTAGCTTTTCGGCTTGTCGCCGATTGATTGAATGTGAAATCTAACGTAACGAGACAAATATTCTTTTTATATTGTATGATTGTAGAAACAGCGCGTGATGATTAAGATAATAATCTGGCTGATGCTAGATGCAAAGAGCAGCTAATGTATTCGGACTCTTAGCTTGCTCTAGCTTGCGAGGCATCAATGTTAATTGAAACAAATCTTTGATTTGATTTAATTTACGCCGAGTACTTGTGCAAGCAGCAATGTGTTTACCGACGGCATTACAAAAGTCGGACAGAGGAGTGTTGAGCAATGTGACGTCACTAAAGCTTATTGTTCAGTCTCAGTGACAGTGCCATAGAAATCTATAGAAATCACTAAAAAGTTGGAAAACTTTTTCTATTCGCGAAAATGAATAATTGCGTTCGCGAGATTATCATTTTGGCATAACCGATATACCGATCAGTCGAAGGCATTGACGAGTCAAAACTGACTTCGGCACTGACTGTATGAATAGTTTCTCCATCTTGATGCGTTGCTTTCAGAAGAAATTACTTTGAATGAAACCGACAATCTTGCTTCGCAAAAAGTAAACATATGATTTATAATAATAACAAAAGAACGTTCTTTCTGTTTTCTTTTACAGTCCAGCAGTCTCGCGTTTGAGACTGACTTTGAGACGACGGACTCGTGATTTTGAACTGTGAGCAACATTTCTGACTGTTATTTCTGACCGTATATGCAAACACGAGTTTGGCCTATCGCGACTGTACTCACCGAGATTGCACCAATTTCAATCCTTGATTAACTCGGAGAATGAACCGAATCTCATGCGCCTTGTTCGCGATAATTGTCGGATAATGTTTCGGCACACGTCGATGGTAGCAACTGAACGAGCAGCAGATACGGGTCGAACTTTATAAATGGCGGGAGAAAGTGTAGGGATACTGCTTCTCTCATCGACAACCCCACGCTGCCGAAAGCTCGATTCGTTATGTATTGTTCAGGTGCAAACATCTAGCCGCGACTCAATTATCTCTTGTGAACAATTTCACAAGTTGTTCTCTCAGTCTTTAATTTATTATTCTTATCTCTGGTCGAGGTCTTCTCTGAACACTGTCGAGATTACTCTTCTACTTTGTAGTCTACGGTAGAGTCTTTGAAAAGTACACCTACCCCTCCGTATTGGTGATGTAATAATTTGAATGTTGTAAATCAGCATAAATCTGTTGACTGAAACAATTTAAAGGTCTTGTCATTTTCTCGGAAGCTGTTTCAAACCTACCTGTCGCAAGTGAAACAATATTAACATTAAGGGAGGGGTTGACATGAAATTAACACAAACAAAATTAACACAATTTAAATATAATTTAAATCGAGTTTATTATACTGAGAGAAATATATACTGAGAGAAAGACACAGTGAGTGAGATAGAAAGAGAGAGAGAGAGAATTTATATTATATATTAATTAAAAATACGCGTAATATACGTATTGAAACTTATTAAATTAAATTAAAATAGATATATAAACAAATTGTAATTACACACCTATAAATATATTTCTCGATACATGTGATATTGGGATAAGTCTATATATAGAGTATGCGTATGTGTGTGTGTCTTGTTTCAAATAATCGATATTGTTATCATTGTGACATAAAAGTCAAATATTTTTCTTAGAAACTTATAGATTCTAGCAACAACACTAGCAACAACACAATACATAAAATCCGATGAGAAACATAATCGACATTACATAATCGTGGATAAGTGATTAGAATTTATAAATTATTATTTAGCCTGGTTTCTTATTTTGAAATATGATTGTGTTTGAGAAAGATAACCAACTGGACGTGACATCTTTTGGAGAACGGCTCACTGTCGATAAATCATCGGCACAGAAAACTTAACATCAGCAAAGCAAACGGTAAATATTTAAGAGATCAACCGCACCTTACCAACTGTGATAAGAAGCGAGACTGCATTCCAATATTCACTGTCATTATTGAAAAAGTCTATAGTATACGTAACGTAAACTATATATTTTTAATACAAACGACATTGTAACGCGAATATCCGGACATAGCTCTCCCTCTAGACTCTAGGTTTCGGAAAAAATATACGGTAAAAGATTAAATTTTGAGGTGAAGAAAGAAACAAAGCTTCAAGTTTCAAAGATGCGACACTGGCCGTCTCTCAGTGACTCGATTATTATCTGATATAACGCATCAGTAACAAGTATGATAAGATAAATATTTAAACGAGATATAATGGTAAAAAGATTTCGATAAGGGACGATGTGGGGGCATTCAAGTCTTTTATTCGTTTCTGACATTTTCTTCATGATTTCATCATGCCATCTTCAAGTAACATTATATACATTCTGATATTCATTAATATCTGTTATATTAATGGCACAAAATAATTGGTAGAGATACATTTGTGTGTAGAAAAGAGAGTCGGAAGGAAGAAGAGGAGAAGATAGGCAGAGAGATGAGGAAAAGTCTACATTAAGTTTTACATTGCGTTACGCTAATTCGGCAAATAGCAAAATTTTCAATGGATGGAAATCCATCAATCACGAGATGCAGACGCACTTCTTTGTACCACAAAGGCGCTTCGTTCGTCCTGTTACTACACACAAGGGTACACATTCCGGAAGGGGGACGAAAGGAATTCACTATAGTCTGTTGCCTCCAGTAATGTAACAACAATTTCACGTTACCTCGTGAGCATTTACATTCCAACGTGAAAATTGATCGTTGGGATACAAGTTTTCTCATGCTCGAAATTTTTTGTCGTGAATCAAGTGATTGGTTTCCCTTTTTATCTTTCTTAATTTTAAGTAATGCACAAACACACACACACACACACACATGCACGCGCGCGTCGCTTACAATGGAATCATTTTTAGCTTTTTTACATTTTGTTCTTAAACAGATTTTCAACGAGAAATAATTTCTTCACATGGAAGAGAGAGAGAGAGAGAGAGAGAGAGAGAGAGAGAGAGAGGGAGAGAGAGAGAGAGAGGGAGAGAGAGAGAGAGAGAGAGAGATTGGCTACTAATTTTGCGCACTTTGATTTCTCTTCAACAAATCGCTGCTATAAATCGCGCAGATATACTATACTTTGTACTCAGTGCTTCGTATACAATGTGTGTTCTTTTTTATCCAGATAGCGCATACCCGCACACAAGTCTTCACATTCGTCATCTTTTATGCTCTCGGTGTCCGTTTGTTCGACTGAATTTCAAGAATTTTCAAGCGGCGCTGAAACACAATGCCTGACTGACGCCAGCATAGATAGACTGCTTCGTCTAACAGGCGCCTCGGAGCGCTGCATGTTTTTATCCCGTTATGAACGACAAAGACACGATGTGAAAGCGTTCGCCTCAGGCCTCGGGGCTTCAGTGGGTCTTAACGTTCCTGCCCGCTCGGTAGCGTCGAAGGGCACGCTGGTTCAACTTTCATTCACACATTTAAACCGCGAGTACAACGATGTGTATAATAGTGCCGACAAGTGTCAATATTTAGAATCATCCAATTTTTACGTTTATTTCAACGGAGCGCTTCGGCATGTCAGATTATCTGCTACTTTCGTCCGGCATCATTTTAAACTTCTAACACTGAAGAAAGGTAAGCGTATGCACACTCATGGATAAAGAAAAGAGGATAAGGCCTCTCATCACGCGTAGCTTAATATCTACCGACGCGCGAGTGCGTCGCGCATTCGCGCGTTGGTAGTTGCGCCAACTAAATTCTTTTCTCTATACGCTAAACAAGCGATCTTATTTTCTCCTCCTCACATACGTGTCTAAAATTATACACTTACTCAATGCAGAATGACGCCACGCACTCAGAGAAACAACGCGCTCTACGAGAGCACTCCCGCTACGCTGCAATTAATGTCATTTAAGAATGTACCATACGATATACCATATGATATTATCGACGAGGTGGACGGTGCCGATTATCGATACGAGATCGCCCGACTGGAGAGCTTCAAAAATTGGCCCGTGCCGTATATGAAGCCCGAGAGGCTCGCAGCAGCTGGTTTCTACTTCACCGGAGAACTCGACATTGTCAAATGCTTCGAGTGTGGTACAGAGACGTACAAGTGGATGGAGGGCGACGATCCCATGGTGGATCACGCGAGGCAATCGCCAATGTGCAAATTCGTTCGCAATACATCTTGCGATAATGTGCCGATCGACGTGGTACCCGATATATCGACTGTACCGCCGATAACGGAAGGTCGAGATGTCTGCGGCCCGTACGAATACGATTTTTCATCTGACTATTATAGCCGCTGTCTTACCAATTCATCATCGTCCATATACGCCAAGTATCCGCAGTACAAGTTTTACGACATTCGTCTTCGTACCTTCGACCACTGGCCCGCGTCGTTTAAGCAGCATCCGGATCGGTTGTCGCTCGCAGGATTCTACTACACAGGCAAAGGGGATCAGGTGTTGTGCTTTCATTGCGGTGTAGGAGTGAAAAATTGGGAACCCAGTGACGAGCCGTGGGAACAGCATGCTATTTGGTTTCCCAATTGCAACTATCTACTCAAGGTTAAAGGATGGAAATATGTGGAGGAGATCACAGGTCAATCGATCTTACCCAAAGATGTGAGCATCTCTTTCTCTCTCTCTCTCTCTCTCTCGTTTCTTTTCCTGTTCCTTGGTTCAGATAATAATGTATCGCGCGCAATTCGCGCAACTCGCGCAGATTGCGTCACACACCAAATTGCAAATGCCATGTCACGTGATTAAGGGCACGGATTTATGTGGATTTGTGTCAAAAGGATATAACCTTTCTTCTGTACATCTGTAGCACGTATCACAGATTTTACGTTTATTCACGATAGAATCCATATCCAGTTACAGACGGAATCTTACATCGCGAAAATGGAGGGGTCGGTAGGTACTGAGTTGGGAACGAAACGTGCGAAGCTCGACGAGGAGGATCGTTTCCCTGGGCCGAGTTCACAAAGCTCCCAAGGTACTGACGATAGCGGCTTAGAAAGTATGTCGGGTGACAATTCGTCGGTTGAAGGCAGCAACGAGAATTTATCCGACGCGGAGGCCGGATGTTCGAAATCTATCAGTGACACGACGTTATGTAAAATTTGCTACGACGCGGAGGTGTCCCAACTGTTCTTACCGTGCGGCCATCTGGTCGTCTGTGTTGCTTGCTCCAAATGCATCGATATTTGTCCGGTATGCCGTGCGCACGTGACCCAACAGATGAAAGTATACTTCTCATAATATTCCTCCGCACAATATATATATATATATATATATATATATATATATATATGTATATTTATTCTACATATCTCAGCCGTAACATTTCTCAACACGCTTCTCACGGTATTTAGGATCGCACGACCGATCGGTGTCGAGTGAGAGAGACGATAGCGTCTCTCGCCGCAAGTATGTAGCATACATTAACATTTTTTGAATCGCGCTTTTCTTCAACAAAAGCACAAGTAATCCGTCCATTTCATTTTTAATAGCGAATACAGCGAGAGAAAATGATACTATTACAAGATGAGTGAGGTGATAGGCAGGTCCCTTGCGAAATATTCAACATTTTTTCGAGTTTACAGTTCTCACAGCATTCTTCTAGCATGAATTCCACTGCCATATTGTGATGTAGTCGCGCTCATAAATAAACTCCTTGAACGTTTCACTCTAGTTCCATCTCTGTTATCTCCAAAGTTAGATAACGAGACGGTGTGTGACGACACAAGTTTTCCTTCAGAATTTTATTTGGGAGTTGCATCAGTTGGGACCTATTGGCGATTTGTTAAAAAAATAAATAAGTAACTGTAATATTAATGTTAGGCTACATTAACGTAAGAAGGTCACCCAAGTCCCAGCTCTTTTGTTTTTCAAGCTCTTTTGGAAACAAATTTTCTTCTAGATATTATTTCAATCTCTGTACATATCGGGTGTCGTATCAGACTTGTTAGACTTTACTCGAACTTTGTCCGAAATTATTGTTACAGACAAAATAGAGAGAAATTGAGGAAAGACGGTCTAAATGTATATCAATATTTGTATTATATATGAAGAGACAAAGAATAAAATGCGGTAAAATATCGGGGACGAGAGCAATAAACGAATGCGACGAAAGTGTACTGACAACAAATCCGTAATCATAAATATACAATTTTGAAATAATTATTTAATTTAAACGTGGCTGTAGAAAACTACAGACATGTATTTAGTTCTTTAAGCACAGTGTTAGAAATTTCAATATATATATATATATATATATATACACACAAATATATATATATATATCACACACATATATATATATATATATATATATATACACATGTGTATGTGTACATATATCTGTATATATATGTACACATATATGAAATTCTTTCCGATAATTTAGAATTAGGCGTAAAAATTAAGAGCAAAATTACGCATAAGAAAATTAAACATATTTTTATAAGAAATATTTGTGCGCAATGGACGGGAGCAAGAAAACCTTTTACAGCCGTTATGTTAGATTTGTTATACGACAAAAAGTGTTGCTCTCTCTCTCTCTCTCTCTCTCTCTCTCTTCTTTTCAAGCTGTAGAATCGGGGTTTTCGGATATGTGTGTATGATACACACATATAGTTATGCCACACAGCAGGGTAGTTTTATTATTAAATATAATTTATTTCCACATGGTGCTGCTCTTCTTATGCTATTGCCCAACTGAACATTGTTGTTCGATGCCTGTTTCAACTTTACAAATTGCCGACATATGTTATATGAATTATGTATTGTAGAATAAATATTTTTTACAGACGTGCAAAGTTCCTAATGTAAAAAAAGACACACCCTTCGAGACAACGTCGGTACGTTAAACATTATAAAAAAATAAGACACGATGTCGATATTTCTTTTATATTTCTTACAGCCTATTAATAACCTATTACACAATATCAGTCGCCGTCTAATACATTATTGCTTTCAATTATAGCTTCGTTCGATTCAGTGCGGATTATTCCCAAGAGCAAAAATGCACTCGTCGATATCGAGTTATATTTCAGCATATACGTGTATATATATATATATATATATATATATATATATATATATCTATGTATATATATATATATATGTATATGTATATATGCGTATCATTTGATATTTTAACTTATTCGTCAGACATTCCATCGTTATTGACTAGACATTTAGATTCTCGCACTGATCGGAAATAACGTCGTTTATTCTGAAATCGAAAAAATTCTATCCATTTCGATATTTTAAAATCATCGCAAAGTCAATTGATACTTTAGAAATTGAACTTCGAACTAACATAATCGTCTACGTTGCAAGCGTAATGCTCCGATAAGCGCAAGCTTCCAGCAATGTCCACCACCTCACAGAGATATACGAGACTACCTACGGACGCGTCCACATTGGTCGGATTATAATAACGGACCGTTGAGAAATGCAGTCCTGCGTTAGATGGAGCGAAGCTCTATCGCGGAATGACGAACTCGAGCATGGTTCTCGCGTTGACATTACATTCGTTTCCGTGTACAACCTCGCTCTAACTACCGGTTATCTCCTCTTAATCGACTAGTCACGTGGTTTCATCGTTCCGCTTCGCGCTGCACCTGTCGCGCTCGTCACCTGGAGGCGCGACCTCCGCGACGCTTCTGACGATTCTGATGAAACTACTGCACGCAGTTTCACACAATCGCTCTTCCCACACATTCCTCCGCTTTCGTAAACCGTCCACTCTTCGGAGCCGCTCTACGTCTCGGGCGAACGGATGCAATAGTATTGGTGTGACCAGCCAATTAATCGGGCAGTTCAACGATACGCTTTCGCCCTCTCCGCCCAGGCGAACAGGTCCACGCTGGGTATCGCCTCGAAATCTGTGCAGCTTCGCAATTCATTCCTGAGATATGGAAGAGAAAAGAAACGGAGAAGGAGAAACGCGTGATTACGCACTGAGTAGTATCTTAAGGGGTTAAGCCAGAGAGTCAGTAGCGCGCAGCATGCTTACCCCGCTTGCGGCTTGAGGAATACATTGCGCTGCATGTGAGTGATGTTGTCACCGTTGTCGCAAAATATCCGTGCCAAAGTGACGTTACGCAGCTGAGCCAATTGTTCTGTAACCGAGAGATTGCGATTGCTGTGAGGCAATTGCGCGCTGACGCTACGCAAAGTGCTCGAAAGTTCGCGCTTACGAGATGCGAAGGGATGCGGTTGTTGCGCCGAGTCGTAAAAGAACCTATCGGTACGTCGAGATCTGGAAAACTGTTCGTAGATAAGACAACGGAAGGTCGGCCCGACCATACCGTCGTCCGCCGGTCTTTCAGCCATACCACCCACGATAAGGTCAACGTCGTTGGGATGAGAATAAGTTGCGCGTAGTCTTCTCACCATCTGATAACGACAAACGACGACAACATGTCGATGTTAACTTTAAGGATTACGGAGGAATGTCTCAAAGCGAGACAGCAGTCCTTTCTTTTTCTTTTTTTCTCGACAGAGAGAGAGAGAGAGCCTACCTCCGCGGGTACGTAATCCAAGAAGTCATCGAAATTCCTGGCAGCGGGAAGCCCGCAATATCTGCGATAATAATTGTACCCCGGAAGACCGTGATCGCGACCGCGCTCAATGTCCAAACTAATGGCGTCCAAACCCAAGTCGTTTCCGTTGCCGATGTACAGCTTACTCGTCATCTAATAAGAAACGAAGATAGAATTATCATAGCGAAAGTAATAAGAGAAGGAAATAGAAGAAAACCCGCGTCATTATCCACGTTTAAATGCTATATACTCACATCCGGAATGAGACTCATATCCATTTTCTGACTGGTCTGAGTGGCAAGACCACGAAGCAATCCGTCGAGCACTTGTTCCGACTCGATCACGCGCGGATTGAAGAAGTGCTCCGTCAGTTGAAGCGTTTTGTTCCGCTGGCGCGAGTTGTCGGGCAAACTGCAGCGAGAGGGAACATCGTTGTTATTTAATCCCTCTGTACTTGTTGTCGCAAAGTACGCGCGTAATACGTAATTTGAACAACAAAAGCGTGCTTGCTCACCTCAGCTCCCCCTGTATCAGCGAATTGAGGAAACGTAACGCCGCGGTGGCAGCTTCGTTGCTGACCGCCGGTTCGTCGTCGGAACTGTAGCTATTTCCTATTAGGCCTACGAGGCCGATGGCGCGGGTATATCTTCTGCCTAGCAAGATAGGCAGCCACTCTCTGTAAGTGATATGCTGAATCTCGGCGATTACGATACGTCTGGCTTCCTGGTAAAGGATCTCGTCCGACCAGTCCGGATTCAACCTGGCAAGCTTGTCGGCGATGCGATTGTGCTCGCGATGCCAGACCGTGTGGATCGCGGCTAATTGAGGCTCGACGTTTACGCGATCGTCACCTAGAACGTCACCGCGCCTATTTTTACACAGCCTTCGAATACCATTGTATGAGCACCATTGTATGTTGACTGCGGCTGATATCACAGAGCAGGATGTACAAACGGGACTTTTGCAAAACTCTCTTACCAGAGTTGTAGCAATTCTCTTCGCATTGCGACGTAAGCCCGGCGTCTCCTTGACGTGACGGCAGATACGCGTGATGATTGCGGATTTCGACTCGCAGACGGCCACCTTCGAACGCGCGGAGTTCCCGAGACTTCTTCAAGGTCGATCCGTAAATCGTGGAGCCATCCAAATAGTGGCTGACTTGGTTCATCTGGGAATTACAAGCGTACCATTATATTACCATCATTGTTTGTACGACAAACTTGACTCGAAGTCTCATCATCCCTGATGAACAATCTCCTGCATCTTATTCATATAGAAATTACCATCTCGGAATCTCGACAATTCCTTTGAAACTTACAGTTACCAATACATGGTAGTAGTAGCACCTACGTACCTGTTCCACAGGTCCGAAAGTACACTCGGATTTTAAGACGGGTAATGATCGAACGTAGTTCATGCATCGAACGTAATGTTCGCCGTAAACAGGGTCACGGTCCGGCACACTGATGGGAGAACAGTCGGGATGTACGTGACGCGGCGACAAGGTATCTCCGTCCGGCTGACAGCAAGAGATTGGCTTTCCGCTTGAAACTGCACACACGTAGACGTAATACATAAGAATTTCCTTCTCTTTGGTATAATTTCCAGCTTCTGACATTAGCCATAATGACGTCACGCAGAGAAGCTTCAAAGTTTCAAAGTTATGCAACGCCGCGGATACGCATCTTAACTTTGCACTTTAGATTGTATTCGCCGTCGCTTTTAAGTTCGATTAATCAGGATTCAACAACGGACTCGGTCGGTTAGTGTGAACACACTAACCCTACTTCAAATCAAACAATCCACTCACCCATCTTACGAACCGGGGTATGAGCCATGTCATGAGCGATGAACTGACTCCACTCCATCACAGCCAACGTCCTGCTAGCGTCCGATTGATGATCGTTCGCGGTCGTCAGAGTTGCGCTTACGAGCCTCGGGCTTGGCAGTGGTTTCTTCGTTTGTCCGACGTGCCTCGGCTCTTGGATGCCTGTTTCCCGAAAAGCACATTAGACGCACCGTCGTCGCTTCAAATCGAAGTAAATCGGAGTAAATACTACTCTTTAGCGACGCGTGCTTCAGTCGACAAACGCCCGTTTGCGGGTAAAATTGTCGAGCCCGGCGAGCAAAATCATAATGCAAAACGATACGGTACGAGCGACACATTGGCCGCGTTCAGTAGAACAAAATGATCAGTGAGCGCTCAGTGATTATTGTCCGTGATTGGAACATTCTTTTAGATTCTTCATAGATCCAGAAGTATTTACCGATCAGGAGCGAGAATCACTGAGCGCTCGCTGTTCACTTTGTTCTGCTGAACGCGGCCAATGTTTGTTTCGCAACCGTGCAAGTGGATACACACAGTAGGAACAAGAGGATCGCGGTCGCGTGATGTTGAAGGTTGACGAAAGCTCCGTCGTGGTGATTACTCCGATTTTGGTGAGCTCGAGCGCGTGGATTGACGGCGGTACACCGCGTGGCAGTGCAGCACGAGAGAAGATAACGAAAAAGAGAAATCGCTTTGTTGAATAAATATTCTCTTCTCTTCTCTTCTATAAATAGGCTATAAACTGCTTCTAACCCGCCCCGAAGTCCTAACTACGCCTCCTAATCCCTGCCCTGATTCGACTAGGCGATCTCCTAAATCAATCTTCCTGAGTAAATTGCGGGGGAACGATCAGCGATCAGCAATTTCGCCGAAATTTGCGAAATTAGCAAATATGTCACAGTCTATATCACAGTCATAACACGAACTGCTGTCGTCGAACGTCGGTCGGTCGGTTCTGGCCGAGAGATTCGTCGTCATTCCCGGCCGCTGATCGCTCCCCTGCTGCAAAAGAAATCCTGAGTCTCGTGCTGCAAAGCGAGGTACACAAAAGCCATACTCTGGGCTACAGAACGGCGTTCTGATGCGTTGTCGAACAAGGAGCCGTCTCTCTGTTAATGTGATGAATTTCTACGCGCGCTAATGCGAAATTGCACGTCGAAATAACGGCTCCGGAGTCGAAATTTCAATCGGATCGGTCGGATCGAGAACGCTCGCAGAAAAACCAGTCCAGTTAAACTTATCTAGATGAAGATCGATGAAGACGCACGAACGAGCGAACCGAATTGGGAGAAGGTTGTCAAGATGCTATTCTAATCTTTCTCTAGCAAGTTACACGATAGACATCACCGTAGTGAATAAATACACTACGGAGAGGCAAAAGCAAAGCAAATGGTGAGCGTGATTTTTTTTTCGCAGCAGTTTTTTAGCAGTATGCGTACGAGGAGAATTCCGCTTGATATTATTGACCAATAGCAATTCCGGAATACTTATGCTCAGCGCATATGAAAGTGTCGATGCATCGTGTGTACATACATTAATAAGAAGCAGCCGGAACAGAGATGACGCACAACAGAGATTACATACAATACACGACTTTGTCGTGCGTACTCCCAAGCCAAGTTCCCTTGCTCGGTTGTCTTCGCAAGAGAGAGAGAGAGAGAGAGAGAGAGAGAGAGAGAGAGAGAGAGAGAGAGCCGCGCGTACCGCGAAGTACAAAACAGAAAAGAGACTCGAACTAGCGTTACATAATAAATATGATACATTATTAGGTATATCCGAATTAGAGTTTACATACACATTCTACTGCTGGATAGAGAATCTCCCGACCGGGGGGCACCCTATTGTAGACAGTATTATTCACTGCTACACTCAGGCATTTTATGCTCTATGTGCCTTATCGCACAACAACTGTAATGCAAATCACAGAATACAATTTGTTAAGCCAATCGACGAACGTTTATCCATTAGCGCCCAAGGATCAGTATGTATGTATGTGTGTTGCGATACGACGTATGTGTGCAGATACACTCGCGGTGTCGCACGTATGTGCGACATTTCGCACATACGCATGCGAGAGCGCGTGAGTGTATTTTACAGAAGGTGTCGTGATAAGTGAGGCGGAGATGGGTTAGTCGAGGTCGAGGCTGTAGTAGTGTAGCTCGTTGATGAGACTGGACATCCAACTGGACCCGTTCGAGAAATCAAAACGGAAAGCGGTGACTTTGAACAAAACGAGACAAACGGATCCGCGGAGACGCGGCTGTCGGAAACGCGACTCGTTTTTCATTCGCGGACGTTCTTCATTCAAGCGCACGAGAATTTAGCGATATTCCCATAGGCTGAGAATACAATTATTTTCGTTCGCGAAGAATCCGACTCGAGCGAATTAATTTAATTGAAAACAAACAGCGGTCTGTCTCTCTCTGTGTCCGTCCGTTATCGAACCTTCGCGATATGTGCGCCGTATTTATTGTCGTCTCCATGATTGAGGCCGAGCAGACTCAATACTCAAAATACGCACTCCGTGCGCCGACTCTCTATTTCTCTCATTATCCGCTTCCGACAAAAGTATCGCATCAGGGATGACTAAACGTCACGAATTTTGATTACCGCGTACATCTCCACGATGACGCATTCTCCCGTTGTTACGTTATACGTTTTTCTCCAAAGGAGAGACACGCATGGCATGTAATGAATATGCAGCTACAAGCGCACTTTGCAGCGAGATACAATTACTCAACACCGTGTTCGCGTTATCGCGTTATCGCGTTATCGCGTTATGCCTTCGGCACGATGAATATCAATATTAATAATATCGGTAAGAACGCGCGTGTGATCAAGCGCGTCAATTGTAATTTCTCTCTCTTGTGTAATTTGATGTATATGTCGCGAAAGATTTCGTCTCGTTAGAGATTGCGATCCCCCTGCTCGCACCCTGTGCGTCGCAGCGGGGAAAGAAAAAAAATTCCCCCTTTTCCAGCCCCCGGGAATAGGAGCGTCGGAAATGGAAGCGCAGGAGATCGAGGAAAGCGCCAAACGTTCAGAGGCTGTAAATAATATTGTACGATTATTATTCCACACAGAATTAACGACAGGTTCACTTTCATGTTTTAAAGTCACGATGACACAAAGTGCACGCTCGAAAGCCGCTCTACTACGAAACTGCTTCCTGTGACAAAATTCCGAAAGGGGACGGCTGATGTGTTTCTCTCTCACACACAAGTCAGCGACGGGGTCGAAAGTGATGCGCGCGATTGCAATTGTTTCCCTAGTATGGAGCGACGGTCGATATGCAATTCGTAAGCCTATGATGCCGTATTGCGAGCTATGTCGTTGTTACATGAGAGAGAGAGAGAGAGAGAGAGAGAGAGAGAGAGAGAGAGAGAGAGAGAGAGAGAGAGAGAGAGAGAGAGAGAGAGAGAGAGAGAGAGAGAGAGAAAGAGAGAGAGAGAGAGAGAGAGAGAGGGAGAGAGAGGGAGAGAGAGGGAGAGAGAGGGAGAGGGAGGGAGGGAGGGAGGGAGGGAGGGAGGGAGAGAGAGAGAGAGAGTGAGAGAGGGAGGGAGAGGGAGTGGAAGTGGCTAGAAAGAGGGATGCTCGACCACGATAGAGGACGGCCTTACCGTCAAAGTACTGGGAGAAGAGCACTCTGGTATACGCGGTCATCGCGCTGCCCCAACTCGGGTTCTCGACGTTGTTGCAGCTGCCGTCGATGCTGCGGTACTTGAAATTCTCGTCACAGCTCGCGCTATGGACCGCGGAGCAAGCTGCCCCGAGCTGGGTACCTTGCAGTCTCAAGGTCGATATGTAGCGAGCGCACTCGTTCTTGTCCAAGCCGAATCTGTGAATCCAAGATCAAATCAGCCGTCAAACGGTGCGACCGTGCGCCGTCTTTTCCGCAACACGCGATTTTCGCTCTCCGTCACTCTCGCTCGGTGACGGCGACCAAGCCGGCCGTCAAAGTTGAACGTCGTCGTACCTGCGGCAATTTTGGTGCATGAGATACAACGATGCTTTCGTAGCTACGACGGCATCGATGCTCCTCTCGAACGCGTCCGCGGAAGGGTAGGAATTCCAGTACTGTTTCTCAGCCGGACTTTGCGCCTGGAGCTCGATGCCGGCATTGGCGATGTTATTCTCGAGAGTGCTCATACGATCTACCAGCGTCTGAGCGAACGTGATCGAGTTGTTTAGAGTCGCCCCGTCGATTCTGGGGAATCGGCGATTTTGAAAACGGCCCGTATCCACAATGGCTTCATAGCCGTAATTAGCGGCTGGAAATCCTGAAATTATTCCTTTCAAATATCACGAGATCGTGAGTCAATCTGTTGACTGTTGACGAGGAAACCGAGCAGCCTTATCAGCTAAGTGTCGGGTCCACCACCACCGTGGTATAACCGCTTTTGCCTGTTGCGGTTCTCCCGGTACTCCCGGTACATTCCGGTTTTCAAATATTTATTTAGAGAGATGTTTTTTTTACCAGTGCGAATTACCAACTATTGATAAAGTGAGCTCGAGCTTTACATATCTCCGGAACAACATTCTCACAACACACAGCAGCGCGTCGCGACACTCACCGTTGTAAGTGGCGAGGTAGTTTTGCAGAGAGGCAGGTGGTAACTTGGAGGTGCCGATCGAGTGCGAGTGTCCCAAAAGTCCCATCGTCTGCAGGGACACCCAGAGGATCGCCAAAGTGGCAATGGAGCCTGCCATCACACCGCCGGCTGCACAACAGGAAAAACGATTCAGTCAGTAAGACCACCGGTCGCCGCGCGGTTCTCTTCTTTCGCGCGACGCCAACACGCCAACACTCGCTCTCACTCTCCGTCAACTTTGTAAACGCGACGCGAAATGGACGCGCGCGCGCGCGGTGGGTGTCGCTCGCCAAATGAAAATGTTACAATAATAACACGCAGCTGCACGCGCGTACTCGCGATGGGATGCCGTCGCGCTGCCATCGCTTGGCACTCGTCCCGTTATAGGAAATACATGAGCGTATTGAATTTACGTATGATTGCTGGTTAACCGAGCTGACTCACCGAGACTTTGAATTCTTATCGCGAGCTATTATTACGATACGCCGGCTTTCTCCGTGCCGATTCGCGGCTAAATATGTATATCTGGATCTTATTTCACGTTGACATTGACCGCGACTTTTTTGTGTCATTCGAAAATCTTGGAGCACACAAGTGCAATTGAGAGACGGGAAGTCGGAGAATTTCTCTCGGTCGGTGAGTTATCTGAGTTGTCTGAGTTATCTGAGGTCGTTGTCTGTTTTCCGATTCAATTTCAGTCATTGCGCCTGGAGAAGCCCGAAGAATTACAATCTGCAAGCGTGTATCTTCGGGGGGGGGGGGATGCCTTATTTAGGATTTGGATCAAAATTACTTTTCATCAAAATTACGATATTGTAATTGATCCGCGGACGGTGTCCAGGGGGTGACTAATGTATGGATGACCTGTAAGTCTGTAATCTCTGTGTAAACTCGTTTTGAGACTTTGAGTAATGCGAGGCGACGCGAGATTATTAATCATATTTTATCATAGAGATTAGAGAGGCAGAGGTACGTTTCGCACTGGATGCACTGGGTCAAGTTTAGATCCTCATGAGCGTATGTAAAAAGCATCGTCACTGACTCATAGTCATGTGTCGTGTGCGTTTTGCTATTATTTTCTTTTCATCGTTTATACGTTTCGTCTTCGACCTTCGCGCAAGTTCTCGCGGCTATTTATAGAGCCACGTTTTAGCGAGACTATACGGAGTCTCGAGGTTGTGTGCGTCTACGCGTATGCGTATGCGTCTGTATGCAGTCCCTGCCTGACGGTATCTCGTTAACGCGCTGGTAAATATATATTCGCTCCGCTCGCTGTTCACGTGTCTTGCACGTGGTGTGAGACGCGATCAGAGAGATCTTTGTCGCATTCGTACATGTGTATGCCGTTTTCTTTCGTCACTACTTTCGCCACTACACGCGCACCGTGCGTGCTGGTCGATCGATAATTGTAGCGAAGGATTGTCCGACATCCGACATTGAATTGAAATCGATTGAAGAGCGGTGATAATAATAAAAGGATTTTTTCCCTTATTGTCGCTTATTGTCGCTTGCGCGACCGTCGGGCGATTCCAAATCGTCGGCCGAGACATTAAAGTATCTTGCAGTGACTTGGTCGTCCCATTGACATCGATGAACAAATAGTTTATCGTAAATTTGCATATCGCGTAACGCGCAACGCGTAAATCTTTTCTACGCGTGCTTAGCGCGCAGACGCGTGGCATACGCGACAACAATCCGCAATGTGACGACATGTGTTGCTGAGGCATGACATTATCTCGCTTAAATAACTCGCTGCAAGGAATGATCAAAGTGACAAACAAATCGCGACTCTGTGCTATTCTCTGCTCTAGACACTAGAACTAGATAGACGTGTCGTTTTTCGCAAACGCGACGACGACGATATAGTCATCGATTGTTCCGGGACGGAACTGCTCGCGACGCGTCTTTATCTCGCGATAAAGACCGTCCCCGAGACGATCTCCGAATACGACGATAAATCGTTACCGGACACATGATCCATGGGCTTTTCCAGTCCGTGCATCGCGTAGACCCAACGATTATTGTCGACCGGTGCAACGAGGAACATTCTCCGCAGCGCTGTTCGATGCAGCCAGCTGTAAGCGCGGACGATGCGCTTTTCTCTTCGTATCACGTACACAATTCCGTATACGCGCCAGTCGTATTCTTCTCTCTTCTCTCACTCTCTGTTCTCTGCGAGTCGCACGAGCTCCTCGCAGCTCCGCAGGTTCCACGTTAACCGATGAGAGATGTTGATCGTGAGCCTGACTCGAGTACCCACCTGGGATACGTTGCTGGGAAACGTACCTGAGGATACGATGTTAATGCCGCGACTGAACGCGCGCGCCCGCGCGCGCGTGTCCGCGAGTTTCGTGCCGTGAATGTACGAACTCGCTTCTGCTGTCTCCGTCCTTCTTCTTCTTCTTCTTCTCCCATCAGGAGAACTTCTCGCACTCGTTCATTCATTTACCTGCGCGAGTAGCCGCCGTCTTGCTCACTCCTTCTGCCTCAGGGCCGACGCGAGCGCGAGCGCGAGTTATCATGTTGTCGCTATTGATCATGATTGAGATGCTGCGGTGAACAAGTATCAGGGATATGAGAAGAAGAGAAGAGGCTCTTTGACTATAGACATTGGAGCGGAAACCTTTTTTCCCTTTTTTCTTTATCTTTTTTCTCGGATATACTTTGTTCAACAGGATGACCTGTGCGAGTCTATTCTATTGGTCTAGAATCGTTCGTTCGGCAGGAATTCGGCAGGATATTTTTCGCCACCAATGTGTGCGACTCGTGCAAAAGATCGCATATTTTTAGCTGTAGAATGACAAATGGGGATTCACATTTGGACGGACCGTTATCTTTGTCTCTAGCGACGACAAACTCGAGATACGTCACTGGTTACTCCAAACTCTGTCGCGTTTCCTCGCCTATCCTGCTTGCGCTCTCGTGGTTTCGCATACAGTTCAGTCTCTCTCTCTCTCTCTCTCTCTCTCTCTCTCTCTCTCTCTCTCGATCACGTGCACATATTACGCACACCGTGATTCCTCAACAGCTGTCAAGCTCGTTCCTTCTCTTTCCGTCGTTCGGTTTCTCCGTTAGACTAGCTCCGTATATCGCCTCGTTCGCGTTTTCCATTGGTTCGTTATCGCCCCACCAGCACCGAGTCACCTTATTTAGCTCAGAAAAAAAAAGTTCTATCACTCGGTGAGCACGTGCTCGTCCACCTCCACCCCCACTCCCGCTGTGCCTCTCTTCGTGTGCCGGCTTTCGGAACGTTGCTGCCGGCAACGTGACTCTGTAGTCTCTTCTCTTGGTGATCAACCTTCAATTGCCCCAATTTTCTCGACAAGCAGTCAACAATATGAGTATATTTTAATACGTACCAAGACACGTATGCGCGCGGCATTAAATATCTCTACCTGCATCCAAGTTGGATACTATTGTATAATAAAGACCACGCGTCTTTTCTGACGTGATTTTGGCGTGACGTTTCCGCTTAAATCATTTAAACGTGCAAACATCTCTCAACGATTAACGCGGGCGCAATAAGATAAATAATATCAACGAGAGACTACGATTAAAGGAAAATCCAAGCGGGAGAGAAATATTCCTTGTTGCCAGATCCAAATGTGTGTATTTCCTGCGCTGGCCTGGGGTCCCTTCGAAGAAATTTTTCGGCACACTACAAAGTCACTTTGAAATCGGAAGTTCTCGTCCGTTAAAATGGCAAAAATCTTCGCCGGAGGTTCTGTCCCTTCTTGCGCTCTTCTTTCAGGTATATATTCGTACAATTCCTTTGTTTAGTTCTAGAATTCAAAGTATTCCTTGAAGTGACCATGAATCTACAGTGTAACAGCTTCGTTTGAGCCCGTAAAGGTTCGCCGGTACTTTTCCGTTGCTTTCGCCGGATGTACACGGTGTATCGGAAGAATCGGAAGAAGACGCGACAGAAATAGAATCGCGATGGCACGCGTATATATTCTCAACGAATGTTGATGAATGAAACAAATGTCAAAGATAGTAACAGCTGAATCTTTGAGAGAAATTGAGCGTTCAACGACGCCGCTAAATTTAAGGCTTAAGAGCCGAGAGATAAATCGCGTTGCTCGCGCGCGACGTCCGGCCTGAATGACCCCACGAATTAAATTGCAGACACGCGTTATTATTAAATTATTGCCGAGTGAGAGATAGACGTGCAAAATGACCCGCGTGTACGCCCCACTCGCGTTTGTTGGGTATGCGCGCACTTTGCGCGCGCGCTACGGAGTGCGTGATAAATGACCTTTACTACTAAGAAAGATAGGAATAATATTTTACAGACGCGCGCTTATATATAGAAATTTGGCACTCGTATCATTAGACATAGAATTGTGTGTAGATACAAAACCGTTGGCCGTAATCATCGTCACCAAAGGATAGCCTATAAAAAAGAATGAGCGTGCGCGCGATCGATTCGCGTCACACTTACGTGTGACAAGCTGTGTCGACATCTATATACGTAATGACAAAATAATTATCGAGCTCGCGTAATTTCAGCTTAGTCTGTCGCTTCGGACTCGGGCTTTTTAACGGCAACCGGTACGGTTGTTTTATGCGACCTTTGTCGATAAGCGCAGCACACCGCACAGTTCCTGCAGCAGCAAACTACACACCAATATCGATAACGAGTCTTTTCCATTCCACACGCCAGGTCAGGCCGCGGCGTGACGTCAGCGGCAGAAGACTTTCTCGTCTAGTCCGCGTCGTTGACTCGACTCGACGAGTTCGGCGTACTTCGTACGTACCTAAATATGATTTCTTGCAGCGTTCTATTCGCAGATAATTTTGCAGGAAATCGAACGTCTCCACGCCCATCTTTCTCTCTCCCTCGGTGCTCGGTGCAGCGAAAGCGGTCCAGGGCGAGACCTGCTTGGCGGAGGTAGGTTCTGCCTGCGTCGGGACACGACGCGATCCAATTGACAAATTCACCCCGGACGGACGGACGGACGAGCGGTCGCGATATATCGTTCGACGCTTTTCGCCGCTACGTCCACACCACGTCCGATATACGTCGAATACGAGCAGCGAATTTCAGTAAGTTTGCGCGTCGAGAACGAGCGCACCGTGAAGAACGCGGATCGTCGCGCTTGCACTCGCGACAACAGGGAGAGCGAATGACTTTCTGCCGCCCCACATCGACCATACGCACCCCCGACAATTCGATTCTCTCCGCTTACTTTAATCGAACTTTCCTATCTATCCTGGACGCATGCGCCGTGTTTTTGCTGCACTGAGAGCATTGCGTGGCTGTACTAACATCCGTTGAGAGAGAGAGAGAGAGAGAGAGAGAGAGAGAGAACTCCCATTATTTACTACTCACTATCGTGGCTTGCGCTGGGAATGGCAATCATCCCTGATGTTGCGCATTAAGCGCAATGCTAATTGCATTGGTCGTTTAATTTTGTGATCGCCCTGTGTCTTGCCCTATCCGTTGTATTCGATGTAATGTGATGAATGTATATAGGAAATATGAACAAATTTTTTACGCAATGACGAGGTAGATGTCATGTAGAGAGTCGTCACACGTGAGCCCACTTTTAATAAAAAATCTTTTGATTAATTCACGAGAGTGAATTCGAACGCTTTATGCGTTAATTCGCCGACCGACACGGTCACAGGTGACTCATGCTCGCGATTTTTTACCGATTTCATGAGATCAGTTGAGAGCTCACAAACACACACACACACGCCGTCAAACGGATCCTAGCCAAAATTTTCGAAGCGACTCGATGCTCGTCGCTGTTAAAATTATACACGGATAAATCGAATCTCAACGGACGTCACGGATGCCCTGACGGAGCGTGAGCAAGAAACGATAAAGAGGCCGGTTAAACGAGCACGTGATACCAGAGATGGTGATGGTTCACCATTTCGTGCGATTTCGTCCTATGGGTTGTTGTTTCGTCTCTTTCCTCTCGTCTCCTTCCTCTCACCTTATATCCTTCTCTTTGAGAAATCGACTGCAACAGCTATTCAATTTTTCACAATTCGCAAATTCGTACAATTTTCGTTCGATTGAATTTTAGCATTCAAAATGTGTACAACACATCTACCTATTTTCGACAATCAATCACTGTTTAGCGAGTGAACATTTTCGCGTAGTAATGTTTCGGCCAGTATTATACAAATATTTTTCGAATGGTCGATCAGACCATTTTCCGTGCACGTATATACTTCATTTATACGCATTTATAAAACGTTCTTTAATGTCCTCATTTGAAATTCTATTTCGTTTTATTCCTGTTTCTTCCTTTTTTTTCTTCTCTCTTCCTTTCCGTAGAAACAATCGAAATCGAGTCGAAGAGACGAGACGTTGAGCCGCAGTCTTTCGTGTGCAAGTGGTACGTACAGAGTCATCTGACGATGCGAATGTGAATTCCTCGAGCTCGACTCGACTCGACTCGACTCGACTCGACACACGCGCTACTGAATTACTGCATCGCTGCAGATTGCAATTTGCAGCCTTTCCCTGTCTAATATCCCGAGAGCGGAATTTTTTCAAGCCTTTGACAATTGTACAACCGTATCCGCGTAATATTCAATCATGGAGATCAATCAATGTGAGACTGATATAAAACATACGAGTGACGCGGATGCGAACGAATATTTGTTGATGCAGATGTTGATGCAAAAGACAAGAGAATATAGTTTTAAAGTTATAAGTTTTGATTTGACTGTCTAGTGACTGTCTAGTTACGCGCATAGATTACCCCGAAACAATCGCGAATGCAAATTTTCAGTGGAACCGATGTTGTATACAAGCGGTGAGAACCACAGTTTCTTTTCACATATTAATCTCACACGGTAACATACAGCCATACGATATTTGCTTTGAAAAATTCTACCGTCTGCATCTTGTATGCGCATAAAAATAATTACGTTAATTAGACCTTACACTACTTGGCAAAGTCATGGCAAAGGGTCTGGTGACGGGTTTGGTTAGGTCTCGAGACACGAGGCCTGTTTGTCTCGTCTCTTTTATTTCACTCTACAAACGCGACAAATGCGAGATACACTAATCCTCGCACTCGACTTTAGTCAGCGTGTTTCTCGGGACGGGAGTGCACCGGGAATGTACCCAAAGTGCATCGTTGCACCATTGATTTACTCACCCACACGAACGACGTTTGGATGATATTCTTCGGCTGATATCTGATCACCGTTGCAAGTAATATCGCGACGACGAGAAGAAGGGTCCACAATTATTTGGTGTCGGTCGACGCGCCACGATCTTCAGACTGCGCGTTGTGATTTCCCACTGGCGACATAGGCTTCTGGCAGATGCCCTTTTATCGTTCGAAAGCAGCTTCGGATAGTAGAGAGAGAGAGAGAGAGAGAGAGAGAGAGAGAGAGAGAGAGAAAAGATAGCGGTTTTCCGTGGCAGAGTCGGAAACGGGTCGATGGATTTATCCCGGGTCAAAAAGTTTATCGCGGCGCGGATATGCGATGACACGCTCTTCGTACGTACAAGTCATCCCCGCGAGACCGATCGGCTCGTGCACGAGCCGCTATGATAAATCGGAGAAAGAAAGATGGCAAAGAGTAACAAAGGAGAAGCTTCGTAGGAATGCGACGTAAAACACAACTACGCAGATAAGCTGAAACTTAATCATCTTATTCTCTCTCTCTCTCTCCAGGTTGGTGATTATACCAGATAACGCGTACGACACGTCGTGTCGGTTGAATCTCTGCGCGTCATGATTCACCGAGTGTTAAAAAACCTTTCTCAAAAATTCGGTAAGATCAAACAAATAAACGAATCGCAAAATTATATGTTTTGAACACGATATAAATATCTCGCACATATATATAATTTTATCAAGTCTGTTTCGGGGCAACGCAAGGCAAAATTGTCAACTCTCTTGTTTCAACAGAAGCCGCTCCTTTCATTCTCTTTCCGAGATAAGATCTTTCGGAGATAAGATATCATAGATAGAATCAGAAACAGAATTTTAAGGTTGTCAGGTGCGAAGTTTTACAAAATAAGATAATATTTTGAAATCTTCATAACGATACTCCCACGAGGCGGGAGAGGCGAGAAACGAATTTTATTTACGAAATCTCCCACGAAGGGAGATGAAAAGATATTTAATTATCTTTAAAACATATCGAAAATCCCACGAGGAAGAAAGCTTTTGTTCGTTACTTGACTGAGAAATTGAGAAATCCTCATATTCGAACTCCTACGACAGGAGAGAAGAAAGTTGTTTCTTTCAGAATTGATCTAATTCATCAGAAAGACTATCTATTAATTCTTTTATTATTTTCAGATCTTAATCTACTCATCCCCTGAAGGGGATGGGGATTCTTCCTGGTTTCCCAGACTCCACATCCACAGAGGCTGAACTTGAGAGTCTTCTCATTTAAAGCTGAATCCGTCTCAAGAACTCAAGAACTCAAGAAGAAGAAAAGGATCTACTTTTTCTCTTCGTCGGATGTTTTCAACAGTTGGACAACAGATGAATATTAATTTTCTTTTAATATAAATCGTTAAATATCCATACTTGATTTTAAGAAAAATAACTGTCCTCTCTCTGCGAAAAGTTATTGTTCGATTTGAAAAAAGATTAATTAAAAGAACCAGATATTTAAAAACGTTAACCAGATGTAAAAACTAAAAAATATTCCAACACCGACTGTTGTTCCTGTGTCTCGTTTGCGATTTTTTCGTCGTAGCTTACCCTACGCATCCTCCTTGGCGGCACGGAGAAAACAGAAGAGTATGAATATTCGCAATTCGAGGAAAAGAGCTGACATACATACTTATATATAGTTTATTCTTGTTTATGCGATGAGACGCATCGTTCTTCGTTTGTCGTTGTTCTCTTCTCGTGATCTATAAGATTTCACTTTCAGTGCGGTGTCACATCGTGTCACACGACGTGTTGCTCGAAGTAATCGAGAAAAGCCCGGATGCCCTGATTACTTTACTGGGGAAACACGCGCGTAATTGTGAAATCTCAGGTTCCATCGATCGAGTGCGAAGTGTACACGCGTCATCGGAGCGAAATCGGGAAAAATATTTGTTTCCTCTGTCTCATCGTAACGCGAATCATTATACAATCAGTATATTTGCATTGCATTGGAAGACGCGGCCGCTTGGCCGCGCGATCAGTGACACGTCTCAACGTTGGAGCCGACGAGCCTCCTCTTGACACACACGATCTTCGGACTGTTTTCATTCATCGCGGTGCAAAGTCTACTTGCGCGCGTTTTAACCGTCGCACACTCTGTCGTAACTGATGTGTTATTTCTAACGTGGAACGAAGCGGATGATACCGGTGAAAGCAGACATTACCGAGCGTGACCGGACCATTACGTAGCGTAATTCGATCTAAGTAGAAAGGAGAGAAGACGGAGTAGCGCCTCCGCCCTCCGCCCTCCGACCGTGCCGTGCCGTGCCGTGCCGTGGGGCAAATCCGCGCGGCGGTCGCGCGTACCTGTATATGTATATATACATACATTGCGCTGTAAACTAAGGGGTGGAGGCGGGGGAGGGGGGGGGAAACTGCACCTTGCGGGAGGTTTGTATTTCATCAGTATTGTCGTCGCGTTACACTTTGAAATTCATCCGAGAACCGTATACTTCTCCTCTCTCTCTCTCTCTTTCTCTCTCTCTCTCTCTCTCTCTCTTGGTAATATATTCTAAATGTACGTTTTATATAATACACTTTATCATACATATCTCTCGCGCACGAGATAAGACTCGTTCGTTTGCAAACAATTATGCTAATAAATACGCGCGCGGTGACGAGTCGAGGATTAATGTTGGAAATAGATCGTGAGTTGTATCAAAGTCCGCTGGGTTAGGTCGTAAATTATGCATCGATTGTCGTTTTCTGTCCAATCGACGCCGTGCGGCGTGGTTTAATCTATTCGCAACCTATTCACGCACGATTCAATCGATTAATAATTATGTTCAAGAGTACCAAGGGAGAGGGAGAGAGAGAGAGAGAGAGAGAGAGAGAGAGAGAGAGGCAAAACTCGCAGATGCATTGGGAAAAGTCGTATAAAGTAACAGCATCTTCGCGAGCGAGATCCGTACGTTCAGGATACTCAGGCCACAATTTTGCTATTTGGATCCTCGATCGCTCTATACCGTGCGATAAATGATTTTACGCGCACTCATGACGCACAAATAACGCGTTGCGCTTGATCGCCGTGCTTTTTACTCGCTGGCGACTGGCTTTGACATAACAGTACGTATAGCAGACGGATCGTTTAACGGTACTAATCGCGGTTGCGGTTAACGAATAACCAGAACAAACGGTGTTTTTCCAGTATTGCCGTCAGATATAATTTTTAAAGTGTCGCGTCGACACGATTATCCATTATTATTAAAAATTTAATGAGTCACAGTCTAAAGTGGAAAATACAAATTTACAAATGGCTAACCGTAGCTAATAAATTCAAGATTTTTTGCGGCTGGTAAAAAAAAGGGGGAAAAAAAGAAGAATACGTATTGCATACGTTAATATAAATTAATACAGTATGAATATATATATTTTCCTTACCTTATAAATCATTTATACAGTATGAAGCAATATGTACGAACAATTTCGTCAGAATCAAAATCTGTGGTATCGGATGTGTTTGTTTGGAGAAAAAGGCAGCGTCGAGCAGTGTTCCTTTTTTCGCGTTGAAGCGTATATAATTTGCCGGCGCAATTATAGCGTTTTTGCAGATTGTCATATTGTAATACGATCGGTCGATTAATCCGGCTTCATAGTGGAAGGCTTCATGTGCGATCTCGAGTCAAACGATGCATTAAAGCCGTTTATCTCGTTTATCCCGTTTTACGTTTCTCTACAAATCACACTCTGCATGGACGTTTTCTTTTTTTTTTTTTCACAGTGTGACGATTCTTTACTACATAAAATATGAGATATATTACAAGGTATATCATTATTTTTTTTTTTTTCAATATTCAAATCTGCTAGATTCAGGGAGAATTTCGATTCTCTCCTTTCCATTGTTTCTCCCTTTCGTTCCCCACGGGGAAGGAAATTCCACGAGGAAGGACATTCACTGCAAATCTGAATATATTATTTTGACGCGTATAAATATGTAATTGGCTGAAACTTTCTTCACACACACACACACACACACACACATGTTTCTTGAGTCCCGTCATTTAATACATTTAAACATGTTAAATGAGATTAATTAAATTATGTGCTAAGGTGATATAAGAGTCACACGCTTGTACGTGTAAAAACACGTGTAAAACACATTCAGATTTGCAGTAGGTAGGTAGTTGTCCATATTTTGTCTGTATTAACGGACGGATTGAATATGTGGTAGAGCAGCTGAGCAGGCAATTGATTGGAATACGACCGATTCCGATACACCATTCTAGAGACTCCTTATAGTTATAAAACGGCGTGTATTATTAAAAAGAATGACAGATACAGGTATTTAATGGCCGGACGGTTAACTACCGGCCGATACATATCTCATTGAGACCAAGCCTAATAAATCTAAGGTAAATACAAGAGTTTACAATCTCGATTTAGCTAGTTGGAGCAAGTATGCAGAACAATCATGCAGATTTATTCTCCTGATCGGTTTTTACTACTGACATGGCAAATGCGCTCGTAAGAAAAATACAGCACCGAAGAAGTAGGACGTTTATCACAATTTTACAGCGGATGAAGATACAGCGTACAACCTTTATTTACGAAATTCCGATAAAGGATAAAGGGGCCGCGCAAAATTAATCGGCGCAATTCCAAGACCGCGACGCTTTTCTTCTCTTCGACAATCACATTCGATGAGGACGGCGAGAATTCGTGAGAAGAAGAGAAAAATCCGAAAGAACGAGGAAGATTTCCGCGTGGAGATCGGGGTTGAGAAGAATAAGAGGTGGAGAAGGTTTCGCGCGTAAAAAGGAACGTAGAACAAATCTCGCGCACGGTATATTGCGGTATATTGAAAAATACTCTTGTCGCGTCTCGAAGGCAAACGCTGCATCGAATTCCCCATTTCTGTAGTATCTCTCGAAATTGCACCGTATTTGCCGTCATTTGCCGATATATATATCTCGTCCTTACCTCCCTGCACTGTATTTATCGGAAGCAACAAACATTACAAATGCATCACGATTCGCACAGATTTTGCAGACGATACAAACGTTTGTTCCCGCTCTGCTTCCCGCTCGTTCTCTGACGCTGCGCCGCATGCCTCCCGTGAGTCGTTTATGAACGACTCACAAAAACATAGTTTTATGACTGATACGGCCGACGGCGGCAGGACGGGACCGCCGCGCGCGCGCGCGCGCGCGCGTCCGCTTCGTCGCGGGGGCGGATGGATGCGAGGAATAATCTATTTTTTTTTCTTTTTCTCGACGATGTCGACGATGTGTTGCACAAGTTCTCTTTCAGGGGAACCTGTTTTGCCCCACCGCGTTAGACGGACGCTCGCGTCGTCACCTTCGTCGCTCGTTTCTTTTGCCATTGCTACGCTTTTGAATCGCGCGAATCGGCCAGTTTAACGCGCGCATTGTGCATGTGCAGCCGAAGCCGAGCCGCAAAAGAACAACATTAGTCGTCGGTATCTCGACGCCGCGCGAGTCTACCCAATCTTGTCTGCGGCACTCTTTCCCGCTTGTCCCGTGAATATTCCACGACCGAAAGACGACGACGATACGGACGATATCGTATACGGACACATTTCATGAGTCCCCCCATGAAATCCAAAGGCAAGTTGTCGTCTGATCTCGTCGAAGCTCGTTTTGTACAGTTCGGCTTGAATTTTCTCGCTCGCGACCCATATCACTTTCTCATCGTGCGTATTGCGCGTATTCCGCGCGCAGCACCGAAATGTTTCACAGCTAACGACGAGAGGTAGGTGCTTCGTGTATTTTCACACCCTCTCTCGTCACGCATAATCGAGATACTCGAAAATTCTCTTCGATTCCGCGATAGATAAAAAGAAAGAGAGAAATCGCCGCGTCTCTCTTGCCGCTCTGTTCTTTCTTTCCTTGACCCGAGGAATCGGCGCGGGAGCGCCAAAATCCCCGTTGAATTGCGGAATGAGGAATTGCGCCATACCATACCATACCATACCATACCATAATTGCAATGCTGAGAATCACATACACAGTCTGTCCCAGATTCAATGAGACTGGTCTAAAGAAAATACAAAGCGTTTATTATTTTGATTTTTTATTCTTGTTTATTCAAAATAGTCTCCTTCTGAGTCAATACAGCGCTGGAAACGTTCGACAAATTTTTCGAAACATTTTTTATACTCATCGGCTGGAATGGCCTTTAGCGTGGCGGTCGAAGTCTTTTGGATGACCGGGATGGTATCGAAACGATTTCCTTTCATCGGCAATTTCAGTTTGGGAAATAGCCAGAAGTCGCACGGAGCCAAGTCAGGTGAATACCAGATGAATGATCGATAACAATGATGTCTTTTTTGGTCAAGAATTCACGTACCATGATGGCTTTGTGCGATGGTGCATTATCGTGCAACCTTCCGTTTGCCCAAATCTTCGGTCAAAATTCGATAGACCTTTTCGACAGATGCTTTTCGGTGTCCCAGTTTCCTCCTCGATGAGTCTCGCAGACACACAGCGGTCGCTTCGAAGAATTTCTTTGACTTTCTCGATGTTTTCTTCATTGCGAGTGGTTTTTGGCGGCGGTGCTCGGTCATCGTCCGCAAGGTCCTCACGACCGTCACGGAATCGGCCGAACCAACGGAAAACCTGTGCACGGGACATGCATTCATCCCCGTACACATTTCTTAGCGTTTCGTACGTTTCTGCACCACTTTTACCCAATTTAAAACATGTTCCATGTTGGTTTCTCGACCGACGTACACAAAGTGACTGTACATAAAATGTCAAACCGCAGTGAAATATCAACCGAATTCGCTCAAAGTTTGAGATTAAGTAGATGAAGGGTCGAACATTCACCTATACCATCATTCACTCATAGATATCGCTGCGCTAAGAACTTTGACGGAACCAGTCTCACCGTATCTGGGACAGACTGTGTAGATGCCGTTTCCAAATATCCCCTTTTCTCGCAAAAGTTTGGCGATAAGAAGAAAATCGGAAGATTTTTCGATTCTCCTTTTATCACTTACTAATATGAGCTATTTTCGCTATTGTCGCATAAAATGACCCATGTAATCGCGAATATTTAGCGGGGCTTTATCAGTGCGAGCTTTAAACGCGATGTGCTGCGGCGCGGCGAGACGCACGTGTAGCAATGCGTCGTCGCAATGCCTTCCTCTACGCTATGTGCAAGCAATAGTTGCTAAAATAGTTGCTAGACTGCACAACTGGGCCCGGACTGCACTATTGCCCGGAAACGGCTCAGACGCTGCTCCCCTACCGTCTCGGTGCCGGCGCGCTCATTCTCATCCGACTTGTATAATTAATAACTCGATCATTAATATAAATATCGCGCAAAACAATACGGGACTTTTTTTGCTCGCTTCAATCACCGTTCCACACTCCCACAAACTCGGTCAGAAATTTGCAAATTTCCAAGACACAAGCCGAAGTTTATTCTCCGTGACTCTAATTTAGTCCTGAATCCGATGACCTGACTCTGAACCAAACCGAACTTGACGAAATTAATCTCGGATTAAAAAAATATACGTTTCAAGTAAACGATAAGAAGCGACGGTGATAATTTGTTTGTGAAATTACGGTAAGTAATTTCTTATCGTTTGTTTCAAGCGTACAGTTTAAATTGGAGGAATTTAAATTTAAAAACTTGTACATTGTATCTTTCTACAATTTGTTTTGTTTTTACTATATGTATTTGGTATGTTAATTACTATAAGTAAACCGTCGCTATTCTTTTGGTGCGGTAACATTTTAAAACGCGTTTACACGCATTACACGCATATTGTTGTCTATTTGCATTTTGTAAGTCCAACTCGCGTTGAAGCATTCTTATCTTTATAACTTGGAAGCTGCTGAGACTTTGACATTAAAAAAAAAATTTCAATTTCTTTTATTTCACTCTTTCTAGCTTTCTAGCTAGGACGACGTGTGGATAAGATTATATCCTCGGTATAGATTTGGTCAAATTAATTAAATATGAAGCTGTAGCGTAAAATATATTACAGCTCTATCTCGTGAACTTTATTTTATTGATATGATTGTATCGCACAGATTGCACAGATCTGTCTTTAGGCACCTCGTCAATTTGACGTAATTTTGGAAGCTGCTTCGAAAGCTCGTCCGAGGAAAGTAGTATGCTGTATAAGGGCGTAAGATGTAAGATCTTTTACGCGAATACTTTAACGGAATTAATACGGACGAGTATAAACTAATTACATAGGTTGATTTGAGTGCGAATCAATCCGGTGCGCCTTCTTATTTTCTCTGTTCCTCGTGATTTTCAGGGCCGAGACAATCGCAGCGCGCGAGCTTGCTACGCAAGTTAAAGATGCAAATCGGAAGCATATGTAATAAGCCATATTAATATTTTACGTTACGTCCGACGCGCGACGGTGCGCTTTCCGCGAAACCGAAATTTACAAGACCGACGCTTATCGTTTCGTTCACGACAACGTGTGATCGAATAAGGCATTTCGCATCGCTGCTGCATTGTCGCGTCTTACCGGGGATGATCGGTCAACTGTTCAACCGGGGATGAATATATGACTTGGAGAATATATGACTGGTCGCAAAAACATAAGACACGTATAATCGGTGCGTCACTGTACGTGTATGTGTGTTTCGCGAAAAATTGGTCTCTTGCAATAAATTTATTCATTTCAATTTCTAATTAGGTAAGTAAGGCAAACAATGTCGCACGAGGGCGATGCAGAGAGCAACGTCGGGTGAAGCAAGTGTCTCGACAATAAGGAGCAATCCCGCGGTATCCCGCGAATTTTGCTTTCATTTGCAGACGTGGACGTAAAATCCGGGCACGAGGATCCGGGTCGGGCGGATTTTGAACGGGCGATCGTATCAGCGGGTAAGAAAAGTAGACGTAAAGTATTATTATTATTATTATTATCATCATCTCGCATGCACGCGCATGTATTTAAATGTTCATCCTCGTCAAACGCTCTTCCGTGTGTCCCAGCAGGCTATGGAAAATTCAACTATCTGCTGTTATTGGCGGTACTGCCAGCCTGTTTCTCCAGTATCTTTTCGTCGTCGTCAATGTCATACGTGCTACCATCCGCCGAATGCGATCTCGGCTTGACAATGTTCGACAAGGGGCTGCTGAACTCGATGGTGTTTGCAGGTGATATTTCAAGTCGCTTGGCAATCGCATATATTACAGCACGCTGTATTACAGGTGCGAGCTCGATGTGCGAGCCTAAGAGCGCGTTTGGCACACTTAGAGTATGATTATCGTGCGGATTGTGCCGCCGGCGGCGCCGCGGCCGGTTCGCTTGTAGGCTATAGAGTGAGGGCAACCGCGCACGCTACGGTAAATATACCGTGCCGTTGTCTCTTGTCAACCAAGTGCCAAGTAAGACCGGCCGGGTTGTATCATGCAACGTTGGTCGTTTACGATTTCTGCAGACTTATTCAGTCTGCGGATCAAGGCTCCCTCGGTTTGCTCTTTAAGGTTTGGAAACGTCGCGGTTCGTTGTGTGGCGTTGGCAGCAAGAAATCTGACGATGCAACAACAATATATATATACGATAAAGAATGGGGTTATGTAAATTTCTATTATTTCAAATAGTTGCGAAATACTTTTCGACGACTGTTTCGACTGACATAAGAAGGAAATACACATGTGTGTTTCTCCAATCATCCATCTCGGCGCGCGCTCACTCGTCAGATTTCTGTAATTATTAATCTATAACTCGATAACTACGTATTACCCGAATATCCCAAAACGCTGGAACTTTTATGTCTGTCTTCAATTGCTTATGTGTCCTTATGTCCTCGCGAGCTCTGTAAAATTTGTTCCGCGAGAGTTTGGTTTGGCCAAGAATTGTTTGCCAGTGTTACATCAGAATCAATCATTCAACTGTTGCTCCAGAGCTAAGTCAATATAGACTATCCGCATCAATGCCAACCGTAAAATCTTACGAAATGAATGAAATGGAAAAGAAATGATTGTACGTATCTCTAATAATTCTTGTTGATTGTCAAACTTATGGGAGAGAGCTCTTGGATTGACGGCGAATGTATCGAATAATCCAACGCTGATTTTCATACGTTGCATTGCACTCGATTCTATTCGCAATTCATTCTATTCGGACTATATATATTTATGTCTAATTCCTTCCTTTCTGACAACTAATTTTCGTCGAAAAAGACAGCTCAATCAACAAACACAGACAGAATGTGATCACGTCGATTTGTTTCAGGTATGATCTGCACGGCATTTTTCTGGGGTTGCATGACCGATATATTCGGCCGTAAGAAAATCATGTTCTACGGTTACTTGGTGACCGGTCTACTAAGTTTGGCGACATCTTTTTCGTACACCTTTTGGATTTTATTAGTATGCAAATTTTTCGACGGCGTGATGTAAGTTGAAGGTGCAACCTAATATACCACCACCGCACGAGGCGTATCATTCCAAAGTCTCTAACTGCAAAACAGTAGACGAGAATCAAATCTGGAAATTAGATTAAATTTGTAATTCTTCTTGTTTGCAATGTCAGTGTTGAGAAGAACGCATGGATATATTATGGAGTTGATAAGACAAAGATACATATGACAGGTTAATCAAAACATTTGCAGCATGTCCGGTCCATACGCAGCGCTCATGTCGTACTTGGCGGAGACACACGGCGATGTACATCGATCGCGCTCGTATATGTGGCTCGGTGTGTTTTTCTCGCTCGGAAATATTTCCTTGCCATGTACGTACGTATTGTGTAGAAAGAGGAGGAGAGCGTAGATTATAAATTAAATAAAGTGTCGATTTAATGATATATAAATGCCCCACAGTGTGCAAAAAGCACACTGTGGTAGCGGTATAATTTTCTCCGACGGAGAAACCACTACCACCAAACGGCCGCGAGCGACTCCTGTTATTCGGTTCGTAGGTATAGCGTGGTTCGTGATACCTCAAACGTGGGATTTTACGCTTCTAAATGGAACGATGAAGATCCATTCTTGGAGAGTGTTTTTGGCAATCTGCTCGTTACCCGAGTTTCTAGCGTGCATCGCTCTGTTTGCCTTTCCGGAGAGCCCGCGTTTTCTCATTCTGAAAGGTCGACACGACGAGGCGTTGGACGTTTTCAAGAAAATCTACTCGCTCAATACCGGCAAGGACCCTGACACATATCCGGTAACACGCGTGCACGTAACGATACTTTACTCGCGTTCGCGATCGCTAGTGTAATGACTCGCTGCGCGAATATTCGAAGAAATCGTATCTAATTTATTATAAGACTGATTATATCGTTGAGTCTCACACTCACTTGTGTGTGTATACATGGTACAATTGCGCGTACTCTCTCTCTCTCTCTCTCTCTCTCTCTCTCTCTCTCTCTCTCTCTCTCTCTCTCTCTCTGTCTCTCTCGCTGTCGCTGCTGCGCCATTGTCGCAGTTGTCGAGTGACAACCATTGCCGCTCAAAGTTAACGCCAACGACGTGTTTAATCGACAAACAGATAAAAACTCTCGAGGATGAATATTCGATTGAAGGAGTCAAATCTTCCGGAGAACGTTTGCAGGATAAAGCGTACACCTGCTGGAAGCAAATCAAGCCTTTGTTTTTGCCACCCAACATCTTCAAGCTGATAGCCATATCGATGATACAGTTCGGCGCAACGACAGGGTCAGTCGCGCTCGTTCTTTCTGTCGAAAGGTTTCGAAAGGCGGAATCGCGACGTTTCAAGTTTAATTACCTTCACTCACTCAGGTCAAACTCGCTGCGACTTTGGATGCCGCAGCTGTTCGCCATGATCGAGAGCTACAAGAATACCGTCGAGAGAGATGCGTTAGGCCATGCGTTAGGCTTGCAGCCGTCCTTTTGCTACATGTTAGGTAAAGAAAAGTCGCAGCACAATTCTACTCGATACGTCAACGAGACGATGGACAACGTCGCGGCTGCCTGTGTGTCGGTGAGTGACGTTCCCTTCGTACATGTAGTCGCTCTCGAGCGTTCCGAAAAAGAAATCTGGCGGTTAACACGGCTTTCTCTCATTTCAGCCATACTTGAATTCTCGAGTTTTTGTCAACTCCATCGTAATTGCCGTTACAGGTGTTGTCGGTTATACCTTGGCCGGTTCCCTCATCACAGTGGTCGGAAAGAAGAAATTAATGGGTGAGATAGCACGATCTGATAGTCGCTTTGCCGCTCACCTGTGGCAGGTGGAATCGGCACTTGCGAGTGTGTGGAGTGGAGAGATAACGTTTTGCGCGGCACAAGATAATATTTCGGGTTTTGTTTTTACCTTTGTAGCAATTTGCTTCATCGTCGCCGCTGCCTGTTGCGGCTCGCTCTATTGGGCTAATGATACCAATGGCGTCCTCGTTTTGTCCTCGGTGTTTGTCGCGATGTCGAGCATAGGCGGAGCGACCGTTATCAACGTTATCGTCGACAATTTCCCCACATGTTTAAGGTAAGTTCTCAGCTCAATGTTCTTCGCTTTGTACCTTGTTCCTTCTCGAAAAAAAGAAAATTATACAGGATTGGGGGAGGGGCAGGATGGGGGAGCGAGAAGAATGAGAAGAGATTCATTGTGTGTAATGCATCTTCTAATTCTCTCTCTCTCTCTCTCTCTCTCTCTCTCTCTCTCTCTCTCTCTCTCTCTCTCTCTCTCTCTCTCGATTCATTACGCACACGTTACATTTATCTCCGCTTTCAGAACTATGGCGGTCAGTATAACCATGATGATGGGAAGAATCGGCGCGGTGATAGGCAATTTATTGTTCCCCGTTTTATTTGATTTATCATGCCTAGGACCCTTCGTCATGATTGGCACGGCTTCTTTAAGTAAGGATCGCGTCTGCTGAAAGATTGTCGAAAGATGAAAATCGACCTCAATAACGTACATATTTATTTATTTTCTACAGTATGTGCGCTTTTGATTGCTGTATTACCAAGGAAACGAAAACAGCTCACAACGACCGAATATGTACCGAAGGACATGGTTTGACGCACGCTGCTCACCTGATGTTTCGCATCTGATGAAAAGACCGACTTGTGCTGTTACACATCGCTGTTACAGCTGCAGTTGCTCGCAATTTTTTCTCCATTGTGTAAATACACGTTGTGTTCATACAGTGCCTTATATCGACGCGCTGCTTTGTATTTTGTGTTTTATACGGCTGTATCGAGACAACTGAATGCCAATGTCAATGCGTAGCTTCGCATGCTGTGCATGTTGCATAAACATTTTCATAATACGATAATACAATAAATAAATGTATGTGATATTAGCGACCCTATCTTCAATCTCCCGCCCCCCCCCCTCCCCAGCACGCGCAATGCGCAACGCGGACGCGCGCACGGCGAATCGCTTTGCTCGTTGTCGAGAATTTCTCTAGATGAAGAGTATATAACACGTCACCGCGCCAGCGCAGCCAACTCTCCGTTTCATCCGGCATCTCGCCTAGTCTTTCTCTCTCAGCGTGCTATTAGTAATGTGATACGACAAACATGACTCTATAAATATCGCTGGCTGTGCACCTTCTGCACGTAGTGGCGATAGAGAACGACGGCCTAGTTTTCCGTAACAGCAACTAAATGGAAAAGAAAAAAATCAATATAAAGCGATATCGGAGCGATTTCTGATGCAGCTTCGTTTCTGATCATCTCGTTGTCGCTGAAAACAACCGACGAGGATTTAGCGCTCGGTGTGTGAAAGTCTCGTGAAAGAGGACCGAAGGAGAAATGAAAAAAGTGTCGCTACCTCGCTTGATATTACGTAACTCGATATCTGAGAGTTATCTGAGAGATGATGCCATTCTGGTACGTTTCTGGCACGTTCCTGGCGTCCATTCTCATTCTCGTCTCATAGGGATTTTAGCGTTACTATCACGCTGAGAACCCTATGACCCGGCGGTAGTGTCGATACGGCCGTGGCGGTCGCAGGTCGTTGTTGTGCTTGAGCGTGTCGTCGTGCTCGAGTGCGACGTGATGCGCGAGTAAACGGCTTTCTGCTATCTGAAGTTGAAGATCCCCGCAGGTGCGCACATCATCGGGAATCATCATGGAAGAAGTTTTTCAGAACGGCAACTATCAGAGGGAGGCTAACGCCAACATGACCGCTGTTGAGACGCGGAAAGAGGTAAAGAAGCTTTAGTGTTGGCAAATCGATATCGTTGTTCTCTCTCTCTCTCTCTCTCTCTCTCTCTCTCTCGCTCTCTTTCGCTCTCTCTCGCTCTTTCATTCTGTCTTGTGCGGGTTTTGCGGTTCGTACTCGTCGGAGAGAGCGAACGCGACGCCGTTGCATATTTCTGCAAAATCGAATCTTTGCAAAATTGAGTAACTCGCGCGAGTGATGTCTTGAATTGGAAAATACTGTGGATTAATCGTAATCTGTAATAATTAAATCTGAATCACGAGCGGGCAAATGTATGTCGCGCAGCAATTATCGGAGCACCGCGCAGCGTCCTTTCAAACCGTGTCACTGACTCGCTGGCTCTCTCTCTCTCTCTCTCTCTCTCTCTCTCTCACTCGTTGAACTCGTCTGTATTTTCCTTGCTACGAATTGGCGACAACAACCGTGTCACGTATTATTGTTTGTACGTGATGCTTCATGTGCCGGTGACACATATCTTTCATGAATGACGAGGAAATGGATAGAATGCAGCAATAAACTTTGAAATTTGAGAGAATATCTCTTCGGGAAGTGTATTGAGTGTGTAATTGCGATATATTTCAGGATTGCCTGCTCGACCACATGGAGATCTCAATAGTCGAGGCTGAGAAACGAGCGAATAAAGCGCTTAATCTAAGAGAATTCTACACGGTATACCTCATTGAAACTAAGTAAGTAACAAAATAGAGGTATCAGTTACATAAATACAAAACAAATTATTGACAGAGCAATGTAGGCGCAGGTATATAATCAAATGAAACAATAGAATAATATCGTGTATAAATAAAACATCCACACACACACACACACCACTTTCGACACCGTCAATTACTATTTCTTTCTTTTCCTCCTCTTCTTTCTCTTTTCTTGTCATTACAGAGTCACTGATCCAGATTTCAAAAACGCGTTGATTAGAATAAGTTCATTATGGCGACGATATACCGAGTTCGAATTACTTCGTGCTTATTTGGAAATCTCTTATCCTTACATCGTATTACCGCCATTACCAGAGAAGAAAGTTCTCTATGCATGGCAAAAAGTAACAACCGACACGTTCGACCCAGATTTTGTCGATCGCAGAAGAGCTGGTCTCGAGGTATGCGTGTCCGGCATGTGCAATTACGCATGTACGCGTTACGATGAATAACACAGTTATTCGTGTGTAAAATATTTCTTGCAGAATTTTCTCATCAGAGTGGCGTCGCATCCCATATTGTCGCGCGACGAACACTTTATGGGATTTCTCCAGCGGAAGGACGGCTGGAGAGAGAGTGTCAAGGAAACAGGGTACCTGCAGATTGCAGAGTCGAAACTGAAAGCGCTTAGCGTAGCCGTGCGATTGAGGAAGCCGGATAAACGTTTCGAGACTATAAAGAATTATGGAATTGAGCTTCAGGTACGGTGAGAGAGTTTCGATTTAAACGGATGAGTACGACACCAAGCTTGGAAATGGCAATAGGACCAATTAATGCTCCATTATTACCCCTCATCCAGCAAAACTCTAATTAATGCGCAAGTGTCATCGGTATGGTTGTTTTGCAGAATAATTTGTGCAATCTCCTGCGAGTGCGCGCGCGACTCGTCGAGAAGCAACACAGTCTGTACAAGTTACATGCGAATTATGGTCGCGTCTTTAGCGAATGGAGTGCCATAGAGAGAGAGATGGGCGATGGATTGCAGGTATCTTTGTTGTAAAAATAATCTGCCATAGGCCGATATGCGAAAATACGAAAAATTTTCTCCGTTAATATCAAAAGTGATGTAGGGAGAAAGAGAGAGAGAGAGAGAGAGAGAGAGAGAGAGAGGGAGAGAGAGAGAGAGAGAGAGAGAAAAACAAACAAGAAAATGTAAAAAAAAGAATAAAATAAAAATCGCAGCCTAAGTATAAAGATTGCAAAACACCGCATTACAGCCTGTTTTCTTAGAAATCGGGACACTACTTGGACTCATTAGCGGCTACGATAGATACCACTCTCGAGGAGGAAGAACTTATAGCCGATCAGCTGAAGGAGTGGTTGTTTGGCGCGTCTGCCTTGCAAGCTGTGGTTAAACGTAGAGAAGCTCTACAACTGGCCAAGGACGAAGCCCACGATGCTTTAACCGCCGCGTTCGAACAGAAAGATAAAGTCATGCAAGGTATCGGAGTAGCATCTTTAAGGGAAGCACGATTCTCACGATGCGTAAGAAATGATTGAACATTCTGTGTTTCCAAGGTAAAGCCGGTCTGATGTCGCGCTTGTTCGGCTCCGTGGATACCGAGGAGGTTCGCGAGTTGAAGATCCTTCAGTTGGAACAGCGAATCGCACAGCACGACGACGCTGTGAAACAAGTCGACGAAGATTTAAAGTAAGACCACGCGATCGATCCAATCGCGATATTCCGGTTGGTTAAATGTGTGTGACTAGTTGACAAGCCCGATGTAAGCCCTTTGGCACTCGGTGTCTGTTTCCTTTTTTCTTTTTTTTTTTTTTCTTGTTTTTATAGGTCTTTCTCAATCAAAGCCATGATGGACATTGAGAGATTTCAACACCAAAAGGTCGTCGACTTGAAGGAGACTCTGGCGGCTTATTGCGTATTGCAATTCAAATTGGCCAGAAAGGTCAGTATGAATTTAATTTGTGTGTACACCTTGATACAGCTGATTGAACACGCTTCCTAACACGGTGATTGTTTTCATATTATTATTCATTGCGACACAGGGTCTCCAAGCGTGGCAGCACATTAAGGGTTGTCTCGAGAGTATGCCGTGAAAAGTCTCGTTGCGCTTTGCAAAAGCGCAGACTGTCGCAGAACAATAATCGTTTCCGCGTTTCCTTCTATCTCTCGTGCGAATTATACATTCCTGCATTTGTAAGTTTACTCATGCCGTATGTACTACGCTTATTATCATATTGATGTACATGATTGTTATCATTATTTAATGTCATATCTAGAAGATATACATAAATGTATGTATGTATGTATGTATGTGTGTACATATATATATATATATATATATATATGTGTGTGTGTATACATGAAGCATATATGATACATATGTATGTATGTATGTATATAATATAATTAATATTGGATATATAAAATTATGCCAAGACGTATTATTTAAATATTTATATTTATGTATTTAATAAGAACCACGCGCGCTTCACGCGGTCACGGCTAAGTGAATTATTGTACAAAAAATTAATAATGCGCGAGAGACCGTACTTAATAATGATGTAGAAATCGGAAAACAATGCAAATTATAACCGGTATAATTTGTATAATTTGTTACGCCCAAACGACGATAAACCTATTGCTGTCGCTAATAATTAATTTTTTATACACTATCGTTTCCATCGTTGAATAGGAATTCTTTCAATCCCCTTATCGCTGGTGAATATCGATGGGAAGCTCATTTCGTTAAGAGAAGGAAAAAAGAACTACATTTGATTTTCAAAACCACATGTACCAGATTCTGCTGCTGATCTAGTGCTCAACTGCAGACTCCCCTCAAGCGTGCACGACACAGAATTCATGTTATGATTATCGCCGCTATTATCTATTTCGCATATCGCATCTATTTCCATGCAGGGCGGTTGCTTTTCATATTATTTCCACATCACAAAAGTATTTGGCGTTTTTGGCGGCGATACGCGAGTTCCTTCCTTGAGTGTTTGCTTGAGTGAACTTGTTCGACCAGTTATTCCCATTGTACGGTGTACGGTCAGATAAACCGAATCACTTTAAATTTAATTTATTCGTACGTCTCTCACAATTGAATCTCTGATAAAGCGTCTCGTGAAAAATTCTATATAATATTATACACCAAATGATTGTATCATCATGTGTCTATACAATGACGATCTCGTCAACATTTCTCAACTCATTTCTCGGTTTTTTTTCCGTCGTATTTTTATGTAGCGAAAAATGTGTCTCATCGATCTCTGTATTCTTTTTTATATTTATTTCCTGTAAGCATCGTTATACTTATCATGTACTGTACATCTTTGTATATTATGTCCGGCTTTGTTACATGAGCAGATATAAATATACTCTGTATAATTCTCTGATTTGTGATTGCGCTTATTTACCGACAATTACAATTTTATGATGCTTGAATCTAATTTGTTTTCCACACTAAATTACGTGTAATCTGCACGAATAATGATACGCTGCTGAAAGTTTTCGGACGATGTACTTGCAGCTTGCAGCTTGCAGTCTGACAATTCTATCGCGAGCGATAAGAAAAAATACATTCGATATAAACTCAATGCGTTTATACATAAAACTCATGTGTACGTGTATTCGCTCGGTCTATTTTTGTTTTACCCAATCGTTCAATCGCAACGATGCATGTCGTGCGTTTTTGAAATATTTATCAACAGTTAAACGCATCGCGGAGTCTTTTCATCTTCAGACTTTCAGTCGACTTTATCGAAACGGCCTCTTTCGGAAATCTATTTTTCACCAATATGCGCGCTTCTGCTCAACTGTCAAAATATTAAAGGCAATTTGGCGTGAATTCTGATTTCATAAGAATTGCCGAAATAATTTCTTATATAGGACAGAGAAATGCATATTGTGTAAACGCATTATTTATATAAATCATATAAAGCGCGAACGTAATGCACTTGGTACGTGTAATATAAAATATTACAATAACATTTTCGCGTTTTTGTCAACTGAGAAGGAACTGTAGCCGATTTTTTCTCTCTCTCTCTCTCTCTCTCTCTCTCTCTTTCTCTGAGAGAAAAAGAGAATAAAGGATTGAACAAATTTACAACGTATTAAAATATGTCCCGTATAATTGAAAAATATCAATACTCGGAATCTACAACAACAATAATAATAATAATAACACACACATACACACACACAAACAAACAAACGATATTCAGTAAAATAGGCAAATTAAAATAAACAGTGATGATTATACAGTTGACAATTACAATTGTCTTGTTGTTATTAAGTAATATCACATGGTTTAAATTGAAAGGAGGAGAGAGAGAGAGAGAGAGAGAGAGAGAGAGAGAGAAAGAGAGAGAGAGAGAGAGAGAGGGAGGGTGAGAGAGAGGGGGGAGGAGAGGGAATTGTTAGAAAAGTCGCTAAATCTTACACACGTTACAATATACTCTTTACAACATGGCATTCCTTACAATAATACAAGATATTAACGAACGACTTTACAGGTAAGAACATTTTTACATTTTATTACAGGTTGTTGAGCACGATATTGAAAGCATACATATGCGATACCTTTTTTTTTAAAATGCTCGACATATTTTTCTCGACTATTGTTTATATTTTATATTGTACGTTTTACAAGTAAAATCGCTTATTTAATCGTCGCTGAGCGGGATTGTTGCCGGAATTTTATCATTATTATCCAAAATGATATACATTTTAATCACTTTTACATATTTCCGTAGCTTATTTTAAATGTGTGTATCACGTGTACATACGTATCACTCAATTCAATTCGCCTAATTGCTAAAACTTCTCTCAAAGACATGTCTGATGTTATGGTAATTATATGTACATGTATTTGTCACAGTATTTACGGACTCCATAAAAAATTTAGCACTTTGACATTTTTCAAGCGAAACGCGACATGAGGGAATGAAACGACATTCTCTATCTTATAATGCGATTCGTTGGGTGGAATTGGACAGAGAAAAAGACAGACGAGAGAGAGAGAGAGAGAGAGAGAGAGAGAGAGAGAGAGAGAAAAGAGGTAAACAGAATGAAATATAATCTGAAAAAGAAAACAAGTGTTTGAAACGTTAGCAAATGTATTTCTTTAGCACTCTTAAGGACTAAAGGAATTGTGATATCAGAAATATGGGGATTCGCAAAGTCAAAAAGATTGATTCGCGCGCGAAATGTTTATATTATTTGATATGAATCATTTCGACAGAGATAATTTATAAGGAAAACTCGCTTGGAGCGATCAATGAGGGTGTAGTCGAAGGAACTGTATCGCGGGATGATTTATGAGACAAATCGTGATATATTCTCCGATTTATAAAGTCGCAAGAAATATATCAGCGACGCAATATTTCTAACATGTATTTGCTCTTCGAGTTTGACCGATTCCCGCCGAGTGCACTCAGCAGCACGCGGCAATCGCGAAAAAAACTGTTTTGCAAGTTCGCTCGGCGTGTTTGTATGTCGAAATGTCAAACGTCGATATTAATGGATTCTCGTTTCTCCGACATAAAGTTTGTTGGTCGTAATTTTTCTCAATATTAATTTCTCTACGAATTTCTACAGAGTCGCGTGTCACAAATCGAGTTGTCGCTTGTTTCAGTCTGTTGTAAGACTCTTCTACTTCTTCTACTTTTTCGTCTTCTTCTTCTTCTTCTTCTTCCTCTTCCTCTTCTTCTTCATCTTCTTCCTTTGCTTTTTCTTTTATGAGTAGATTCTCCTCGGTAGAGTACACTTTACACTCGTTACTTTACACTCTTTTCCTTGCTCTGTGTCTGTTTCCTCAGATATCCCGTTTCAAACCTCCAACTTTCTCGCAAGTCGCAAACGTTTGAGCGAGTAGTTGATAGTAGCCGATATTGTGTCCAGACACGTTACGTCGGATTTCATCCCCCTCAAGACTGCCTCAAACTGCGTTCGTCAGTCATGGTGATGCTCGTAGGTCTTCAATCAGACGACAATAGTTGGTTCGATCGTCGACGGGGAAGACGCGGGTCTTCTTCAAGATCTCAGCTTGCACACGGCCGCGTTGTTCTCACACAGGCCGGTTGTCGGCGTCGCGCATGTCATGCCACATCGTCATGGCTAGCTCCTCGCGACGACTCGTGGCGGACTCGTCGAGTACACGATCCTCGACCATCGTCGACCTCCCGGAGAACTTGAGGACCTTTAGCCCCGGCAGCCACTTGAACGGCATCCACCATTTCTTGTCGGAACCGACGTTAGCGCCGGACACGGCCCTGCACCTTGCGCTCGTCGTTCTCGACCGCGGGACAGCGTCCTGATCGTCCGCGTTGCGGACCGATCCGCGGCTCTCTCGCCATTTACGATGCCCGTTACTCGGTGGCCGCGTCGAGCCGGACTCGAGCGGATTCGCGACTCTCGGAGCTTGGTCCTGACTCGCGGCTTCGTGGCCGGAATTTCCTGAACCGTCCGTACTATCCGCCACCATGCCGGATTCTCGGCCGGTCGCCGCTGTCCTCGAATTGTAAGCGCCAATCGTGCGCTGCTGGGACCGGGACAGGCTGGAGTACGATCGTTGCTCGTGACGCGTTGGCAGCCCGGGAAATCTGCAGCTTCCGGACAATGTCTCCTGAAACATGTGTAAGTCGAGTCAGTTGTTCGCACAGAGATGACATTTCGAGGGAGAAACGCACGCACGCCGTATGTTTCACTCACCATGAACGCCATGCGAAATTTGTTCGACATGATGTTATAAAGGATCGGATTGATCGTTGTGGATACGTAATAGAGAACACCCGACACGTAGGTCATCAAGAGATAGAGGAACTCCATCCATGGACCGTTCGACGTCATGTGATCCTCCTTATTGGTTCCGTATATAGCGACCAGTCGTTGCACGTGAAACGGCGCCCAACAGATGAAGAACGCTATGACGACCGCGACTGCAACATTTTGCAAACGCTCTCGTGAATATTCGTTTCTCCGCGTTAAACCGCAGCTCGTTCGCGCAGTAGTTGAGATGGCGCTCGCGCGCCGTGTACATGCGCGCGAGTTTCTTCTTTCTTTTTCTTTTTCCTTTTAGTAAATTATTACTCGCGAGGTGATTCGAACGTGAACATCGTCGCTAACGTGCGCTCACAATTCCCGACGACTCGCTCGTGAATTGACGTCATTGAGCGATGATTACTAGCATAATGAATCAAATGTCACGGTCGGAAGTATATCGCGGAAGTTAACTGCTCTGCTAGACTCGTTATACATACTCTGTAGACACATTTGTGCATGAGAATCTCATCGGGTTTGTGCAAACGATATATAACTATCGTTGTTGCTTAATGCAAATGCATCGCATCCGCGCATGGATTTCCTATAGATCTAGATCCAGATAATTGCTCGGACATACATTACGACGCGACACTTTGAATTCTTGCTTAACTGTGCCATTATTATATATTATCACGTTATCGCAGAGAGGATATCGGTGCATTTTTCCTTCTCTTTCTCATCGTCTTCGATACCTCGTGCATTTTTATTGCATCTATCAGTCCTCACGATTCTCACGGACGCGTACATTACAGCTGAATCGTTTCTCGATCACGGTCTCTGACGAGTGTTAATTTAAATGCGTTGTCGTGATCGGAACTCTACTTCTCGATACGATATCGCTAGAGTTTCCAATCTCGGGTACAATTTAGGATCCCGGGATTTCGGGATTTTTTGGATTCCATCCCGAGATCCCGGGACTAATCCCGGGATTATATACGTATATATATATATAAAGAAAGAAACAAGGAATATTTACAAATAATAGAATTATTTTATTTATAGAACGTTCATAGACTTTTATGAACATTATGACAAACAAAACGTAAAATTTCAATAAAAATGAAAGCAACTTACATGATGAATGATTGCACAAAAACCGTTAAAAAATAAAGTTTCCGTAATAAAAATAAAAATAATTATTTCTTCCTTTTCACATTTGAAAAAGCGACTTTAAAAATAATAAAACATAAATTTTGTTAAAAAATATCTGATCGAGGATCCCGGATTCGAGTCTGTGTTGCGACAGTTTATGCCGCGAAATTTAAAATAGAAAACTCCCTTAATATTTAAAACAAATAAAAATAATACATGGAATTAAATTTAAAATATAAATACACATTTCTCTCTAGCTCTAAGTGCTCTAAAACATCAGTAATAATAAGTAATAATTATTATAAAGTAAAACTTTTGTAAAACGTAAGTATATTATACAGACACTAAGCATTAAATTTTGAAATCCCGAAATCCCGGGATTTGTGATGTTGAATCCCGAGTATTTTCGGGACCAAAAATTTGGCCGGGATCCGGGATTCCGGGATTGGGTACCCTAGATATCGCATTCCTACTTCGTCGTTCGTTGCTTATATATTTTGTGTAATATGCAGTGTTATATATTGTGACTGTTCTATTTCATTTCTTCCGTTATTCATTTTATTTCATTTTATTTTATCAGATAAATCGGTAAAGGTTCCGTCCATCTAGCGGCAAATAGCTGCAGCTAGAACCGTCGTTAACCTCTAATGTCTAAACGAAGCTTAATGGTTTGTCTTGACGTCTGTCAATAACATTCAATACATAAAGGTATACGTTTGCATCAATAACATTGTTTTTCGCTGCATCGAAAATGTCGAAATTTGAGCCAAATAAGCGTCATTCGCGCAAAGTATTAATCTTTTGCTTCATTTGGAAGAAAGCTGCAGCTGAGAAGCTCATCGAATGCTTGTAGAAGTTTATGACGATAATATTCCTTCCTGTAAAACATGCAGTGAATGGTTTCGAAGCTTTCGACGAAAAGTCGTGATTTTGATGTAGAGGACAAAGAATGTTCTGGACGGCCAAGAGTATTCCAAGACGAAGAATTGGTGGCAGGCATTGGTGGACGAAGACCCATGTCAAACGCAAAAGCAACTTGCAGAAGCGTTAAATTGTGCTCAATCTGTCATTTCCGATTGTTTGAAAGCTTTAGGAAAGATTTACAGGGAATTTAGTGGGACATAGTGGGTTCCGTATGAACTGAAGCCTAAGAGACATTGAAAGGCGGCAAACTGCCGCCTGCGAAATTCTGCTTGTTAGGCAAACAAAGAAAGGGGTTTTTACATCGTATCATCACTGGGGATGAAAAATGGATTTATTCTGACAACCCCAAACATCGAGAAACTATTTGCGATCCCGGCCGACCCTCAACGCCAAAGTCGACGCCAAAGCGGAATATCCAGCGGAAAGAAGACGATGCTTTGTATTTGGTGGGATCAGAAGGGTGTGCTGTAGCATGAGCTGTTGAAAAGTGGTCACAAACAGCCACAAGGGATCTTTGCAGAGAACAAGTGATCCGTTTGAGCCGAGCATTGCACGGAAAACTAGACTAGAATACGAAACGAGACAGCATAAAGTGATTTTGCTTTCGATGACAACGCTCGGCCTCTCACGTCGCAAAATCTGTCAGGGAAACGTTAGAAGCACTTAGCTGGGAAGTGTCACCCCATGCGACTTATTCACCAGACTGTGCCCCTTCCGACTACAACGGTGCTTCGGTCGACGGCACACGCACTTGCACGCACTGACGATTCATGCTTCCTCAATTCTTACGAAGACGTCGAAAAATGGCTTTCTGACTGGATAACCTCCTGAATATGAGTCATTCTTTCGCCGCCGTGGAATTCGCTTGCTGACCGAAAGATAGAAAAAAGTCATCGCTAACGATGAACAATGTTTGAACAATGATTGATGTACTTGTTCATTTTGTCTCTTAAATAAAGCCATACGTTTTGCAAAGTAAAAAAAAAGAAGAAAACGGACGGAATCCGTTTCCGATTGACCTAATACATCGCTTACGCAATCTCTTTCGCATATGCGCTCTCATTTGATTTTTAAACCAAAGCCCTCGATGCGCCCTCGATCGCAATGAATATTGCATGCGTATATGCATATATTCATGCTTACAATTATCGCGCCGTCATTCTAAAGTCGCGCGATCTTGTATATTTCTACAGATAATTGTGCCATTCGGTTTCGAAGCGCAGGTTCGAATCTCGATGAATCGCGCGTGAATTGCAGTTTCTCGAAGGATATATGCAAAGGTTGCATCATTGTAGCAGAAAAAGAGTTGTACGCTCCGTTTCGCATAACGCGATCCGAACGTAGTTGCGCCGAGCTTTGTCGGCACGATAGATTTGTGCCGATTCTCAATTTGTCAATTTCATCGGATCGGATATCGTTTGTACATTATGACTCGATGATGACTCGATACTCGAGCATCCCTGTCCGCGCGAATAGTCGCTTCATTGAACGCTTCAGAGACCCAGGAGAGACAATTGCAATACGACATTGCAATTGTTCCGTCGTAACGGAGGTCGATGAAAGGATTCACAATTAGTTGAAATGCGCAATCTTATCGTGTGTTTGTCCGGATAAACAAAATTGTTATTAGTAATCTCGGAGCGGAAGGGAGTTTCCGAGGGGAACAGAATTGCTGAATAACTCTTGAATCTTTTTTTATCCGCGCACACGGATGTGCGCACACGGATGTCCTTTTTTGCGAGCTATACTCGGAACCTTTTCATCAACATGTAAATAATACGTAATTGACCTGCTGCGTACGATGCGGCCGAAGAATATGTTTGTAATTATCTACCACTGGACGTAATTATATTTTATCCACTTATATTGCCTACCCAACATCTGTTATTTCATAATAATAATAAATATCGTTATATTATGTCACTGTGTGTCGCATAATTGCAGTGTAATGCGCATTTGCCACACGATGAGTCGCGTGACTGCTTCCGCACGCGTTTTCTTTCTGTATTTTCGTTACGCATATGTGTATGTATTAGTTTGTCCTTAGGAAAATAACTTTACGCAATTAAATTTCGTGCTGTGAAATCGATCACTCCTTGTTACGCGTAACGACGGATCACATACTGAACAAATTTGTTTTATTGTCATGCAATATGATACATGATACCAGCCAACCAGGAAGTGGAGGATACCCTCCACTGTGACGCGCAATTAATTAAGTCGATATTGGTGCATTTGTTCCGCGGTTTTGCCGCGACGAATGATTACTCTTTCGTTGGTAAAGGAGAAAAAAGCGACCACGACAGCGTCCGCGTCACGTTTACAAGCGATAGATACTGCCTTTTTGATGAATGTGCTCCTAACCTAATATCTCGTCGCGTAAGCAACTCAAATCTCGGCACTTGTGTCGAGCCGGTGATTGGAGTCGAATGATTGGGATTATTGAACTCGGGGCTTATGCCAATCGTCGCCAATGCGATGCGAATACAATTGAGCTAACGTTCGACACGGAAGTGAATTTTTGTATGTCGCGCTTATACCTCTCTCCGTATCTCCGTATCTACCATATATAAAGAAGTTGGCATCTCGCTCGCTACTCACTCTTACGATCTAATTGATATTTCACGCGGTTAACGGTGTCCAGCGCACGAGAGCGCACGTACAAATTTCTCAATAGCAGCAAACGCCACGAGCTTCTGGCTTGTGCTAACAGAGATGCGGACATGATGCAAAGATAATAACCAACTTGTCATTCCATCTAAACTGTTATTTAATAATAATGTACACGCGCCATTTATTATTATTTATTACTTGAAATAATGTAGAATAATTGTGCTATTGGGATCACTATTTGCAAAATGATTCGCGACAAACAAACGCGGGTTTGTATAGTTTGTATTTTAAAATTATTTGGTATAGATGATACATGCTCGTACAGATGATCTGATGTAAAGCTGGCATTCTGGGACTCTTTTCTCTTTCGTTTGCGGCAAAGTGGGCAAACGAAATCTCATCTCTTGTCACACACGAGTCGAAAAAAGTCAGTCATGACTTGCACGACGAATATAATAACAAAGAAGAAAAATTGATAAATAAATCCGCAGGCTGGAAGAGATCCACCACCCGCCCGTGAAAAGACGACTCTCCTCGGAGGACGGAGGATGATGATTTGCAATCAAGCGCAATCAAATTATTCTTTTCCTTTCTTCGCTTCTTCCTTCGCACTTTCGCGTTTCGATTAACCCGATTACACGAGTCTCACCAAGATATCAATAAAAGATCGCGCAATTCTAGCGCAAAATGGCCGGAAACTCTCATTCGCGTTATTGAGCCACATCGCTACGTCTACGAGGCGATGTGGTTCGGCACGTGAATTACACGAAAAAATGTACACATAATTGTGAATGTAATTTTGCCGAGATTGTTGCCGAGAGATTTAGGATATTTTGTACTCTTTCGGTATCAGAGGTGCGCAATCATACATGCAGAAGCCGCACAAGTCAACACATAAATGTCAGACACAATACATCGGTTAACCATAAGTTAACCGAGAGAGCCCATCGAAAATTCGATGTGATACCGGATTACGTCAATTGAATGCAACATTTGCATTACAACAAGATTTACATTACAATCAAATTTACATCACATTATGATAATATACATTATCCGAGGCACTAACACAATGTTATTTTTCTCTACACCCAAAATAAGCTACTTCTTTTCAACACTGAGAGAGAGAGAGAGAGAGAGAGAGAGAGAGTGAGAGAGTGAGAGAGGGGAGGGGCGGGAGACAGTGTTAAAACTGTTATATCATCTAAATATTATTTACACCGAGATGTTTCCTTCCAATGTCAAGTCGGAAGATTTAAGATTTGACTCGATAACGGACATAACGGAAGAAAAGTCCATCTCGGTGTGAAATCAGTGGGTGTATCGTATTCCTTCTTTCTTTTCATCTCTTTATCTAGTCTTCGGTAACCTCTCTCTCTCTCTCTCTCTCTCTCTCTCTCTCTCTCTCTCTCTCTCTCTCTCTCTCTTTCTCTCTTTATCGACGTTTTTCTTGTTGATGCGATTCCTCTTTTTTATCTATGTTATCGGTCGAGCAATGAAAACGACCACATTCGTTCTTCTTTCGCCAACACGTATTTCTCCGTTCACGATTAGCAGGACGCGTAAACAAGAACGATGTTGAATATTCAAACTCACGTGAATTATTCGACGCTGTTGGGAAAATTTCCGATACTTTGCGGACCGTCGATTGTCGACCACATTGTCACAATCGCGATCAATTTTACATGGCCAGTTTCACATTGATCAATTTTACATGGAATTTGTTTATTTGTTTCATCGCGTCGTGTCGTTTATATAGACATGATGAATATACACAGGGTGTCCGCGATCTTTTGGAAACGCGAAAAATCGTGAAGATTTATCAGATCGAACTGAGAAGAAAAGCCAAATACCATTTTGCAAATAATAAACGTAAATTTTCAAGTTCAATCAATTAAAAGAGCTTTAAGAGCTATGTGCTCGTTTCCAATTATTAATAACCTAATAAATATTGCGATTTTTGCAAAATGGTACTTGATTTTTTTTCTCAGTTTGATCTGATTAATCTTTACAATTTTTCGTTTCCAAAAGATCTCGAACACCCAAGTGATAATGGATATATATATATATATATCCATTATCACTTACGAATTACAGATCATGCTGTGTGCAAAAATATGTGGTTATCGTGTACGGCGTAATCCTCTCTGTTTGAGTAAACTGAATATATCGCTAACGAACTCGCTCAAGCCAACAAGTCGATTAAAAGTTTAATTAAAAGACCGTGCGTGCGCGCGCGCGTATGTGTGTGTATCTTACGGATTGGAACAGCTTCTCGTCGCGGTTATAAGGCGATACCTTCGATCGAACGAAAGTGATACGCGTTGTCGAGCTTTTGTCGAGGATTTTATCGACAAACTGTAATCACACACGAGTTTCGCCGGCAACCCTTCTTCTCCGCCATTGCGGATCGATACCTTGTCATCTCAATCACATGTTTATATTTACGATGATGTCAGACTACTTTGCTTCCCGAAGACATACAATTTGCGCGTCCTCGAACGGTACGATGAAATTAATTCGCGATTATTTTCATGTTCATATTCGTTCACATTCGGTACTTTACTCATACTTGGTACGACTTTGATAAGAGAAGCTAGAATTAGATTTCATTTACGCGCTCCTAATTTAATTTGCGTTTAACACAATCGTCAATTTGTATCGCCAGCGTCGGCAAGTACATGATCCTTCTCGTGTGCGACGACGAAATGGGACTAGTCTAGTTGTATCGATCAAATGTAATTGCATGTCGCTCGCATTAAATGGATGATGCCTCATCATACGCGATCGGATGACAAGCGCTATTGTCATTTGACGACATGCCTTATTAGATTCGCGCGCAATGATAAGCAATTACCCGGAGGTTCAAGAATGCGCTACAATGGATACAATTGTGTCTGTTATTTTCTTTCGCTTTTCTTTTTCCTTTCCTTTTAATCGCAGGCGGCATCTTATCCAAATATGATGATAATCAATCGTGCGAAAGTTTCACCAAGGTGAAGGATGTCTAGACAGGCTTACACAACACGGGAGTCGTCGGGAAGATCGTCGTTTACGATGTCTTTGGGAAAGATAAACTAAAGAGAGAGAGCCGTCCGAGAGTACTCGTAAGTATCACATATCTCCTCAATTGTTTGTATTTCTTCTCAATTTACCGTTCCGCGAAGTGAAAAGTAAAAATCAACGACCGTTTTAATGTACTGCCGGAGAATTTTGTAGTTTTGCGGCCACATTGGCTGCAAAAGTATAACGATGAATAACAAAGTAAGAAGCGATAGGCAAAACACAACCTCCTTAGAAGGGGGTGTCGAAAGCGAGAGCTCGAGAGAAGAGTCGATCGTTGGTTATCGCGCGAGTTTCAGTGGCTTCGATCGTAGCTCGATGATATATATAGCTTTGTAGATTGAGCTATCGTCGCGTCGTGTACAGTTGAATCTCAGATGCTCCGTAAGTAAGAGTCCTGCGCTGAGTGAGCTCTCTAAGAAGCGGCCGCCGATGCCGCCGTGATGCCGATGCGGACGAAACGTTGATCTTACTTGGCGAGTGGCTCGTAAAGAAGGAACTGTCTCTGTGTGTTTGTGCTACGCAAATAAAATCAATGCAGTCCAAAAGTCCGCGAGAAACATCTGCTCTCTCTCTCTCTCTCTCTCTCTCTCTCTCTCTCTCTCTCTCTCTCTCTCTCTCTCTCTCTCTCTCTCCCTCTCTCTCTCTCTCCCCGCATTGGACACAAGAACATCGTAAGCGGATCGATCTGAATGAATAGAATAATAATTAGAAAAATCACGAGTGCGAGAGTCGGTAATCCGCGCTACCGACGCGGATTTGCGACGCGTGTTGCACGAGCGTCTTTGGAAAGTAACAGTGAAGTACTGGTATCGATCAGGACAGGATAGGACAGGTCGAAAGCGCCTACCGTGGCGAATGCTGAAAAATCAATACTTCATCACTTTCGCAATCAATAGTACTAGAGAGAAAACACTTGAGCACTCTGAGCAAAGTCGAGCAAAGGAGAGAAACGGCTCACCCAGCATCTTCAGCACCCTCCTGGTCGATCTACCGGGATGGTGTCTGCAGTTCCTCGTCGACTCGACCCTGCCGGGCACACTGTTGTTCATCATGTTCGACCTTCTGAGCTTGAGGCCGATGAGCGCGTAGAGAACCGTGATCATGCACATCGGCATGACGAAAAACAGAAACGTGGAGAGCTCGAAGGAATGTTCGATGATGTTCCGCTTGACCGTGCACATGATCAAGTCGGGATTGCGGCTGTGTCGCACCACGCCGAACTGCAGAGCCTGCGGCAACGCGAACGACAAGGCTACCAGCCATATCACTAGGATCAGCCTGATCGCGCGCGACAGTTTTGACAGAGTCTGCGAGAGGAACGGGTGGCAGATCGCGACGTATCGCTCTACGGTGAAGGCGGCGATGGTGAGGACCGACGCGTTCGCCGACGTCTCCGAGGCGAGGCCGCGCAGCACGCAAAAGCCCTCGCCGAAGATGTAGGGGTACTTGCACCAGACCAGGTACATCTCCGCCGGCAAGCCTGACACCAGCAGCAACAGGTCCGACACAGCCAGACTGAAGAGGTAGTAGTTGGTGGCGGTGTGCATAGACTTGTTGCGCGCGATCACGATGCACGTGCTGACGTTGCCGACGATACCGGTGAGGAAGATGGACGCGTAAATAACGGTCACCGGTATCACTATGAACAACGAGTCGCGATACGAACTGGAAGGCAGATGCTCCACCACGGCGGATTCCACGGCGGTGTACGTGTCGTTGAAATCAGGGGAGGTCGTCGCGCGATCCATTCTGCTTCCGACGCTCGCTCTGCTCCTAAAGAGGAATCCTCTGCTTGTCGCCGGCCATCCTGGACCGCACTGTCGCGCGCGACATTTTTCCCTCCTTAGATTAGTCTTTTCCACGAGTCACTCTCAGAAAGAACTCTAACTCGTTCTCGGTTCTTGGTTCACATATGACCGCTCAAACAAGCCACTCGACCTTGTTGTTGAATCAAAGCCGCGGGATAACCTTCATCCCTACCGATCCTCCCCATCGATCCGAGTTTGTTCCTGTTCCTTCCGAATTTATACATCCGCGGAGAGTATCTCTCTCTCTCTCTCTCTCTCTCTCTCTCTCTCTCTCTCTCTCTCTCGCGCGCGCACTCGTTCGCTCCGGGCTCCTCCGCCGAGTATGACACTGACAGTCCAGAGCACGTGGTGGTCTCACAAGTTGGTGTTGCGCGCGTGGCGATAACCTACGCTACAGCTTCCTTCCTCTCTTCCTTCCTTTACGGAGAGAGAGAGCCGAGATACTCTTTTCCTCTCTCTCTCTCTCTCTCTCTCTCTCTCTCTCTCTCTCTCTCTCTCTCTCTCTCTCTCTCTCTCCCCCCCTCTCTCTCTCTCTATATATATATATATCTCTCTCTATCTCTCTCACGATGACGGACCGTCACCGGCGCTGGCCGAATCACGACTGAACCGCGACGCATCGAACAACGCCATCAGGCAGGTTCAGCGCTGCCGTCCTCACGCCGAGCTTGCTCCCGACGACATCAAGTTCTCTGTAGAATTCCAGAGTTTCTCGTTTTGCATCGCTCTTTTTTCTCTGATACGAGTAACGAGTACGAGCGACTGAATGCGAGCTCCAAGACGCCTTTTACCTCACCTTTCGTGTCACGAGATTCATCTGTTTTTTATGGCGGGATTTATTCACGGCTGAAAAATTCCACGGATATACATCTGTCGTTAAATTGGATTATATTTATACATTTATTCAGCTACTCTGGGGGAAAGATACTTGCGGATCTTCTCCTTTACTACAAGTATGTCTATCCTAACTTTTTATTACGATAAATTCTTATACTGTCCACAGCTTGCTTCTAAATTAACCGTCGCCGCTAAATTACATTCGTGTGTGCGTGCCATTTTAGACCTTGCTTTAAAAGGACGAGAAGGGATATTCCATTTTTGAGATTTATTAACGCGTATCGCTGATCGTCAGTCGATGATGACCAATGGTCGTTTCCGCAGGTGACTTTGTTTTTATACTCGCGTACTCAACTAGTAATTAGCTACGACAGTTTGTCAACATGAACATATCGATGATTGATTATTTTTGTGCTAAATTACAGATATGAAAATGAGAGAGAGAGAGAGAGAGAGAGAGAGAGAGAGAGAGAGAGAGAGAGAGAGAGAGAGAGAGAAGAGGGGGCGGATAGAGGGGAGAGGGAGGTAGAGGGGGGAGACAGAGAGATTCTCTGGAATAGAATGTAATAGGAAAAAAAGTAGATCAGAATACGAATGATACACGTCTCAGCTGACTCTTTCAGAATCTTCTTTTGTTACTGTAAGTCAGATACAATTGGCGCATGTCGATTTATTTCCGCCAATTTATTTATAGCGTTTTCTTCATTTTAATTGGAGCTTCTGTCTTTGTTTTCTCCGCAACTCATTACAATTTTATTGATCTTCTTAGCAACGAATTTTCCTTATTTGCTCGCTTTTCAAGATGGAGTATTTCATTAATAGGATTAAAAAATGAGTGTATGTACGAGAATAAGAATTTAAATTATACATTGGAAATTTTGTGTATATGTGTGTATGCGCGCACGATTTGTGATCAGTGAGAATTGTTGCTTACTTGGACGGCCACTGTGGTGGAATTGTGTATTTCTGACGATTATGTGACAGATCAAGAGAAAATGAAATACTGTGATATCATGTATATAATATTAACATTATGCGCGATATAAAGAATGTTAAAATAATGAGTGAATAACGCGGCGGTGCTTTTTCGAGCACGTTTCGTTGGCTGAAAGTCGTCGACGTCGTCTTGGACATAATACTGTATGTACACGGATGAACGCGAATGAAAGACGTAATTCTTGACTTTTTAATTTTTTTAATCGATCGAAATTTGCGCGGGATACATTATATTACTTTCATTGCTTTAGAAAGAAAGAAAAAATATACCATCTTTGACTCAAGCTTAAATGTGAACACGCCTATCGCCTATAACTAACTGGAAAATTCACCTTTTTGTTTTAGATTTGGCGGGACTTGTGGGGTGCGGTGGATGCAGACCGGAGAATCCGGTTTGGATTGAGCAGGATCGACTCGTATGTTTATAGGCTAGCCGTATTCTTGCATTTAACCCTCTGCGATCGAAAACTAGGACATGTTTGTCCAAGTGAAAGTCCAAATCAAGAGTTGCAACGATCGCAATATTTTTCTGCCGTATTTTTTCTCGTTTAATTATTACTTATTTTTATCTCTAATTGGTGCGATGCTACACTTTTTTATTTGCTTCAGAAATGCAGTGGAACGTGAATGCTATGTAATCTCCGATTCGCATCCCGAACTCTCACTATTCAGTGAGCCGTAGACAAAATGTTTGATATTTATAAGAAATCAACGCGAGGTGGGATTTGTTTTATTTATAGAGAGTAAATTGTTGCATGTGCATTAAGAGAAAAAATTGATTGATCTTACTGCAAATTATAATCATTTTTAGCATTAACCATATTTTCTTCTTATCTTCCTTGTTATTTAAAGAAAGAAGAAAAGAAAGAGAAAAAGGACGTGTATAAACACATAATATATATATATATATATATATACGAGAACACGCATGTCGAGAACACTATGAACATATAGTAGATTTTCTGACTATAACCATATTTCACTATGCCATTATTGCCGCAAATGCAAAATGCTTTCTCTCTCAGTATAAATTTAATAGTCGTTACTATTGGCAGTTTCGTAAATTTTGTTCGTCAAGTTTGAATCTCAAGTTTTCTGACTGAAAATATAATCAGCTGCAAAGTGCTGTGCACTATAATCTCCGGTTCGTAATTTCTTTTGCATACGATTTACGCGACTTGTGCGAGTGCGGTACAGTGGAGCTGAAAATGAAACAAAATACAATCGAGTATGAGTACGTGAGAAAACGACTCAATTAGGACGTTGATGATCGATGAGCGGGGAAAGGCGCGAGTATCGATGAGCGCAAAAGGATGTGCTATAATTTGAATGCTGGCAGACTGTAATATTACGTATGTGGATGTATCGTGTGGAAATGCGTAAATCGCATTGTTTGCCAATGGAAAGTAAAGTGCACCGCGCTGCGTGCAAGAAATGACAGCGTGCGAGATTACTCGGAAGAGATGCTAGAGTCTAATGAGCACGTGCGCTGACGCATTGTAGCACTGTGTCTAGCATTACAGATATATTTTAGCGAGGATAAATTGTATCTAATAGCAAAACAGAAGTTTTGCAGTCGCATATGTGTGTATTTCCGTCGCGTTGACTGACCATCTCGTCAAACTTACTTTGCGAGTTACGTTCGGAAAGCTCGAAACGTTTTGACATGGTCGAAAATAAAATCGCTCGTTAAAAAAGTAATGGAGCGCGTACTTACCGCCGAATCGAATGTGCGATACATTTATCTTCGTAGATTAATTTGCGTAGATAATATTGAATTATCGCACGTCGCTCTGTCGCGCGACAAAATTTACACAGGGTTATCGCTTCTTTTTCTTTTGCACGAAGAGGACTTATCCTGATAAAAGCATCGCGAAGCGACCTGCGCTCTTCAAGATTGCGATAATGTTATCGTGGCGAGCCAGGGAGCCGGAATTCGTCTTTGAGGTAGCGAATCACCGCAACCTCAAAGTCGACATCACCGCCGTCATTGCCGGTGGTTTGCGAACCCCTTTACGACATCTGTTCCGTACTGTGCGTCCTCCCTTTATCTTACCGCGAATGCGACCAATTACCTTCCGTAAGTTTCTTTCATTGGCAGGTTCCTGTCATCAAGTAGTACGTCGTTCGCGCGAATGTCCGCGAAACTGTGATTCTCATTTGCGCCATCGGACATGTCGTCGTTGAGCGCATATCATCTGCATGTATGTGCGTCTGGCTCACAAATTCGCTCTATTTATGCGAGAAGGAGCGTTACGTAGCATCGAACGAACAAACGACGAAGGAGGAGAATATGTAAACTGAGCTGAGTAGGTGAATGAAGGTGAATGCGGAGAAGGGAGGTGGAGGGAGGAGAGGTCTCAAATCGAATTTCTAAAGATCGCATCCAAGCGCTAAAGCCGCGCTTAATGGGGGATGGGGGATTCGATACATTACATTTCTTATTATTCGTAAATTTAGGAAACGAGGGAATCCCTGTGATTATGCTATACGTCGCGACTGGGGGGGGGGGAGGTATCAAGCGTATCATTTCCGCGCGCTTGCAAATTTTTAGCATCTCTTTTGACGTTTATCCAAGCGATAGATAAATTTATTTCATCAGAGGATAATCTGTTCAAAAATATCAATCTTGTAAGTCTCTCTTTTCACACTAGGTTTTATGGAGGATTAATTATAATCTTGTGTAAAGCTTGTGTGTGATATTGGCGGCCATAGTTGACTCATAGATCGTATAGAGATCCGAAAGAGATAACTCTGGCGTGTATAATGTGTTCAGCGCAAGAGTCGAGACAATTTTTCGAATCATCAGCCAAGTGAGTGTAAGTGGAGTTTCTCTCACGTTACTTCATCGCTTATCGCTACATATATAATATTACTGTTCATATAATATTGGTGTAAGTCTTGAAATCGCGCGCGTACCATTTGGAAAGGATTTGGGAAGAAGTTTAAATGTTCAAGTATCAATACGTGAGAGACATTTTGCCCTTTGTGTCTCTTGATCTTTCTATTTGAATATATTTTGGCATTGTTCTCAACAACAGTATGATGATCGCGCGTGATGACTGCGTGTGCTGCCGAGACGAACAACGTTTGTTTTATCCTCGTGAAAGTCAAATTTTCACCGCGACCGCGCTACAGCGCTGCGGCGCGTGGCATTTATAGTTATACTTTGCAGTACTTTCGCGCCTTGGAGCGGCTTTACACCTCTCGGCGGCGTGTAACGCATTGTCGCAAAGTCTCGAGCCCATCATCATCATCGAATAATTTGCCGCTTATCGATGTATCTCCGTGTAGAAAAATCGTAACGACATGCAGTAAACTGCATTCGAAAGCGGAAATTGTTTCGTTCTCGAGTATTTCGCTATACTAGTATCAGCTATATATATATATAGTAGTAAATCAATTTGATGTCACATCGAAATCGAAATATCCGTCTTCTTTCGTTCTTCTTTTCGGTCTTCGGTCGAGCGAAATCTACGATTAACAACACCATTCGTTTCAACTTTCATTCGCATAAGAAATAAGGAATATATATATACCATATATATATATACCAGAAATAAGAGAGAAAAGAACAAGAGGACTACGGATTATGTAGTAGAGAATAAAATTATTTGTTTCTCGTAACACGAGGATAAGCTGATGTTTATATAATGTTTCAGTTTACATTCTCATTATGTGACTGTACAGTTACTGTACAGATGTGTAAAAAGTTGTTACAGCTCAATTTATCGTTACGCATGATATGATATTCCGTGCAATAGAGTCGCGATGATGTTTAACTAATAATAATGGAATAAAATGGAAATTAGTGTTGAAAAGATACTTATATTTGAACGTGGCGCAAGAATTCTGGTCGCGTAATGCACGACCGTTTCTCGCGATAGAGAATTATCTCGGCGATATCGCGTTCTACGCCTCCGGGCACTTGCACGGCACATATAGTACATAATCTGAAAAATATCTGAAAAATATTATTATTTCACTGCACTGGGGATTACATGCAATAAAAACGTGTTTTATTTTCCCTTTCTCCGCCTCTTTCTTTGCTTTCTTTCTTTCTTTGTACCGATAGGTACCGTAGACGGAGCAGCAATCAGTAATAAATGACATTACCTTTGTTGAAATTAGCGATTGATGTAATTTGAAAGTTACGCAGCCGCATCGACAAATACGAGTCCTAATTAAGAGGAACAACATGTTATATATCGATATTCTCTTCAGCGGATTATAAGTTCCTCAATCTAGTAATCACGTCGATCGTAATTGGAGACGCCGCTAAACCGCCGATTTCGCTACCTGCAGTATCCAATTAACCTATTCGATTGGACGGAGCCGCAGAAGTCCCGTTACGTCGTCGTAATTTCCAACAGATTGTCGCGAATGTATATTCTGTTTTGCATTTTACGCTTAAATAAGTCGTTATAACCAAAGATTACGTTACGTTCGATGATTTACTTTTACCCTTAAAATTATAAGTGTTTCAGCTAATAAAGAGAAAATTTGCATTGTCATTCATGAAAAATGGTAGATAGAAGCGCCGCGGAGAACGGACGGAATCGCTATATTTGATCGACGATTGATTATTATGATGGCTTTTAGAAATATACGTTGTACAAAATGTACATTGTAGAAAACTCTCGACAGTGTTATTCCGTCGCTAGCTACGGCAAAATATGTTTACTCAAAAAAGGAAAGAAAGAGCACGCACGCATTTATTGTATATGCGATACAAGAGATGTATTACGTAATAATATGCAATACAGACAGACAGTAGATTGTTCCGTATTTGCGTGTCCCATGTTTCGTTTCGCCGTTTGACGAAACGCTCACGGAATATTTACATTTATTTACTTGGATATACGGATTATACAGCAGTACCGTCCAAATTAAGCGTAATGACTTTCTTATCGACTAATAAAGCACGAGGGCGGCAGCCGGCTGATTATTCACGCCTACGGATATTGTCTACAGGAACTTCTACCTGTAATAGTCATAATGTTAATTGTGCTAAGTGTTTGATCTTGCATAATTACTGCCTGAACAAAAAGGTATGTATAATCAATCAGTATATATGGTGACGCGACGATTAGAGGAGATTGGAGGACTGGAAATACCAAGTCAGTAGATCGGGTTCAGAGGAATTGCCGTCTGGTAGGTTGTTTTCGATAAAAAAAAAAAAAATGTGAGACAAACAGTCACAAACAGAAATATCGATCTCGACTGTTGACAAGAGAAATGGAGAACAAATTATATATGTAGTATTGGCGATAATTAATAATTCAAAACTAACGTGTTAGACAATATACGTGCGGTGCTGTTACATTCGTAGCAGTATCACCATCAAACGGCGACAACAATTCGGCAACGATTTATTTCAATGTTTCGACGGTGCGAATAATAAATCTATATGTATATTTACTCGTGTATGCGTATGTAATGTCTCACCTGGAAGGTATTGCTGACACCGTAGTAAGGATACACGCCACCAAGAATATAGCGATAATAACCATTATGCCTGATGTGATATTCGCCCGGTGGAGTGTCCCGTGGGATTTCCCACGTAACGGTCACCTCACTAGATCCCAATATTACGGAATTCCTCGTCCATTGAAATCTAAACACACACACACACACACACATGTAATATCAACACATCAATGTGATTCGTCGCGTTGAAGAATCAAAATGATGCACTACGTAGAATTTTTGCGCATAACTTTTTACCGATATTTTTGTGAGATAACAATGCACGCCAACCAACACGATACATACTTGGTTTCCCAGTCGGCATCTGTGGCAATCGGTATCCAAACTTCGTCGTCTCCTAATCGCTCCACCGTCAGGAACGTATTATCTGCCATTAAGTTATTCCGGGGATGGCCGGCGACCTGCGACGTAATTAATGTGACGACACGTGTAATTAGCGCGGCGCAATCGCGCCAATCGATTCTTTTCGGCGATATCGTCGATATGTCATCTCTCTTTCTCTCTCGGCACCGCGTCTGTGTGCGATTTCGCTCACGGATCCCGCCGGATCGCCTTGGCAAACGAACATGTTTATCGATCGTTGAATCTTTTGACGCTTGTATCGTTTTATATCGTCAGATATATCACGCTTTCGCGCACTTTCGCGCTCGGAATAGAACGATAGAGAAGTGGAGAGCGCACGCAACGTGCGCACTGAAAGCAGCCAGCCACCCTCCGCGAGAAACAAGCTTTTCTTTCGACGAGCGATCGATCGCTCGTGAGTTGGGAAAAGTTGCAAACTTGCGAGCCGCAAACTGCGAGTATGACTTCACGATGCATCTCGCGCATCTGTCGCCTGAAATTATAGCCGAAGGCAACTTGCGAGATCAAGTTCGAATCCGCGTTCGCATCGCGTCTCGTCGAAGGCAACCTATTTTCCGTTACGGGAGTTCCATTACGCGAGCGCGCGCGGGAAAACGCGCGTCGTTTGTGACTCGCGATCGCGATGGCGAACGACACAGCTCCGTCACGATTAGCACATCGAACGGTCATTTCCGCCGCGCCGCGGCGTAGGATTGTTCTCTCTCTCTCTCTCTCTCTCTCTCATTCATTCGTCGAATCAATGGAAATGCGGGGGCGTCACTTGGAAAATATACCTTGTTTCCTGCTAAACGTTTCCCGGTTTATCGTTGCGAATATACATTCTCGTTCGACCAATCACAACTATACAACGCGTACACGAGGCATCATCGTGTGTATACGAATATTAATGTACGTTGTAATTACAATATTTCTAAACGAATACCATGCCAGCTTGTGCGATGCTTGTTCGCTCGTTTCACTCGCAATTAAACACGTAATTTACATCCATATTGAGAGTTATCCAAATTAATTAATCGCAGAGGATCGAAGAGCAACCACGAATACGCGTCCTTCGACACGATACATGTTCGTCGACACAGTGATGGTATAATCCGTAAACTCGAGATTTTATGGAGTTTTATGGAGGAATTTTATCGAGGAAGGAAGGAAGGAAGGAAGGAAGGAAGGAAGGAAGGCAGGCAGGCAGGCAAGATAACGGAGCAAACAACGAAAGTGTAAGGTTTCCCTTTGTTCCAATTTTTCGCAGGTCATGTCACGCATCCTGTTTACAATCATAATAGCAAGCACACGTTAATAACAAGCCATCACGTACATGGCGAGAGCCATTTCGTTCTTTTCTTCTCTCGAGACGTTACGTACATTGCTGGATCGTTCGCAGAGAACGTTCCGGATTCCACGGAGCGATGACGTGACAGCCGCGGATCGATAATTAACTGTTAATTAGAATTGTTAGAATTCGTCAATAAGCGCGCATGTTTGTCAAACACTCTGCCCGAGGATATAAATTACACAATTTTATTCACAACATTTCACGCGTGCGCATTCAAACGAGAATGAAATTACTGCAACGGCAATTCATTTCAATTAGTCAGAGTTAACTCCTGCGATTTCGCTGAAAATATGATAATATGAGCGATCGCACAATGCTTCGCGTCGTCGCGTTGGCAACAGTTAGATCCGAAAGGACTCGCGATACGTTGCGTCGTATTAACGATTAATTGTCACGATGTTTACACGATGCGCAGCCACGTTGCACACGTTGCCGAGTCGCATAGTAATCACTCTATTTGGCAGTGTGCCGTCGTTCAATGGCTCGCGAAGCGACCCACTCGCCGTTATTCTCAAAATGGTAATCGCAGCTCGTGGTTTGCGCAATAGAATCGACCCAACTGTAGGTTCAATTACGTCGGCGTTCTGTGTAATATCCTTACGCAACGAGAGATTCGGCGAACAAGATCCACTCAGCTGGCTCGCGCGCGCCCTCCACAATCGCCACGATTATTCGTGGAAGAAAAAGTGGCCGAAGTGAGCGAAGGAAAGAGCTGTCGGCTCTCGAAGAGCAAGGAAGCAGTGCGTATGTATAAGGACATACTTACAAAGGTCGCGGTAACCGTGTCACCGGGCCACACAGCTTGTCGCGGCTGCTGGGTGACGTCCCCAAAGTTGCGCCCCCACTGCGGGGTGTCGTACAGCACAGGCGGCACAAGGCTGATCAGCTTGCTCTGCAAGAGCTCCGGTGGCTTTGGTCCTGATGGAAGCTCCGTTCCCTGCGATGCGACCAAGCCAAGACAACATCGCACGTGGCGCGTGGCGCGTGTGATACGAATAATTTTGGACTTGATTATTTCGTCGAAAGGAACATCGCTCGCGGTTCCGGATCAGCGAGGACATGTTTTCTCGTTAGATCAGCGAGTGCCACTCTTTTACTCACGTTAATGGCTGCTTGCAGCAACTCTTGGTATTGCTTCAGGTAGATTGTGAGCGTGTGCGGGCCATATATCGTCGATGCGCCCTCGTACCTCTGTATCTGAAATTTGATCGTTCAGCAATCAGCATAGCATTACAGCATTACAGCATTACAGCATTAAAGCATTACAGCAGCAGCGTACCGAAGCAAATCGTTCCAAATTCGGCGATCAAGAGAGCTCGAGAGAGCTCTCTTGACCGGGATATAGATAGAAAATACATAGAACTTAAGGACGGCGCGCCGCGCCCTCTGTACTCTGTAGTACACGAGTAGCGGCCGCTCGTTCCACGCTCGAGAGCTCGCCGACGAATGTGCTCGTGTTTGGCAACAACAATCAACAACGCACAGTTTTGTACCTGATACTCCTCGGGCGTGGTTATGTAACTGCTGTAAGTATTGCAAAGTCCCGCGACTATTACGGAGATTTCGTCGTCGTCGTCGTCGTCGTTGGACGACGCATCGTTCATGACTCTCTTGATGGCCTCTCGCAATCTTCTTCCGGACATTGTCGTGAATTCACCGGGCACACCGGCAACCACGACGTTCCCGATTACGGCGACTTGGGTCGAAACGATCTTTGGCTGCCACTGATAAGGGAGCTTCATCTGAGAAAAGAGAAATAAAATAGCAGCGAAATTCGCTCGGGCACCGGCTTGAATTTTCTATGTGTCGCTCGCTCGCACACATTACCGGCATTTTCATTTATCCGTACTAATCGCGCGCGCGCGCGCGATTGCTTACTTATCAAGACGCGCGATGATTTACGCGTCGAATTTTATTCAAGTCGGAGTTCTTTCTTGTCGGTCTCGCGGTAGATCCGTGAGAAGGATCTAACACCTATGCAGCAACTTCTACGCCGCAGCAGCAGCGCGAAATCTCGTATCGCGAAATCGCACGTACACATCTAATTGCTACGTACTGACGACAGCGGCGCGCGCCCACTGGAAATGACTGGAATATACATCTCCTTGGCGCTCGCGCCGCGCTGATTTTCAACGACGCGAAAAGAAACAACTCACCCGACCGGTGGCCAACAGGATAGGCTTCGCGCCGTGACAATCGATATCTTCCTTCGTCGGCTTGGCCACCAAGTTGCGCACTGTATTCCAAAGAGGATTCGACGTTGTCGTGCCTTGCTCGAAAGCGAAGGAACCGGGCCCGTCGGTGGTGCCGGCTGCGAAGCTATAACCCATCGCTGGCACGCAGCCGTGAACCTGTCGCCGGGAAAAAGTCGCCGCGATAAAACGACGCAATTCTGGACGCTCTTCTCTCTTTCAAACACTATCGTCGCTTACCTCTTTCGTCTGGCCCGCGCTCGCGTTGTGGAACTCTGCAGTCTGCTCCGGCATATTGACGTATCGGTGAACCACCCGTACCGGTCCCACGATCTCTTTAGGAGTTACGTTTTGCCACAATCTCTACGGATCGACGTGAAAATTCCGCGTAAATTAGCGTCGTGTTTAGCGTGTCGAAATAACAAACGTTTTTACCACCGTTGTACCACCAATTTCACGATACATAAATACATAATTGTTTACGTGGAAGGGACGAACGTGTGATGGAACAATGCGCGTACTTTGCTTTCTTTTCATCGTTCGAGTATACACCTCTCTCTCTCTCTCTCTCTCTCTCTCTCTCTCTTTGCTCTCTCTCTCTCTCTCTCTCTTTGCTCTCTCTCTTTCTCTCTCTCTCTCTCTTTCTCTCTCTCTCTCTCTCTTTGCTCTCTCTCTCTCTCTCTCTCTCTCTCTCTCTCTCTCTCGCTCTCTCTCGATAACGCGGAACAAATAATTGGAAAAAGGCAGCAGAGAGACACAGATAGACACTGGGGCACCACTCATTGCGAATATAGGTGTCTGTTTACATGGGAAAAAGAAAAAAAAAACTACATCAGCTGTATCAACCTGTTTCAAATTTATTGTCAATCGCGTGTCGCGCTGGGAAGGCAGATGAAAAATCGAAAAATCGATCGTACGAAAGAAATTCACTAAAAGCCGGCAAAGAGATCCGCGCGATCGAAAGTGAAAACGCCGTCAATCTGTACGACCGCATCTGCATGATGTAACGAGAACGAGGAACACAGACGGGAAAATATAATTGGAACGCGATGCGAATGACGTGCGCGCGCGGCGGAAGTGATGTTTCGAGAAAGGGAGAAAACCACGAATATGGAGCTCGCGCGTTTTCGCACGCACGTGCGTGAAACGCGTCCGTCCGTCGCGTAGTTCGGCAGTCGCCTTAGCCGCGAGCTGTAGTGGAAACTGTTCCTCTCCTTTATGATGCTAATCCCTCTTCGCGAAACCGACGATAGCTTCGATGGCCGAGAGCGCGCGCGCGCCGTCACGGTTAAGGAGTATGCGAATATATGTTAATTATCGGCAGCTTCTCGGTGCATCGGTGCTTCTGTATTACGAGCCGAACGGCTTGCTAAGAAACGCGCCGCTCTGCTCCAGTCCACGTTGCCGGACTTGGCCGTGCTGTGAATGCGATTTACCCTTTGGCGCTCTAATTGATGGCTTTTGTAGGTCGCGGCGTTGATTCCTGTGATGCCTGTTGCCAGAATAATATTTAGCTCGTGCAGTCGTTACAACGAGGTGTTGCACAATATCGGGTGCGCGGTCGGCTCAGCATCCTTCAACTTTTCCAAAGGACCAGCAAGAAAATGGATTATCTGCTTATTTCCGCGTTTGTTTGACTCTATACTAGCAATATCAAATCAAATCCCCTCTACGGTGATAGCAATATGGTGTCAATATAGTAAAAAATCATCGAATATTAAACTGAATAATTTCATCAAACGCACGAGAATTGAAAACAAACTTGCATATTCTGTGATGTATAACAAGAAGAGATTATCATCATTGATTTGCGTCGCTGCAATTATCCGCCCTCTAGATTTGGTCAGCCTTTAAACACGCTTTCTGATCATGACCGTTTCAAGCACCTCTCTTTTCTCCCTTGCATGTATGCGCTCGGGCGAGCAACAGCACCGATCGGCAGCGCGTACCGCGGTTTCAAGCCGGAACACACATTCGCGAAGAACACATTCTGCAGCAACGAACTTTGGAGACAGACAGACAGACAGACAGACAGACAGACAGACAGACAGAGAGAGAGAGAGAGAGAGAGAGAGAGAGAGAGAGAGAGAGAGAGAGAGAGAGAGAGAGAGAGAGAGAGACCACGTTCCTCCCGATCAAGGGCGATCATTGGTTTGAATGTATTTGAATATACACTGGCGATATACCAAATACATCGGCTACATAATTATATAGTCAGGCATCTCTCTTTGCTACGCCAGTGTTCGGTCGGAGGGAAAGTGGCGGAAGGTGCCACGGGTTGCGTGCACGAGAGATGCGACGCAAGATATTCCGGCGGTGTGTGCGGCTACGAGAGAGGAAACGATGACGAATAATGTCCGAGAGAAGGACTGGACGCGCGCGAATGCCGTCGGACAAACCCTTGCACACGCACACACACAACTAGGCTTTGCTGCCTACAGGCGTATCGCCTCTTCGTCCTTAGCTCGTCACGTGCAGCAGATTAATGCAAAATAATGATACGCGAGTGTCATCACGCGACAAGGTAAAGCACAATGGCAGCACAATGCCAGACAACGTCCGGACAAACTGCCGGACCGTGCATCATCTCGCTGATATGTTTTGGCAATTACTCTCGTAATATCGATTAAACGGAGCTAAACGAAGTCACGGCACAACCGCGTCGGTTATAACACACAAGATGGCGAATATCAATGAGTCCTTCGTTATTCAGGTCGGTTACTCTGCTCACTCTGCTTTTTTCGGCACGAGAACCGTTCTTCATTATCCTCTCCAATGCTCGTCGGCCAATTGGAATATCGATTACGCGTCGGGCTTCGATATGAACGACAATTGAATTGCGAGGACGCTGAACCGGTGACCTTGCGGTGACTCGCGCGACACGCCGGATTTTCTATTCGTCTCGCGATCAGAGACTTTTCTATTGACGATTATATCCACCAGCTCGCGGATACGATTCCGATTCCGGCCAGTAATCCCTGTGATAACGCATCGCATATCTTGACATTCGCGGTCGTCTAAGATGTAATGTATATACGCAAACAGATACGACTTCTCTCGTAGAGATCGTCGCGTTAGGGAACATATTAAGAAAAGAGAAAGATCTTTTAACGGAATTTTAACGGTACTCTGAAACTGGTACCGGTAAATATCGCGCGTATCTGCGTAATTAATCGAGCCGGTATTTAATCCCGAGTAAAGATCATCGAGTGTCGCAAGACGCAAGCGAACTTTCCACCATGTGCATATATATTTCTTGGCGACAGTGTTTTTCACATTTTAATCGTATGTTTCATCAATGATCTCTCCGCCATTCGCGTCACAGCTGCATTTGAATTATCCTCCGGGGCTTGTCGTGTCAAATTCTTTGTTTATTTGTACATAATTTGAAATTGATAGGTGTTACGCTATAACGCGTTTGTCGACGACATTCATAAATTCATATTACGAATAGACGCCACGTAATCAGAATCAAATTGTCGCTCGTGGTTTAAGGGACCTTCCAGACGCGCCGTTAGCTTGTGAAAGAAAAATATCTTTCAACAAATATCGCGTGCGTTTGTCGCAAGAGATTATTAAACTATCATGCCAGCCATGTGGATAAATAACGAGTCTGTTAACCGTTTGTGCTTCGAGATATCACTAGGTTAACATTGTTCTTACTGAGAAAGATGGTGACGTTAAAATAACTGTTGGATGTGCCGATCTAGCTGAGAGAGAGAGAGAGAGAGAGAAAGTGAGAGAGAGAGACACGCGTTACGCTGCAATAGTTTGCAATGGTTTTGATTAAATATTGAATTTTAAACTTGAAACTTCGAAAACGGAAATTTTGGAACTCTTCGCACAAATTTGGAAAAAGTTACTTTTCCTTCTTTCGCGTGCAACATTCGCCCCTCCCCCCATCCCGCTTCTTTGCTAGACTGCCGCTTTTAAACTTTTACAGGTAGGTAGGTAGGTACAAGATTTTTACTAATAAAAAAATCAAGCTTTATACAGTAACTTTGAGTAACGAGATATATTCGGCATACTTTTGCATTGTCTCTCTGTGTGCACATTTTTCAAATAACGGCGGCGTGTGCTCTCGTTTTGTAAATATCGCGTTTTGTAAAGCAAAACGCGATATTGTGCTTTCCAACATGGGAAAGAAAAAGACGCAAAAGGAAACGCATAGCTACCACCAATATATTTTACCGTTATAGTACTTTTTCACGAGTCACTTTTATTGGATCAATTTTTTTGTCCATACCCGACAATAAATATAATTATAATAATAATAAATAATATAGTTCTTGATGAGCTGTGATCAATTAAGTAAGAAAACAAATTATGTACAAAACAAACACTCGTATCTCGAGACATTTCTTCTTCTTTCTTTTTCTTAATATTTAATGTTTCTTTCAATACTGATGGTCGTAGTAATTTGTTCGCTTTGTTACCGTTCGTCCTCGCAGCCAAGATCCCCTCATCTAGAACGCTCGCGGCTTCAAACTTTTAAATCAGTTTCTCACTCGATTAATACAAACCGCGCGATACCTCGGCCGTATACCGATCTAATAATATGATGCAAAGTACTCAAGTACGATCTCGCTCAAGGAGAAGCAATGGGCATTCCGTACGCGAACGTACGTAAGTTTGCGGAAGCACCATCAGAAACGGAATTGTGTGTACACGCTCAATCAGAGATGAGGACTTCTGGTACAGGGATGAGAGGAAATACAAGCCAAATTACCGATCGTCGAGTTACGGAAGCAAGTAATAGTTGAATGAAAGAAAGCAAATGCTGTGAATGCATGGAAAATTTTTCGTATTTCGTAACCGGAAAAACGAGGACAATATTATAAAACACGTGGCTGTCTCGTGTCTTGTAACACAAAACGAAACATTTGGCAAACTTGGATTGTAAAATTGCGTACAGTAACACATTTTTCACTAACACTATAGAATCTTCGAGAACAACTTTAATTCATTCGATTGAAACACGAGCATTTGCGGATTCTCCCGTGTTTGAAAACTTGCACCAGTCTTACTGGTTATAATTATACTGCTGGCGATAATTGCACTGCGAGTTTTCCTAATCATCCCTGGTCACATATCTCTCTCTCTCTCTCTCTCTCTCTCTCTCTCTCTCTCTCTCTCTCTCTCTCTCTCTCTCTCTCTCTCTCTCTCTCTCTCTCTCTCTCTCTCTCTCTCTCGCGATTTTCGCTTCAGTATACACACACACACACACACACATGTGTATGCATATGTATGTGTGTGTGTGTGTGTAACGAAATTTAATTAATTTTTGAAAGAACATGCGCGGTTCTGCGCAATGGACATGGACACAAAGTGCGCGTTGCAAACGAAAGAAGGATACTCGGAGC